TAATATTTATTTTCCTGCCTGTTCTAAGTAGGTGCACTTGCATACAGAATGTGAGTTATTCGTAGGTTGCGAGACCTGGTTAAACGTATTTGATTAGTTGATGGATTTTTTAGGTAAAATTAAAAATATTTCAAAAACGTGAGAATAGGTTTTGAGTTGAGAAGTACTACTAATCCCGTATTCATTTGAAACCACTTTATTGTATACTTTGTGTACAATTTACAACACCCTGTAGGATTCAATGGAAGTTATTAAATGGACATTTCACATTCTACATATAATTTATAATATTTATAATCGCCTGAAAGGTGTTAATATTAATTATGTTCATCACATAATACCAATATCATGAGATCTTTTCGTGTTTCGATACTAATAATTTATGAGGAGAAATTATATCAATTTCACTTCGATTTTTTACAATAACATTATGAATAAAAGTTGACACGAATTATTAAAGAAAGAACTGCTTCTTAGATTCGTATAAAACTTATACGATAATTTATCTATTTCAAACTTACGCAGTTTTTATCGAACGATTTTCAAGATCAATTTCATCTCAAGATCAAATCCTTTGTGATTACATTCGATTAGTGAACCAGTCGTAAATAGGCATAGACACTCATTAATCTGTTAAAGTACCAAAAATAACATCTTCGCAAGGCAATTGAAGAAGAGGTAACTATTCAAATCGATTTTAGGGTTGGGTCGATTGTCAACCATTAAATTTAATGGGTTAATAACTGTAATTGAGACAAACTAATTGCTGGTTATTTTAAACAAATTATACCAACCCACAATGTGATGAAAATTGCGATCATCATTTTAGCACTTATATTTATTTTAGGTATAGGTAGGTGAGTACTTACAGAACTGCGACTTCTAATAAGAAATATTAATTCGACCTCTATCGATGTCTAATTTATAATTTTACTTTACATGTCGTCTTGATATGAATTATTTTACTTCAACGGGGTCGAAACATGTAGACATAAATTTTATCAAAATTTTAATGCCCCATTTGCAATTCAGTTGTAGTATATTCATGGCACTGTGATTAAGTCGTTTTGTATAGGAATGTTATTTTTAGTAAAAATCAAAGAAAGTAATTAACATATTAAGTGTATTCAGTATTCTTTGAAAATGCGTGAATAGTAATTACAGCTGTAACACCCACAGAATAATGACGACAAATTAGTCGAAGGTTTATCTACGAGCGACGATGAATTATGGCTATCTTCGGCCTTTGTTAAGAATATTGAGGCACATATTAATATGTTCTTGCGTGAATGCTTAGTAGAATACGTAGGAATAATAGATATGGTATGTAAAAGTCGAGAATTTATTCTTAGGTATACAAATATTACCTGGTAAAATGAAAATTTAGTACAGAATCATTAAAAATGATAAAGTGTTCAAATTGCTCAAAAACTCTCCTTAATGATGAAACTTTTCAAATGCCTTCAGATGGTGTTCCAAAACTTCTTAAAGTTGATAAACGTGTCAAAATTTATAACTGATGAAAAAAATTCAAGAATAAATACAATTTCTTATACTATATTCTCTTTACATTGATGTTGAACTGACAGAAAGTATCCGTCTTTTATGCTTAAGTAGTTCGATTTCCTATGAAGCAGAAACGAGATGTATAAATTAACCTAATTTTCTAATTGTTTTATTTTATGTTGTTAAATGATTCTCGGAAATGAGACTTAAACCAATCACGATATCTGCAGTAATTGTCGACAGATGTTCAAAAATGATCCAAGATAAGACTATTGATGCAAGTACATACGTGTGGTATGATGAGTAATGAGTGCTTTGTCCGTGGAATTGTTAAAATTTGATTAATGATTAATATTAATTGAAATATATTTCATTTGAATGGGATGCTATCTTTTTCCGTTCTATATGTCATCTCAAAGCGTTATTAGCGGAGCATTTTTTTATTAAAAACAATCAAATTTTCTACAGTATCAACTTTAATGCTTTCCGACCGCTTGACATATTAAAGAAACCACTAATGGTTTCGTTTATTATTTACTACTTAAAACACAATAGAACTTTCTACATTTTTTCGACAACAAAAGTAAGTAAAAAATTTAATGGTCAATTGAGAGTTAATGTATGTCTTAATATCTCTAGGAAAAATTTTACTTACGAAAGCCACAAGCAAGAAACTTGTAAAATAAAATAAACACATACAAAAGTATATTTGCGGCTTTGTAATGATTACCTAGATACTTTAATGTATATCAAATATGTCGTTTTAACATTTTTCTACATTCTTGAACACGATTAATGTCTACTTTATTTTGGTAAATACCAGGCTATATAAAAATATAAAGGTTAAATATCATACATATGTGTGTAAAGTTGAATCAGATAAATGGAAAGTAAAGTAAAAAGGAAATTAGTTCGATTTTACAACGTTAATACGATTCATTTACGTTCTCTTAGAACTTATTTAAATAAATTTGTTTCCTCGTTTATACATAACGATCTCTCGATTCTTGAATTCTAAATTCTAACGATATTTTTATGTATGTTGTTAATTAATGTAACAGATAACAGAGACTGCCATAAATAAAAAAGAATTGGCCGGTTAAAAGGAGCTTGTGGGAAACGGTTATTCGTAATTCAACAAATCTGTGCGTGAATATAGACATTCATTTAAATAAAAAAAGTAAATAAATTGTTTAAACGTTTTTTACTCCAATTAAAACGTCAGAATCAATTATTTAATGAGCTTAACTTTCGACAGAGTTGAATGTTGAGTGATTGGACAAGAGGAGATAAATTTAAAAGTAATTAACTCCGGCTGGGCAAAGAAATTAATTGCCTTATTTTCGCTTCTATTTTTGAGAAGTCAGACACAATAATTTCTATAAATGGTTCTCCAAAAATGAAATTTGCAAAGAATGCATTAATAGGGTAAGAAAAAAAAGAAGACGAATTACAGATGAAACAAATTAAATTGCTATTTATTTATGTACATACACGTGCAAATGTAGTTGGTAAAAGATGGTACTCTTAATGCAGTAAATAATTTTTTTTGAGAGACAGCATTAAAACGTTTCAAAAATGTTGTTCTTCTGTTGTATCTCAAATAAGTAGATATTAAAAATTATTTACATATAGTAGGTAATAATTAGTAATAATCATCTTTGATGAATAATTTCTGCAATAGCAGAAACAATAACAAAATTAATCGATCATTTTTACTATCAATGAAACACCTAATAACACAAACGAATTAAAATAGAGATAATTTGGAACAGAGATTAAGCTAAAATTATTAATTTAATTGCTGTTAAAAACAATATTAAAGAGAGATTTAAATATATGGTTTAATATCCCTAAATATTCAAGACTTATTTAGGATGTCAACGTTATGTATTTGTTTGATAAATTCAAAATCTCCAAATTTATAAATTTCTTCATTACGATTTTTATTGAATACGAATATTACTATAAAAACATTCTTTCAGTGATACAATTAATTTATAAACTTTCTAGCAAACTAAATTAAAGTGATATTTATTGCAAGTATTTTCTCAATTTCCTGGCGTTTTTCTCTTCTACATAAAAGGACGCATATATTTTGCTCTAATGTACATAAATCTTGCGAAGAAAAACGAATAATTCAGGACGGGAAAATCGCATCGTGGCGGCATTAATATCAAAAAAGAAACGTCCAGGTATACTTTCATTAAACGTTAACGGAAATGCAGTTACACTATACTCGAGTTTAATTACTGCTGTTCGGGTTTCGAGAAAAAAGACGTTATATAGCGAGAGAAATGTTCGTGTATTTGTTTTCAAACTCGACTTAAGAAGAAATTCACTAAAGCGTATTTGATCGCAATTAATGAGGAAACGCTATAATTATACGTTGTAAAAATTCTAAACTTCGTATACGCTTTAGGAAGAAAGTAATAATTTAGTCGACGTTTTGTATAATAACTAATAACTAATTTTTATTATCGATTAAATTTTAAACAAGAAACATCATATGCCCCTCGTAACGTGAAGGCATAGAATTAAACGTAGCATAACATAACTCGTACGATAACGACGAAGAAAACATATTTCAGCGAGCGAATTAACTACACACAAGACCGGAATAATCGACCAGATTACAATTAATTTAATCTTATTTTATGACAGCCAGTTGAAAAATGTAATCGATTTTTTTCAGCAATTATCGCATGATCGAGCATGAAAATAATTTCCCTGCATCATAATTTAGGTATGCAATCGGGTTTTTTTCCACGTACGAGCCTTTCAACCAGGTGCGCCTCTCGGCCGGTCTGAAACTTCCTATTTTTCAGATAAGATTTATCAATCGGGAGTCATCAGTGACTATATTCATTCTACTGGAACAATTAAATTATGTATAAAATAATAAGTGTAGCTGATTATAATGAACAATAACAAATAATTTACATTGTATGAACCTTAGTTGGTAGAAAGATACTTTAGCATATTTTTTATCCGTTATTTTTAAGAAATTTTATTTTTTATTACAAGTTTTTTATTTTTTTATTTTAAGATAATTAAAATAAGATAATATTTTAGTTATAAGAAAATAAGATTAGATTTCGGCAAGGTGATGTACAAGATCTTCTTTTTTTTATCAATTTGTAATAGACTAATTTACATTTAAATATAAAAAATACATATGTACATAAAATAATCTAAAAAAAACCTACTTACCATTATTCTTTCCTCAATAAATCATATTATGCATTCAGAAGTTCTTGATATTTCAAAATATTATGTAGTGAAGAGCATTTTCAAAATCAATATAAATAGCGCCCCCTGTTCCATTAAATTGTGTCTAATAAAATGAAACCTGTACTGCAGCTAGAAATATTTACCAGATGTCGCTTATGCACAGGTTACTGTATATCCGCAAAGTAACGTGCCAATCTTGAACTCATAAAAGAAGTATCGAATATTTGTCATTGACAGTAATGACAATACAGCAGTGTTACGTCATGTCGTAAATATGGACGACGTGTAACTTCTAAGAATCGTTCAGTTTACAATTGTTAGTGTATTATTACCGTAAAAAATGGGTGACGGTGTTAATATTAAGCCGAATTCCGCTCAAAATGAACCTGCCATGAAGGGATGGCTGTTCAAATGGACTAATTATTTGAAAGGTTATCAGAGGAGGTGGTTTGTGCTGCAAAATGGGCATCTGTCTTATTACAGGTTTGTTTATTGAACAACAAATCGCATTGTTGCTCTTTCTGATTGATATATCAATTACCATGTATGCTAGAATAGCCTGGTTGTTAGTCACGTTATCAAATCGTTTTATTTGTTTTTTTTATATAATTAGTTGGCTCGGTAGGTAGTTAATATTATTGATGATTTTTTTACTTTAAAACTAATTTAGTTAAATTATGACAAATTGTAGTGCTTATCCATATAATTAATGTAGTTTTCATGAAGTTCTCCTCCATTATTCCAAAGGAATTGCTATTTACTTGTTTTATCCTTTTTTATAACACTTCCTAATTTATAGGCCAGGAAAAAATAAAAATTATTATTTAAAAATAATATTGTACTATCTACTAACTAAATCATATTGTAACTTACCCAGTATAATACAAATTACTTGGGGCTTCAAGTAATTTTTGCTATAAAATACCCTGTTACATAGGATTACATCAAATGTAGGAGGAGGATTGAAGAAATCAGCCACATGGATTAAATGTATTTAACATTTGACTGATAAGAATTATCTGTAAGGAGAAATGGTTTTATTACAATACTTTATTACTAAATTGATAGATTAAATTTAAATAACTTGACATAGCAAAAACTTTCAGCAGCAAATGATGCATATCTAATACATATCTACAGATCCCCTACTTATCGCCCTAAAAGTATTTATGTTTTCTTTGTAAGTGGACTGGTATGTATTATGCAAATTCCTGTGTTTTGCACATTGGATAGTGGGTATTTTTTATTGTTTTCAGTGTATGTAGGTTAATTGTATGAGGGGACCTACAATAAATTACATTTCTTTGATTTAATAGACCATATAGTTATTCCTTATGAAATTAAATCCCATTAAAATGAATAGTTTTTAATTAGTTTTAAAGTAAATCCTGAAGTAAAGCTTCCAATACCATTACTACAAGATTAACTTGTACAATATTGCTTTTTTTGATTCTGCACTCTATTATATTATTTCTACTAAAGGCACAATTCATTACTAGATTGGACTCATTGATTTATCTTAAAATTTCAAAAGTTTTGAGTTTCATGCAATTCCCTGGACTATTCAAATATCGCAAATGCTTGCACGATACTATTATTAACTTATAACCCTGATTACACTATCATTAGACTTTACTTTGATAATGTAAAAAAGCTAATTTCTTAATTAATTACATTTTTTAATGGCCAAGTCGCTTGCAGTTGCTTTAATTGCTATAAAATTTACGTAAAAAATCGCTAAAATAAAGTGAATTATTCCATACTACAATGTTTCTTTTTATTAATGTGAATTTTTCAACTTAATTGATTTATAGGAAGCCCGATTAGAAGTCAATTTAGAGCCTATGAGTAAATTAATCCTTAATCGTATTTAAATGTTAATTCAAAATTATCTTATATTTACAATAGTTTTCACAAACTTTGACCTTTCATTGAGTAGTAATACTGTATATTTCTATATCAAGTAATTTTATAAAAGCAGGAGATTAAATTCTTCAAATATTTGTGATTGTTCAGTTTTCAACTACAGGAACTATTTCAAATTAAATTATTTAAATCTTATTCCAATTCCTCCAAATTAGCTCTTTGTGTTTAGGTTTGGTACATTATTTTAAAGCATTTATCGATTTTTTATTTATAATTTATCCATTTTATGTGCCTAAACAAACGATTATATGTTGCATTAAAGTATTAATCTTGTTAAAACAAACGAATCGAATGCCAAATATTTAGGTATAGTAATGCCAGATAATTCTATAATTCGCAAGCATACACATGCAACGTGCAACAATTCCGATTATTTTACGAGTAAAACCTGCTTGCTTTAGCAGAGTTTCAAATAAAGCGTTAATATTGTTAAATCTATAGCAAATTGATTGGTTGATTTTTTTTACTTTGAATTATTGGTTGAACTTTTACTGGTTTGTTTACTCAAATAAATTATATACCACGTAGACTTGTATTTTTTACTACATTTAACCATTGATTTATACTTCCTTTTATACATAATGTAATATTTTACACCTTACCACTCGAACTAAATCACCCGTCAATTGAAAACTCGCTTGTAAATATCAAATCAACAAGGAACATCAATAAAACGTAAACATGTAAAAGTAAGTAGGTTGCAATAATAGCTACTGAAATAATTTATTAGACCCTCCTGTCGTGTTATGTGCTGTGTTTATGGAATGTAAAATTAATCAGTTTCGACGCTGTTGAACTTTGCAGTTAATCCCATACAGCCTTTATGCCCTCGTGTACCCTAGTGTATACACTAGGACCTAATGTACACTTTGTTTTACAATATTAAAGGTACCCGGCTATATTTACACTCATTTTCAGGAGTATGAATTGCCTATTATGAAGAATGCTTTACCAAAGAACATATTAAAGCAAAAACTTTATTACCAACGTTATTGGAAGTAACATCACAGCAACTTGTATTCAACAATTGTTGGGAAAAAGGATAGTAAAATTCAGCAGTTTAGTTTGAAAATTGCTGGAAAAATAAAACGCCTTATCGCATTTACACATTCACCAACTTACTTACAAAGTAATTATCCCATTTAAAGCAGTAAAAATAGATTTACTGCGTCGCAATATAAACGAATCCTTCGATACTAAAAAATCAATCTAAATGATTATACTCTCTTGGGTAAGGGGAAATACATCCACGAATTATTGCATCCATTGTAGTAGCGATTTAGTATGTATGTACATCCTTAAAATATACGTAGATACTTCGTCTAGTTCGTTTTCTTTCATTCATTTAAAGTCTAGTTACGAACCATTGAGATCATAATAGACAAAAATTATTTTAACTGTTTATATGTTGTGCAGGGCCGAAAATAATGGCGCCGTTCCCACATTGACAATGAGAAGACGTAGAAGATTCCGACAGGGGTAAGTGAATTAACAAAAAAATCCAAACTGGCCCTGCACAACATTTTTCCCTTTATCATCCGTTGCGTGGAGGTGTTGGATTTATGTTTTGAGGTTTAGAAGCTCGGGATTTTTTATTTATGTGCCCTTATATGCTTATCAAAATGCTGCAAGTGCCTTGATTTTCTGGTGTATGTTTATTATATACTTAATATTGAGTCCTGAATTGAAGTTGAGTCACTTCCTGTTATAACACTCTGTGTACGTACCGTGATTCTCTTGCAATAAAAAAAAATCGGTGTGTATTTATAGGTATTGTTTGTAATGCACTGCCAATTAATACTGGTTAAAAACAAATAACCAAAATAATAACATTACCGTGTCAATTTTTACGTCTACCAATCAATGTATTAACGATGAAATGCATTAATTCTTAATTTTTCTTCTAGAAATCAAGCTGAAATGGCTCATACTTGTCGGGGTAGTATTTCATTACATGGTGCCTTGATATACACGGTGGACGCGTGTACATTCGTCATTTCGAACGGTGGAACTCAAACGTTTCATATAAAAGCCGCCTCGGAAGTGGAAAGGCAGCAATGGGTAACTGCTTTGGAATTGGCGAAAGCGAAAGCCATGTGAGTATTTACAAAAAATTCACCGGCTAAAAATACAGCTCGCTATTTTAAAAATAGTAATTCCCATGTACCTGAATAGGTGCCAAAATTATGTGAATTATAATAGGCTCTCTAAAACTAATACATACAATGAGTGTACTTAATTATTTATTAAAAACCACCCGGATTTCCTTTATAGTCGAAACATGGAATCGGAGGAAGACGAAGAAATCGACGATTCCGGTGATCTAGAAGACTGGTCGGGCGTAGTTAGGAAAATCGAATCGCAGCTAAACGATTTGCAAACGTGCGCTGACGTACTAGCGAAGCATTGGAAAAACTTGGCGAAGAGTCTAGGCGAAATAGAAACCAATCCGGATCCGGAGTTGCTGCAAGGGAAGAACAAAGAGGTCTGCGAACGGGCCACGTTATTTAGGATCGCTTCGAACGCTATGGTGAATGTAAGTGGTGCACCAGTTACTCGGAAATTGATGAGGTTTTAGTAATTGATGGGTTTGGTACCGTTTTAGTCATGCGGAGATTACTTGAAATCGGCTCACAATCACGGTCACAAGTTGATCAAAGCCCTGCAACACGAAAAAGAACAAAGAGCCAGGTTACAAGAGATGGTGGAGACTCTGGCCCAGCAGCATTCGAAGTTAGAACGAGCTGCTAACGCTCACACTCAATTCCCAGCTGGTAAATACTTTATATTTATTATTTTTTAATATTTCTTATTGGCAATAGGGGTTTACTGTATACAATATACAATGGTATACTATGAAAAATTGAACAGTGCTAAAATACTAACTGTAAATGCAATTTACACCCTGTACGGAGAAGCAAACAAAGTCGAAAGTCTAATTATACTACAATTTTAATAACATGTTGAAGGTTACATGTATTGACAAAGTGACAAATTATGTATACATACACAATGTTCTTTATTCGTACGTTTTAATAATGAAAGCAAACTGAACGAAAAAGCCAAAATAATAAACCTCATTTTCAAAAATATGTAGTGTTTGTGTACAATTTTAACTTAGTTTCTACAGCATTAGATTTGTTTTGTTTCGTTCATTTTAAGATTCCATTGTCAAAATTATTGAATAATCATTGTTTTAAATTACAAAAATTATAAAATTCTGCACATTTTGAATAAAGTGAGACAAATTTTTAGGAATAATGCAAATCTAGAACATGGAATTTTATTTCATTGGAATTGAATTTATTTTCCCCCAAGTACAAACAATCACGTAAACGATATCAATCAATAGTAATTTAATTAATATATAATGTATTCCGACAATAGGAATTTATGTAATAAACATTATCTACACTGAATAATATGTGTAGGAGCGGATAAATTTCCTCCTCGATTCACAATTCTCTTTCATTTCGCTCCGAAGAGTTTCATAAGGATTCGCATCTACGAGATCTGGCTTCGACTCGGAGAAAAGTTCGAATTACCTTTTTTATTAGCAATTAAACTTTTAAACTTTTTTACCGATATTTTATTGGCAATTTTGACCTAACAATGTCGAATTTCAAATTGTATTGTGATATACCGAACACCAACCGAATATCATACTGCCAACCTTGTAAATAAATTCATGGTCGTTGGGAGTTTCTTGAAATAGATACTTCGCGTTTTATGCTCTTAATTCACCTAAATCGATTTAATCAAAGGTGTTAAATATTGTAATTGTTTATTAGGCACATTCTTTCTACACTACACAATTAAGGATTGCATCACATAGGCCTTATATTGACCTTGTCTGCTGGTAACACGTGCACGTAGATTGGGGGGTAAAGGGGAATAAGGCCCCCTAAAACTGTTATAAGATATTAGTTTTTTTATGAGGAAAATAATAAAAAAGGCTAATTACGTGGATTAAGATGTCGATGGCAATCATGTATGTAAAACATTTTACCAAAGTGTATAAATTTTCAATATAACGAACGGAGAAAATAAGAAAATACTCGTATATTTTCTTTGTAATTACAATGATTTCATTTGTTCCGCTGATAAAAATCTGAAAATATTTTTAAAAAGTTCGAAGATAGAAAGGGTAAATATTTTAGTACATTAGAACAAATGTTTGCAGTTAATTTGTTTTGATGCGAAAAAAATATTCACAACTGATTAAATTAGTTTATACAGTATTTTTTTGGGAAAGTAGAATTTTCCTTATAAAATATTTTTAATACGCTTGATTAGTTTATTTAAACTACTTTTGTTGGAATAAAATTAACTATATTAGCATGTTATTCTTCTGTTTATAGGCGATGCATGTACAAGTTTTTACACTTAAAATTTATTTTCATTCGACATTAATTAACGTAATTTTACGTCATTGAAATTATGTTTTCAGTACTTTATTTCATCCGCAACGCCACTGTAAAAATCAGAAACGATACTATTGGCACAATTAACCGTATGCAGTGGTATTAGTTACATCGATTCAACAAAATGTTTAATGTTTTCATTGAACGCGCAAACTGTTTATTAAACTAAGTTCGATAATTGTAATTAATAATTAAACTTTCGTTCGTTATCTTTGACTCCGAATGACTCGAAACTGGATTAAAGCACAAAAGCAACCAAACCGACTGTAAAAACAGTACGAGCCATTCGGTGATACCGTGCTATCATTCGTGGCAGCTCGATTGATATACAATATTGTTTAATTCGCATTGTAAATGCGCGCTTACGGTGCTGTTACATTGTATTTTTAACTTTGGCGTGGTTTGTAACATGAAAAATCATTTAAAATGTCTTGTAAATCGATTAAAAAGTAAGTCAATTTATTATCGTTGAACCTATGCTTGTAATTTTTGTGTAATGCTGGTTTTGTGGTAACGATTCCATTTTAAACAAATATGTTTTTTGTTCGACAAATTTAAGTAGGTATTGTGACGTGGTGGCATAAGGTTTATCGGGTAGAATTGATGCAATTTGGATAAAAAATATTGGCAAATTTATGGAACTTTAATTAAAAATGTTTTATGCTGTATTTAGTTCTCTAGAAATCCTCCTAGTCAATTTCATTGCACCTACAAATTGCACCTATTTGTTAAGTTCTTCCCTTACATTTTTAATTGTAAAAATTTACGATTGTATTCCTTCAAATTTAATTCAATAGAAGCAATTTATTTAACGTACTATAAAATAATCAGAATGTAAATAATGAAAATGACTAAGGTCTATCTTTTGTTATGAATTGCAAGCGAAAGTTATGATAAAACATGAGGCATTATTAAATACATTGAGGATCATGCGGAATTACTATTATAAACTTAAACGTTGATTCAGTGTTAATGTTTCATCGAGTTTCAGCACATTCTTTTCAAATACAGTGCAAACATTTTTTAGCTACTGCAGTCGTGATAAATAGCTGTAAGAAAATTGACGAAACAGCGAGGAATTTGTAAAAGATAACAGGATGAATCATTTTGTGTTCCTACAAAAGTTTTGGTAAAAGTAAAATGTGAACGGAATTTGTCGACGTACATAAATACGATTATGGTTATCCATAATATATGCAAGAATATAAATTAATAACAATTGTTTAATAACTAATATTCGTGCATATAAATAGGCCAAAAGATTTTCAAAAGGAAATTGCGATATAGTCGATATCCTTATCTCATTATTGATAGTACACAATTAATAATAAATTGTATGTATACCTTAATAAAATATTGTAGCTTCCGTTACATATAAACTTCACAAATTTGTGTAATGGAAATGTGCAATTTTCGCCTTAAATTCACTAAAATTTAGCCGAAGTAATGCTTGTAGCTGCCAAAAAAGTTAAAATTGGTTGTTTTATTTTATTACAGTTTTATCACGGGAACCTTCTTTCAATTACACCAATTACTGACGTTATATTATAACCTAATAATTGCATTTTTGGCCAAAATTTTTGTTAAACGTGTGTACAACGTGTGTTGTAAGTACATTCTCATTTACCCGAAGGAATCTACTTCGGTCGTCTAGTGTCTAAACTGGAATCAAAAATATTACAAAGATTGATGAGATTAATAACAAGTTTATAATCAACACACTAGAAATTCTAAAGAAAGTCACATTAGCTGATGATCCTCCGGTTCCTATTGCAGTTAGCGCGGACAATAACGAAGAAGAAGACGATAACGAATTCTACGATGCGTTGCCCGAAGGAGGAAGCACGCCCGTACAAAACCAAGATGACCAAATTACGGTGAACATTCGAACTGAGCTCAGGCGCTCGAGTTCGGGAAGTTCAACTGAACTTGAAGACGAACAATCAACCACCAAAAAAGTACGTTTACATTCATCAACAAAATACAATTGAATTTACGATTAGTGTATATTTTAGGTAGTCGTTGTCACTAGTAAATCGAATCGAAGTGATAGCAAATCATCCAAAACCAACGTTTTACCGTTCGGCGTCAAAACCATCGCGTCCAACGACAGCACGGCTGTGAAAAACAATTCGGACAGCAACCTGCTCGCACAAGCGAGCCAATCTCGTCAAAGACGTACCAGAATCCCGGACAAGCCTCACTATCCCCTCAACCTGTGGAGCATCATGAAGAACTGCATCGGCAAAGACCTGTCGAAGATTCCGATGCCGGTGAATTTCAACGAGCCGCTGTCGATGCTGCAGCGCCTCACCGAGGACTTCGAATACGCCGAGCTGTTGGACAGCGCGGCGAATTGCACCGATCCCTGCGAACAATTGGCCTACGTGGCGGCGTTCACGATATCCTCCTATTCGACGACGAGCGTGCGAACGGGCAAGCCGTTCAATCCGCTCCTCGGGGAGACGTACGAGTGCGATCGCACCGACGACTTGGGCTGGCGCATCATCAACGAACAGGTGTCCCATCATCCGCCGATGGTGGCGCAGTATTGCGAGGGAAAGAACTGGGTGTGCTGGCAGGAGTTTACCATGACTTCGAAGTTTAGGGGGAAATATTTGCAGGTCGGTTCGAGTGATTTATAATTAGCTATGTATAATTACGATGGAGTTTGGTTTAACGGTGCGTTTTGCAGGTTATCCCGTTAGGTAATGCCCAGGTAGAATTTAACGATGGTAATAAGTACTCTTGGAGGAAAGTTACAACTACTGTACATAATATTATCGTAGGAAAATTGTGGGTCGATCAACATGGTAAGAAATTTTTTTATCACTTTCTGGTGACTTAAAATCGGTTATACAGGGTGTCCCGCATAAAAACCGTGGGAATGTATGGAAGCCTAAAATGTATTGTTTATGTTTAAACCAAATTAACTAAAGTCTTTATTTTAGCTTTTTTCTTCAACGCGACAAAGAATTTTATAAAACATAACCAATCAAATAGGTTTTAAAGGAGCATCATCCCTGATCAATTGATCTTCTCCTAACTATCGATATGCAAAATCCATGTAAAGTGCATGCATGCATATTTACCCCAAGAATTCAAAATGAGTATGCAAAATAAAATTTTGCCTATTTCAATATATTTTGCCAATAAATAATAATTAAAATAGGTTAAAATTAATAACAAAAAAACGTTAAAATTGCAAATTGGGGTAACTAAATGAAGCACTCAATGCTCATTCTGAGAACTCTTAGTTCTGTTTTCTAAACGGTTCTGGAGCATTCTAGTTGGTTCTAGACAGTTCTAAATGGTTTTAAACACTTTTATATGATTCTGGAGCGTTCTTAATGGTTCTGCAACGTTTTGAATGATTTTAGACAGTTCTGATTGGTTATAGACAGTTCTAAATAATTCTAGACAGTTCTAAATGATTTTAGACAGTTCTAAATGATTTTAGACAGTTCTAAATTGTTCTGGGGCGTTCTAAATGATTCTAGACAGTTCTAAATATATAAGTGAATATTTTGAAGATTTTTTGTGCATATTTGCATGCACTTTTTCCCATTTTTAAGTGCATAAGTTCCAAGCTCTACTTATAACATATTCCAAATTTAGTTTTAAGTTTGAATAAAACCATTTCATTATGTTCGGTTAATTAACATTTTGGTCTCCCCTACGCGCCCCCTGCTCTGTGTCGGTTCTTATGCGGGACACCCCGTATATTGGAAGATATACGAGATGATAATGCACCTGTTTTGTGTTTTAGGTGATATGGAAATTACAGGAAATGGAAACGCGGCTGGAATAAAATGTATTTTAAAATATATTCCATATTCTTATTTTAGTAAAGATTCTCAGAGGCGCGTAAAGGGTGTCGTCATCGACACCGATGGCAACGTTAAATGGGTTGTGAACGGTACATGGGATAATCAAGTAGATATAGCTCCTGTGATCGGCGCGTCCGATAGTAACGATTCCATTTACGAAACTGATCAGCCGATAGTAGCTTGGAAGCGACGTTACCCGCCACCAGACGCCGAAAAGTAAATTTATTTTAATTGCGAAATAGCAGAAATGCTTGAGTGTTTCTTGTTGTAGGTTTTACAATTTCACCATATTAGCTGCTCAATTGAACGAGCCGGAACCGGGCGTGGCTCCGACGGATTCTCGCATGAGACCGGATCAACGGCTAATGGAGGAGGGCAATTGGGACGAGTCTAATAAAGAAAAAGTGAGATTAGAAGAAAAGCAACGCTCTGCTAGAAGGCAGAGACAAAGCGAGGCCGAGCTGGCAACAGAAAACGGTGGTTTGATGTGAAATTTAATGCGAATCGTTGTTACTTATACGTTTTTTTAGGTGAATCGTATCCGCCTTATACCCCTGCATGGTTCCAACAGGTTAAGGACGAAGACGTAGACGGCGTGGGACATTACACCTACAACGGAAACTATTGGCAATGTAAAGAAGCACAAGACTGGTCTCGATGTCCTGACATATTTTAGTTGAAATTTAATTTATTTTAATGCTCCAAGAAGTTTGTCTCCAGTTCCATATCGATTTTTAATTTTTATTTATTTTGTAATAACTAAGATAATGTACAGGTAATGGATATAATCAAATATTATAAGTGGTTTGTTGAAAACGGTGTACTAATATATTTACTTGTTTTTGTAAATACTGGAAAAAATTTAAAACAGTCAATAAGAAATTTACAGCTTTTCTTAATATGTGATAATGTAAATATATGCTTATACAGTTATGTCCCTTTGTTTTATTTAAAAAATGAATTATTTATAACAATCATTCATTTATAATCAATCAAAATTGAGAATAGACAGAACGAAAAGGAAAGATCACTAAAATAATAGCAAAATGGATACTATAAACTCGATAAATAGTTAGAAATATGTCTAATAAAGGATATACAGATAATACAAAGTGCAAATTTGTACGCAATATGGTCTAAAGGTGCAACAAAAACAACTTTCATTAGTCCAATTAATCTCATATAAAAAAAGAAACAGTGATGTGGGGTAAAAACTTTCTCACTCTAAACACTGCTATTTTAATATCTCTTTGATCAACTTAGAAATGACCATAGTGCAAACAAATTTTCATCCTTACCCATAAACAGATAAGTGCAAATTTTTTACGCAATATCGTCTGAGCATGGGCCGCAAGAAAGACAACTTCCATTACTCATGAAGGAAAAAGAAAGAGTGACATTGTGGGATTATAACAACTTTCTCACTTTAACCACTGTTATTTTAATAATCTTTTTTTCTTCAACTCATAGAATTGGCAGATATTGTAAACAAATTTGCACCTACTTATATACATATTCCATAATCTGCAATCTCTTACAGAACTACTGAAAAAACTACTGAACTTTTGTAGGTGCAGTATTACTGTTTTGTAACTAGTTGGGGAAATAAAAATAAAAAACCTCTCTAATATGCCACACAATGGTGGAATTTCCATAAAATTACCTTCATTCCTTTAAATTTATCTCATTCACCTACTACTAGCAAAGTCAGTGTCTAAATACCCATACAGAAAGAGGCCACTTTAGTTTATATTTTTCAATTTATCAAAAAAAAACAATCAAATATTTATGTTTTATTCAGTACAAAAAACTTAAAGGAATTAAAAAATAAAGAACCATTCATTTAATACAAAATTCTTTACAAATTGACATTTAAGATAGTGATGTTGCTAATGTGAAGTTATTTTTACACCTCCCTGTATAATATTTAGTTGACAAGACAAAGTGAGTCTTGGAAAACAATTCTGTTTATAACAAAATCAAATTATTTGTCACATTTATTATCATAATAGGTTCGAAATCGTAATATTCAAACGTTTTTTACAAAAAGTGAACATTCTATCAGGTTCAAATTTAAGCGCTATTTGTGACGTCAGGAAAACGGTATATCCCGAGAAATTTTCGATCGGAATCGGTGATTTTAGTGTGGCGGGCGCAGCCATATTGATAGTACGGAAAGTGTAAGAAGAATTTGTGTTGTAAAGTGCTGTGAAAATAAATCTTAAATCATCCCAAAATGTCCGAAAGAGAGGATAACGTATACAAGGCAAAATTAGCAGAACAGGCCGAACGTTACGATGGTAAGTGAATTTTTGTATTATCATTTTTATTCGCCTAAATATCCTACCGCTTTACCGCTACATTGCCCTTCAAAAGACGCTGCTCCATTATGACACATTTGACAGTTCAAGAAAAAACGTAAATTATATTTGCCGTTTTTATCAAATAAAAATAACGCTTCGTTCTCCAGATAAGGTTATTATTAAATTATTTGCGTCCGTTTCGTGTTGCATCCAGCGAAATGTCAGAAAGCCGTATCGATTTTTGCGACACGGCTACAAAAACCGACAAATTTCTCGAAATTCTCCACGAATGAATCACGTCGTCGTCGTTTTTGCTATATTTACGTAATTTACCGTAGGAAAAACGCTCGAACACCCGTCGTTGATTAGGTTAAACAAAAATCCGCGAATCGATTTTCATTTAGTAACGGCGACTTTTTATTTGCATGCGAAATGTCATCTTCGACGAGTCGAAACGAAACTCGAAAACGTATCGGTTTTTCCGAAAACGAAAAGCGCGTTTCTAAGACGTTTTCCGCCCACGTACTCGCTCGCTGGGAACCTAGGCGTATTCGTTGCATTGTATTTCCATAGATGAACATATGATTTGTTGTGCAACCAAATCGAGCAACTTCCTGTCGTTTTTGTTCAAGTTCGAATCGAAATCGTCGTTAAATACCTACAGTCGACGCCTAAGTCGTAAAAATTTTTGTTCCGATTGAATGGCGAGCAACGAGGAAGCCCGCTGGGTTGATTCCGGTGACCCAATGGACGACATAATGCTTTGGGTTCCTGGAGATTGATGGTGTAGTTTGTTTGGCATTTGAGCTTTGTTTTGTCTGGAGGATTTTTTTTCAATGTATAGGGATTTCTGTTCGATTAGCCTTTGTAATTTGCTCGAACGTAATCGTGTAACACTAGAATCGGGTTCCGAAAGATAGGAAGGTTTAATACCTTTTATAATCCAAGTAATTAGATTTTTCGTTCCCACGTTAAATTATGAGTTTAATCCCTCTATTCCTAAATATTCATACCTCGCCTCCCATTCTTTCGTAACCCTCACATTTCTTTGTTTTTTGCACCATTTTCTTGAAGGAACTAAATTAATTAATATTTCATAATTAATTGATTTATTACTAGTTAATAATTCACTGGAGAAGACATTTTTGCGGATAAAATATTCCTTTCCACCCTTGTTAAATGTACTTCTAATATGCTCATTCTATAACTAATATAATTAAATCTAATTTTTGTACCATTATAAAGATACTAGTGCTTCGAGCATATCTATAATTGTGTCAAATTTTAATAATAATAAAGGATATTGTAATACAAGTTTCCTAAACAAAAAATTAATAAAAATGTATTCTACAATTATCAAATTATCTGCATTGCTCTGTACAACAAAGGTGGATTTTTATTCCTATCCTATCTGAATTATTCATAGATGTTTAAATTGTGAATCATTTTTATATTAAAAAGTTTAATCCAAATTATTTATTTGATGGAGATTCAATGGTGATACGAGTTGATAACGTTTAAATAAAGAGTGTGAAATTGCTCCTGACCTTAATTGGCTTTAATAAGAAGTCTCAAAAATAATACAGTTTTCAAACGAATTTAATTAGAATTGATAAGAGATGCAGAAGTTAATGTTATGCAGAAACTTCCTTCCTCAATTCCCCTTCCTTCTACATTTTGTAGTTTCTTTAATTAATTAGTTTCACCACTTCAACTCTCATATTTACGGGATTCTCAAAATGGTCAAATTAATTTACCTTCACTATTACTCAAATTACACACATTTCTTATCGAAACACAATATACAGGTAGATAAATAACAACTGTTATTTTAATAATCTTTCTTTATTCAACTCTTAGAATTAACCACTTATGTACAAGTGTCTTATTAATTTAAGCTTTTATTGAATTCACTAATCACTAATCCTTTATTATAATATAATCTTCGAAATCGAGTTTGCTAAACCATATGCAAATTGTGTATTAAGAACCCTCATATTAACATTGCAACGAGAAGGTGATAGGCTATGGTTCGGCATGTTTCATGGAGCAAATGATTAGATTTTGTCGAAGGATACTATGAATACAAAGCCGCGATTAAATCCAGTCCAATAGCCCAGCGATTTTTCCCTTTCTGTCGAAATAACCAAACAATTTCACTTTTTAATTATTTTGTGATATTTGTGCAAATGCATGCGCCGAATTACTTGATGGAACGCCTTGTTCTGTTTTACAGAAATGGTGGAGGCCATGAAGAAGGTTGCCAAATTGGACTTAGAACTGACCGTCGAAGAGAGGAATCTCCTTTCCGTAGCTTACAAGAACGTGATCGGCGCCAGACGAGCGTCTTGGCGCATCATATCGTCCATCGAACAAAAGGAAGAGACCAAGGGCACCGATGACAAATTGGAAATGATCCGTCAATACCGTTCTCAAGTGGAGAAGGAATTAAGAGACATTTGCTCAGACATACTCAGTGTATTAGACAAGCATTTGATACCAGCTGCATCCTCGGGTGAATCCAAGGTTTTCTATTACAAAATGAAGGTAAGGAATATATGCTATTTTTTATACATTTCTTTATTATGCATCATCATTAGCTCTGGGGATATAAAAGCCAGAAACAAGGGATTTGTTCGCAACAAATCAAATATGTCTATTCCCAACTAATACAGGATTAATTCTCCTCGAGGGGACTTCTCTACATTGGTAGTGCAGTAGAGTCTGCTTTTAATTATGTTCCGAGATGTACAAGCTTTATCGAACTAATAATAGAAGAATTACGTTTCGGAATCAGATAAAATGGAAGAACGTTTATTTGATCTCGAATACTGGAAGTTTCGATTTTGGCTCTACCGCTTAATAAAATGCAAATACAAATTGAAAATTTATGTATGCAAATATCGTTATTTGTTAACTGAATTTAAAAGGTTGTTTTAGTTACGTATTTCCAACGTCTTTTTTTTAGGAATTGCTAAAAGTGTTTGTTGACGTGTGATTATAAAATAAGGACACGAGCACCTCGTTTTCATGCTACAAACTTTAAATTAACGCTAAATCAACTGACACTTTTAATCGCCCCGTTTTAATTTGAACTAAATGGGAAAAATATCGATTTATTTTTACAATTACAAATCATCGTCGATTTTTAAATTACTATGACGTTTTCCTTAGTTTACTTTGACCTTACGTTTACAGCGTGGATGCTAATAAAATATAAACAAATGTTATTTTATGTAAACGACGCCTGTTTACATGGACTAAATAAGCGTAGTATATTCGTGTCGTCGTTCCATTGTATCTACTAGCGTCACCCGCGATAAATTTCAAACTGCTTTTTAAACATTTACTGGCATTTGATTTTGAAGTTGATACGAAGTTTTACTTGTCCAAACGAAACGTGGAAATACCACATATTTTGAATTTGTTTGAATATTTCTTTTTTTTTTGTTGTGAATTAGGTCCAGATGTATGAGGAAATTGTAATGGTCATTGAATTTTTAATGTTAAAAGGATGGGGTTTTGCGTTTCTCTACAATCTACTTTTTAGAAATCGATTGGGGACAAATAACTGTATTTAGTAGATTCCTCATTAAAAATAGGCCATAAATTTACTTGGTGTATATTTCCCAGATATACTTATTTGCATACAATCAATGTAAATTGACAACTTCCCATGTTTTATTAACATACATATTTTAGTAGCAGTCGTTATATTTCACCTATTAATTTACACAACTGATACTTCATCGCTCTTAGACAAAGCTTTAACAAATTTTATTCAAACCAGTTATTTAGTGATGGATGGGGCTTTGTAATTCAATTTTTTTTCTATTCTTCCATTATCCCGTACACGTTTCAAAGAGCCCCGTTATCGTTCCTAATTAACTATGACGACGAAGAAGTAGGTAATTAACGTGAACATTTTACGTTACAGGGTGACTACCACCGTTACCTGGCGGAATTCGCGACGGGTAACGACCGCAAGGACGCCGCCGAGCACTCTTTGGTCGCTTACAAGTCCGCCAGCGACATCGCAATGACGGAGCTGCCGCCCACGCACCCCATCCGCCTCGGCTTGGCTCTGAACTTCTCCGTATTCTACTACGAGATCCTCAACAGCCCCGACAGGGCCTGTCGATTGGCGAAGGCCGCCTTCGACGATGCCATCGCCGAGCTGGACACCCTTTCCGAGGAGAGCTACAAGGATAGCACGCTCATTATGCAGCTGTTGAGGGACAATCTTACCCTTTGGACCAGTGATATGCAAGGAGATGGTATGTTGTCTTATTATTATTATTACTACCGGCGGTTTCTATGAATTTGTTTGGCTTTGTTTAAAGTCAACAGAATAATAAAAGCAATCAAGTCTTTGTTGTGAATCCATTAGAGCAAACTGATTGTCTATAACTTGTATTACAGTATTGCGTTATTATCGATTACAGTGGAATAATAATGACTTCATTATATCTAAAGAGTAGTCGAACGCTGATAAGTGTTATCTCTGCGTTATTAATTTGAAATATTCCGACGTTTTTGTAGCGCCTTGCATAAGTCGATAATTATTCCATCAAACAATGGTTGTTTGGATTATTGATTTGATTTGAATCGTTGTGGTTTTAGGTGAAGCAGAACCGAAAGAGCAACTACAAGACGTAGAAGACCAAGATGTATCATAACTTGGAAGCGTTGCTTAAAGCAATATCGAACTCTTGAGTGCTGTGTAGTGCAGGGCATTGCCCAGACATTGTGAAAGGGGGACGGGGCAAGTAGCTAAACGACTTGCCCCAACCACCCTGGTACATATTGTATTATTACTATTACTAGCTGTAACAATATATTCTGTAACTGTTTTGTCTCTCCCGAATGAATGTTGAATGAGTGAATGCAGAATCAATCCCGGCCGATGCACGAGCGACCAAGATGTCGGTTTTTTTATTTCTTTCGGTTAAGGCAATTAACGCCGAGTATTACTTGCTTTAGCTTTAATATATCATAATTTGGTCGCGCGTTTACTCGGATGGGATCTTTTGAATGTACTAGAAAACTTTCGCTTTAGATATTTAACGTTGGATTATTTTTTGTAATTTTTTTTTCTCTATTAAAATTTTTCAAGTATTTAATGAAGCGTTACCAGACTGGTATATAATGTATGACGGGGCGGAACTTTCGCGTATTTCTGTGAAAAGCGTCGCCTCGAAATTGTCGTATGTGGCATATCACGCATTAATTTTTGTGTAACATCTACCTTCAAATTATTTAGTGTGATATATATTCTACCATTGAACATTAAACGTATCCTCTCAATTATAAATGTCAAAGATGTCGCGAAATGCATTCCGAGGGGGAAAACCTACAACTGTTAATTCTCGACACTCGATCATCTTTATAATTTTTTGATATTCATTGTCAGTATAATAAAGTTTTATTGATCTCTACAAGTTTTGATGATTAGGAAAAATGTCAGTGCGGCTAAAATATCTGACAATTTTTTGATGTAGCTAAATGAAGGGGAAAAACTAAATAATGCGTATGACCAAGCGAGTTAAAAGAAATTAAGTTTGACCTTTTTTTTAAGTATTACGCTTAAAGATGATCTTTCGCCTTATTCCTACTCTCGTAGAGTTAGATCGTTTTTGTATATTTAATTTTTGGTACGATTAAATATTTAATAAAACACGCATATATCGTACAAATTGCATTCCGCATTGCATTTTTTTAATAGCGTGGGTGTTGATTTGCATGTCTTTAGAGCAATAAATACAATATCAGCGTTTGTATGGTTGGTGTATTGTTTGAATTTCTACAAGTCAAAGTTTGCGTAACTTTTGTTCGGCGATCTAAAATTCATATAGCTTTAAATTTATCAGGCATTTAGGATTTTTATCGCGTAATTTTATATACCCAATTTGACTGAAACATTCATTTGTACGTTGAATGATATACGAATAACTTTACACATGCAAATACTTTCTAACCAAGAATTTTTAAGACAATCCAAATGGAAGTTGAAATAACGAAATTTTTAATTCTGATACATCACAATTTATTTTAAGGGTCTTCGGAAAACTAGCTTGAGTACTTATGTACTTGTACTTAATTAATTTTAATGTAGACTGCTAGTTTCTTAAGATTCGTAATTCAGGTTCGGTCTTTTATTTAAACTAATTGCATTTTTTATTGTGCGTATGGATGTAAACAAAGCTGTGTAGATTGATATAAAAACATTTGATGTACTACTATTTTAATTATTTAAATCCTTTACACAACCCTCTTCCTAATTCAAAACATCATTGTGGACGAAAATGATACCGATATCTCGAAAAGTATTCACTTTATCATTAAAAAAACCCTTTCTGGTAATGATTTAAAATATAGGGTTATCCATTTAAAATAACACAAAATCATTTTGTACATTTTGGACATATTTGCAATGTTGGGAAAGCTAAAATTGATTTTCAATTTAATCCATTTAGTATCTATTGGATGGTAAACTTAATACGATTTTCATGAAAAAGTGACCACTTTGGGTACCTACTTTTAAACGGCTCCAATCTTCTAACCGCTTAATATTTTTTTGAAAGTTGAAAACGAGATAAATTAATTTTTGAATAAAATAAAATAAAAACCGGGTGTTCTATTTAAAAAAGTATAAGTTTGTTCTACCACGGGACACTGTAGTTGGGAACTATAATTGAAATCCAATCTTATTTTCAAAAATTTATTCTCATTTCTATTAACAATAATTCCTTAATAAATAGTTGTATGTGGTCTTTTGATTACAGTAAAGTTACCTGAATACACAAGAACTTTGTGATTACATGTCGTATTTTGAAAGCTGAATTGTATCCCAGTTTTATTACTTCTTCGTGTGAAATCTAATTATCTAAACACCGTTAAAAATTCTACTTTAGTAAGTCTTATAGTTAGTAGCTAGTATTCATTTAAATTTTAAGTCATAACTACAGGAAAAATCAACGAAGCCTAAATCTAGTAGCTATAAATGAAACTCTGGGTAAGTTGTTCTTATATCAAGGGACAGATAATGGTTTTGTTCCCAAAAATTTCAAATCGAATAAGATTATCTTGAATAAGTTTTAGAAAACACTATTTTTCTACATTTGCGGATTGCGCATTCAACATAATGGAATGAACTTTATTACTACATATTAAAATTTGCGATTTGTCTTGATATGGCTCATAACCACAGTTTAAACTTATGAATTTCTTATCAATGTAAAAGCTGCAATTACCTATTATCAAACGCATAAATCATCTGCAGCCTACCGCTTAAAAGGCAATATTCCATCTTGAAGATAAAAAATATATTGATATCCTAAGTACATAACTACTTTTATAATATAATTATGTGTAGATATCGATTGAATCGACAGGCGAAAGATTTATCACAATATAAACATCTTTTTATTGACAATTTTCTTTATCAATAGATATTTTAATTTATAAAGACTAGTTAGAGCCACGCAATATGTGCAGTAGGTGTGTAATATTCCACCTTGAATTTATCATGATCGAGGATAACACAAATATAGGTTTTTTTAGCGTTGTTTAGGGGTCGAAAAATGTTTATATTGATAGTATTGATACAGATGCATCGTACAAAGATTGCCTAATTCTATATCTACAAATTCAAAATTTCTTTTCTCTAATAATTCCTTACATGATGTATATTCTTTCTAATAACCTAATGGTCTTTTCGGGTACATATGGCGGACTTACTTGAAAATTTTTACACAATTTTTAGCCGTAAAATTTATAAAGGCACACCATTTTCATTACATAATATTTTAAAGAGTAAATTTGTGTTCAAATTTACAAAACAAACGGCTGATTCTACAGACACCTACGTTACAAATGGAGGCCATTCAAAAACCAATTCAACAGTACTAATAAGATTGAATTAAAATATATTTCAGTAATAACACTTATCCTATCTAAATTGGATTAAAGGCTGAAAGAAAATACAAATTTTCATAAATTAATTATACAACTGATATAAAAAATGCACATTAATATGAGCTCTTTTATAATCACCATTTTTCGAATATTTAATATTAGAATTAATTAGCCCGGATCGGATAAAAAGAGTTGAGAATCAAATATTTATTCCAATTAGTTGCTCATTTCAACATGCAGTATTTCTGGAAAAAGTAGTTTTTACCCCGGATTCTTAAATACATAATTATCTACAGCAAATTCTACTGGAATAATTAGTTTTTTTCAATTAATTTGATTAAATTTAAGATTTGATTGATAAAATAATTTGAATGGATGGAATTTAGAGATATTAATATTAGGGACATTCGAACCTCTTATTCTCTTATGATCTGTTTTTTTATTCAATTATGATCACGAGTTATGCACCTCTAGCTAGAGCGTGTCTCAGGAATGAATGTCCAAAACTTGGCAAATGAAAAATACCAAATAACCACGAATTTAACAGAGAAACCCGTTCTACAAAATATAAAGATAACACAAGAGAAAAAAGAATAGAATATATTATCCGAATTCAATTCGCTTATTTCACTACCCTTTAGATTTCAGTTATTATTTTCCTTCGTAAAATATCTTAAATGGTGTTAAAAATTTCTTATCACTTTTCCACTCATCTCACTTCTAGTAATCTTTACTAGTTCAAGAAGTACGAGTACAAAGTATCCTAGGTAACTTAAAACGACATGATAAAAGTGAAAATCTATATGATAATAAATACAAAAAGACATAATTAACAAACTAAACTAAATACGAGTATTATTCATCGAATGGAAATGGTTTGGTTGAACATTATTTAAAATACATAGAATAACTTGATACGTATTAATTTCCATCACATGTAATTCCCAAATCCTCTCGCCAATATAACATTAACAGTCTAAAATTGAATTGAAAATGTTACCAAGTTACCCTACGTACATTTATTGATTACACTAAACTATAAAATAAACTTAATAATTTTATTACAACCATCCAGGCGACGGTCCATTGTGCCCGCTAAGCGGAATAACGCCCGACAATTTGGGATGCGATTGGGTCAAATGAGCCGGCTTGTACTCCTCGTCCGGCGTCTGCGACGACCCCGTCGGGTTGCTGGAAGATGAGTTGAAGAGTAGAGGCTCCCGGGAAGTCCCGCTGGGCTTTATGGTCGGACCGACGGTCGCCACGCTCTCTTCCGTCGTCGACGGCGTCAAATTGGACGGCGCGGTGGTCGCAATCTCCATGGAATCCTGCTGGGACTGCGTCTTCTCGTGCTTGGACACCAGCCGAACCTCTTCGGGAGCTCTCGTGGGAACGCTGGCGGCACGTTTGAGGAACTGCGACAAAACGAGCCAGTAAATACCGCGATAAATATACGAATTTATTGATTTACTCACTTTGTTCGGAGGGGTTACTTTGCGATAACCGCCGTGCTCGGGGGGATTGATGGGAGGCACCACAGGGCTCGTGTTCCTCGACGCTGAGAATTTCTTTCTCTTCTTTTTCAGCAATGCTAATCCCTGCGCGATTCCGTGCAGTTCTTTCTCCGGGTGATCGGACGCGTCGAGACTGGGATTCGAATCCGACAAACTACCAGATCTGCAAAGAAATACTGCTTATGAGAACACCTTCGACGCATTTTAAAATTTATTAGACGGGGTTAGATATTAAAACATAGAGGCCTAATACTTGCCTATTATCGTCCGACGCAGGACTATTGCTGTGACTATGTGAATGATTAGTACCATTCTCTCGGCAACTATTGCACACGGAATCCTCCGAGCGAGATCGGCCGATAAGCCTTGAAACTTTGCCAGTTTTAGCGGCTTCTATCAAGGTACCCCACCTCCTCTTATGCGAGTGGCTTCTCTTTAGATTCAGCCTTCAGAAATCATTCACGTGAGACTTGATAATTAGGCGTTCCGAACCCGACTTACCGTTTGTGGTGATGGTGATTGTGCCCGTCGTTGATGCTGCCCTGCGACGAGGACACGGTGCTGCTGTGCATGTGCAGCTTCCTGGGATTCGGCGTGCTGAAGATTCCCGACAACGTCGAGCCGAAGAAGTCGTTGTGGTGGTGAGGATGGTTGTCGTTGCCTTGGTGTTGTTGCTGCTGCAGCGACGCTATAAATTCGGCCACGGGCGGCAGTGCGGAGGTGGTGGATGGTTGAGGGGCTATGTTGAAGCCTTTCATCAAGCGGCGCTCTTTCTGCCGGTTCTTCTTACCCCCGGTGCCTGGTGATAGATAAATACAACCGTTTTTATGGTCCGATGTAGGTTCATTTCTAGGAGTATTGTGTTGATGTATACATTTATTGGTGCATTGATTCAGTATATTGTATATGCTTCAATTTCTTGCAGAAGGTTCTTGTAAGAATTTTTTGGTTAATGGCACCCCCAACAAACCGTGAATTACAATTAAGGAATATACAGAAACTTCAGGTAATTTTTATAAACCCGTATCTGAGATTCAATAAAATTGTAATTGGACCAAGTTTCCTGGAGAAACTGGACTTTTTATCAAGTCTACAAAATTTCTACCAAGTACCAGATTTCTGGACTTTCTACCAAACTTCATTTTATTATAAGTTGAAGATAAATACATAATGTTTTACTATTTTTAATCCCTTGTAGTATTCACAACTTATTTTTCCGCAAGAAATCGGCCAAGCCACATTTGCCTTCAGTCTGGATTAAATTCGAAAAATGTTTTGTAGCTCATAATAAGCGAACAAACGCGAATAAAACAAACTTTAACTCACCCATAACGCTATGTGCAGTCGACGTATTCATGCCCGAGTTTTTGAGAATTTCAATGAGCTCGAAGCGAAACGCAGAAATGTCCTGTTTTATTTCGTTAACATCGTCCTCGGTAACGCCCTGGTTCTCCGCCTTTCTTTGTTCCACCGTCACATATCTTCGAACTAAATTTCGCATAATGCCCTGCCGACACCAATAACAATATTCCATTTTATCTACGCCCGCTGTTTCTGTTTATTTCAAACTTTACACGTACTACAATGACGTTTAGTTCGACGTAAATCGTACGAGGTGCTCGTAAGTTCAGTACAAGAAAGAGTTTAAAACGTTTTACTTCGAAACAAGGAAATACAATTCGAATACGGGTTGAATTTAAAGGCGAAAAAAATGAGGAAGAACACGTACCTGATATCTGAAGTCTCTTTCGTTGGCCTGTTTCACTTTTCGCTGAAACAATAAATAATACTCATGAACTATTTATAAGGAACTACCACACTGTATGATTTGTGAAAGGATAAAGGGATAAGGAGCACTCTTTGAAAAAAAAAGAATGATATTTTTAGAGGCTTTTCCTATATTATTTCAACCGGCCGGATAAAGATGAGCAAAGTAACAGAAGGTTTGTTATACAAACTTTCATTAGCAATTCAACCTGCACACGACTTGTTTGACATTGTTATGAAACCGTACGTGCTCCCTCTCAACGAAACCACGCTGGAAAGGATGAGACTGTGTTTGCTCAACAGACGAATTTAGGCCTTAGTTACGGGCTCCTTTATTACACCACAATGTAACCTAATTAAAATTAGGATAATTGGTTAATTATTTATAAGACGGAATAGTTTAATTACGAACGAGATTTTCAATTCATTCCAGGCTAGATATTATGTTTAAAATTAATTGAATATACTTGGATCAGAAATATAACTTGATTGCATTTAAACTTACCCTTATTGTTCTCATATGTTCCTTTTTAGCTGCTCTAGAATGTCCGCAGAATTTTCTCCTTACCCAGCAGATAACGTACCAAAGGCTCTTAGGTGTGGGAATAATATTAAATGGTACTGGCACAGTACCGCCTTCCTCAAAATAACTGATCCATAATTTGCTTCGGGCGAACTTCCATTCGGTGTCAGCGCGTTCCTAAATTTTTTATAATAATATCTAGCAATTAAAGGGAGGTAAAAATTAAACTTACGGAGATCAACTGATATGAATGATTCATCATGGCGATAAGTAAATTCAACAAAACGACAATATTGATGACCGAGTAGGTTCCAAACATCAGCATGCCCCAGAATCTCGTGAATATTTTGATTTCGTGCAATTCGAAGCTCTCCAAATCGATTAGGCCGAATACAGCCCAAAAGAGCGTCTGACTGGTTTCAAAGAGACTGGAAAATACAATAATTTACGAACGTGCGGTATAATCTCAACAATGCGCAGGGTGCTCAAAGATAATTAGAACAAACCGACAATGCATTCAGAAATTACTAAATTAAGTTGATCCGAGAGGCTAATTAATACAAATGATCTGATTAACGTCGGGAAGCTTAAGCGAAAGGCTTGAATCTATTATCACCCGACTCCAAAGCCCAATAATTTATTCCAGCTACTGATTCACATTTCGAATATATTGATATGGGGAGCTGAGCATAAACAATAGTTTACGTCAAAGCGCTCTTCCTCCTATTCTATGTTTATGTAGATATCTAGGAGCTGCTATTGAAAGACCTAACCCACGTCTCATACTATATGGTGTATAAAAAATGTGATATTCTTATCGTTCTTGAAGCCTTAATTACATAACGCAACGATCAATAAAAGGTTTTTTAAAGAAAATTAAGACTAAAGTGTACAAACTTTGAAAATCTCCTCCAAATAGTGCACGCGTTTGAGTCCGGCTCTGTTTGATTATGATTTAGTTTGTCGGTTTCCAGCCAGCACCTCTGCTTCTCCGAATCGGCGTAATACCATAGCAGTTGATTAAGACCTAATGAAAAATCGCAAACGGTGATTAATTAGGAATCCCCCCCGGTCGAGTTTTTCGGCACTCACCGCACGAAAACGCGAACAGAACTAAAACGAACAGGAAGAAAAACTTCATGATATCCATCACCATCCGCGATAAGGATACTTGTAATGGTCCCAGGTGTGGATTCACCGAGAATATGTACACGAGTTTTAGGGAACTGTAAAAAACGTTTTAATGGTTTGAAAAAGGAATAGTTTGGGTGAAGTTTTAGCTGTTTTTTTGTATAGATAGATTTACCTAAATATATTAGCGGCTGAAAACAACCCCTCGGATATAAGCATTGGATCCCAAGCGTCCCAATCTTCTCTTTTCTCTTCTATTTTCAGCGAGTCCGGATTCAGCTGGACCTGAAACGCCAGGAGCCCTTTCGTAAGCAAAGTGGTTTGGCTATTAATCCGGCGGGACAACTTCATATTGGTTACATTTAAATGTGCCATTAGAATTGTTTAGAACTTTCGGGTCACTCGATAACTGCTTTCAGTAAAAAGTTGCGATGATAATATTTGATAAATGATACAAGAGAAACAATGTTAGGGGAGTAAATTAGTTGTTATAAAATACGTAGGTTGAATAAGTTCAATGAATAGTTTCGTTAAATATTTCTGGGAACATATTTACCTGATATATTGAAACAATTCTTAGTGATACTGTTGCGACGTATAATGAATTCGTAATAAAGTCGATTACATTCCACATATCCCTTACATACTCTTCTAGACCTACATCCCATAATTGCTTAATTTCACTCCATATTAGGCCTGAAAAGAATGCACGTTAATAAAATTCCCAGCACAATAGAAGACGTTCCTAATTCCATAGCGTCACTCTCTTTTTTGCTTCCTTGGAAGCAGCTACGTAGTAAAGGAAGTACATTGTGATCCAGAAAAATTTAGCTTTTTAGAGCTAAAAACATAAAACCAAAGTTTCCGAAGTTTTTACTTTCCAAAGCAAACAAAACGCACTTTAACTCTCACGAATTTCATTTTATACTCGTTCGGTTTCTCTTCGGAAAGTTCAGTACAAAACACGTTTAAATCATTTACAAAGTAAAAAACCTCTTACACTGACTCAATATATCATGTCATACATTTAACCAATGTATAAAAAATACAAAATATGCACTTACCACTAACATAAGACAATATTATCCACTCTACTATGGACGGTTTAGCACCACGTTGTGTGAACACTTCCTCGGGAGGCGCAACTCCAAAAAACGATTGCAAGAATTGCCTCTGAGACGCCAAAATCAGCAAAACTGCAACACAAAAATACGCCCTTGATACAAAGTATGTAATAAAACCTACACGCTGGAAATTTTCCACCTGCCTGCCCTCCAACGAAATAACCGTTTCATTTAATGCGCTAACACGTACTTACACAAAAAGAAAATGTAAGAGGCGGAATGGCATATGAATTTGATGAAGGGTTTCCGCATGGTTTGGCCGATAACCGAATGCGGTGCGACGATGTAGGCAATCGAGAAAAACGGAAACAGTATCCCGATCCGGACGATTTCCAACGCTTGCAGGAACATATTTTTCCTGCGGAATCCCGGCAGACCTTCGTACCACAGCGAGGCCAGCAGTTGCTGGACGTTGGAATGGGCGACAAACTGTAAACGAGAATTATTTATGTGAACAAGCGCTCGTTGTTAGAGAGAGAATTTATGCTACATTAAATTTTAGACTACATATTTTGGTTTTATTCGTTTACCGTAACTTAGAGGTTTATGTATTGTATCGAAAGCGATATTATAATTTAATATCGAACAACAATTTGTCAACAGAAGCTGTTCGAAAATGCGAATTCTCGTCTTGTAGGAGCTTTCGTGTAGATTCGTGCGCTTTTATCTTGTTCGTTATGCTTCTGACTTCCATTTGTCTCTTTTCAAATTACGAGCAAGTTTATGTTTCACCGATATAAAAGGTTCGCGTTCCGTACATTCGGAATAAACTCTTCAGACAAATCCAGGGATTTCAACAAATTCTATACCTACTTTTATTCTTTGCACGATATTACAAAATTGAACAGGGCGCAGTCAAGTCATACTCCATTAGGATTATTTTGGCGAAAATTTTATATACATTACTTTTCACTTTGATGTTATCGACTGGGTCAAAACCAGCTTAAAAATTCGAATATACAAATTAAAAAAAATATATATTTTTAAATTTCACCTATCTAGAAAAAAAGTAAATTATAACACTTTACCTAATTTATTAAGCACAAGTAAAATTTCCTAACCTATAGAAAACTTCACAAGTCTCAATATTAAAGTAAAAGACACAATATTATCGAATCATAACTTTGTTAAAATAAATTAATTTCGCAACTTCGGAATGTTCGGCATTTCTTTCAGAAAATCGCGGTTCAAAAACTTCAAACAATAAACCTGTCGGAGGACATCGCAATTTAACGAGAGAGTTTAAAGGGAAACGGGAATTATCCAGAGAATGAACTGGTGAAGTGAGATAAATGAGAAAGTGAATTTTAATTATCAGAGTTAGGCCTGGGTCATCTAAAGGGGATTAAAACAGCGAAAAGGGGAACGATAGCTTTCTCTGCCTTTTTACAAAAATAATTGGAAACGTTTTAAAAAAAATCACAAATATTACGAAGATTAAAGGACCACACAGTTGGATAAAAAAAAATTAATTTCCTCCAGGAAACTGTCTGAAACATCGTCATCTAAGAACCGTAGGAAGTGATTGAAACGATTTTAGCTTATTATAAAATCCACTTGTTCTCGACAAACCTCAAATTTTCATGAAATCAATTAATATCATGCGGAGCAATTTGCCGAGAACGTATAGGGATCAAAGACTTTGCAGTAGCGCCCGACTTATCGACAATAATTAAGGTTTATTAAACTTCTCCGATTAATTCACTCTCGCCTTCTAAAATCCAGCTATTACCAGGCGATTGAACTAACCGAAGGAAAACTAGCAATAAGGAAGGCGATCGATAAGGTATGTTAAACTATGTTAAATTACCATGGAACAGGGCTTAAGTTTAATTTAGAGCCTATTAATTATACACAAATTTATATAAAAAATTCACGACAAATGTGGCCCAAATGTGGCCGAAATATACCTAAAAATATATTTTTACAATGGGTGATTTGTATAAGGAAATAATTCGAACGAACCTTTTTTTGCCTTAGTTTTATAGCCAATTTCAGCCTGTTCAAATGCATTCGATCTCCGTGCTCGAAGGCCGGGCCCGTAGGATCATGGTTGAGTAGAACCTCCAATTCGTAGGAACTCCTGGTGTGGTCTAAAAGGGCAGTCGCGAAGTCCTGGCACTGCTTCCTGAGTTCTTGGTATTCACTTTTGAACTCGTGCTCCATGAAACTTAGCCTGTAAACAAGCGAAAATGACCAGTTAAAATTCCCTCTGCTAACTAACAGCAAACCGTAAATCTTCTTCGTACTTTTGCCAGCCAAAGACCGGTAAGTATTTCTCAATTTATTCAACTTTGCCGAACTTTCCGGACCGTTCGCGGCGACTTAACGAGCCTGCACACGTCGCTCCCGTTACATTACGTATTCGAAAGTAGCGCAGAGGTTGCACAAAAACGCTACCGCTTAACTTGATGGCGAGCAATTAAGGGCCGTGGAAAAAGCTACTTTACAATGTGTACGGGAATAAAACAATGATTTATTTACTTTTTCCCCATACGTTCTTGCCCCGTTCTCCTGATTGCCAATAAATTACCTTGCTTTTTTACGGCGATAGGCGCATTGATTTAGGTCACGAAAGTAGTTTGAGAGCGGTAAGATACTAGAAGAGAGCTTCATAAAATGTATAGAGAAACTAATTTGGAGTGTGTTATTAATTTACTGCATTTATACAGGGAAACTTAGAAAAACGAATTTATACATACATTGCATTTCTTTAATGTCCCCCCCTTTAATGTCTTTATATTCCAGGGTTGTACAGTATTTGTCAGGAGCTTCAAAATGATGTGTTACAAGACCCCCCTTTCCATTTAAATTTATTTCTCAAGATGGCGCCCAGTCGCCATCTTGAAATTCTTATTTGTCATTTTAACTCCAAAATATAGTAATCATGCATTAGGTTCATTACCCCAAATTTCAATTTTCTAAGTTGATCCGTTCAAAAAATAAAAGGAGGGGGGCCATTACAGAAATGCACTGTATAAAAAACGTAATTGAATCATTCCAATTCCATATTAATTCACCATGCAAATATAAGGTACATTTGCGCTCTTCAGTATTCAGCGCAAGTGTAAAAAACAAATTTCCTTTCGCCAACTCGAATTCCCTAAATTCGTTACATAACTTACCTGCGTAACTCCCAGGAGAGCTCGAATGCAGTCAGGATGGGATCCTTGGAGGAGAGGGCAATCAGTGACGGCGACGCCAATGCCCTGTATGCGTTGATCCTGCTCCTTGAATGTCGCAGAGAGTCCTCCAGTCTCGACGTGACGCACTCGTCGCAGCCGCATCTACAATTTACAAAAGAATAAATTTGCGCGAAGAGAAAGGGAAAAATTCTGCCGAAAAATCCGCTCCTTCAGTAACATCCCAATTGTATATGATATAAAACACCCTGTAAGTGTTTTCCTGAATTCTTTGGTATGTATTTAATGTGTACTAGGAATATTAAAACATGAAAATAGAGATATGAGAACCAGCTTTTTATCCGTTTTACGTGGTTTTTATTACCTTCTCCATCACGATTAATGTCGGAGCTCCATTTCGCGAGATCCATTTCGCGAGCCTCAGCTCGGTTTAAACTGTAAACTCGACTGCTGTAATTCGCCGTTTTGCATATGCGGATATAATATTTTCGGTTCAACCCGTGTGAGTTTAGCGCCGACGAGGCTGCAAATCACTTCTGCCCGATAAAATCGGCCTCGAGGAGCACATCACGCGACTCCTAAACAAGCAATAAAACTTCCACCAAATTGAAACGGAAGCCGCAAAAAAAATAAAGATACCTATGTTGAAAGTATCGCCAGTATTCATTCGGGAATTGTTGAAGCGCTCGAGAGCTGTTATTGGTTCGAGTTCGAGCTGCATGTTCGTTGCGGCGGTGGAGTTTCCAAACTTCTCCGAGTCGACTAGAATTTGTTTTATTTTATTTTATTCTACGGATGATAGCGGTTTATAATTCTTCAGCGCGGCCATTTGGCTATGGTTTGAGTAAAGATTTTCCATTAAACTTTACCAAGTTCTTCGTTAGTTTGACGAGCAAACTTAGACTGTGGTAAATTGCAATTTTATTCAATTAAATTATCGGAGAAACAATAAAAATAGCGCATCTGTCTCTAAAAACTTTCTACAATAGTAAAGTAAATAAATTTCGTTGGTATAAAATAATCTTTCTCAATTATGGTGTAAGTAACCTGTTACTTCAAAAAATAGTGAACTATAAAATGCACCTTCACCATTATTCAAAATCCATCAACCACATCGTGTACTTATTTATTCATTTTATGTTCGAAGTTTCAGTAACATGACATAAGAAAACCGAACTGGTGCAAGGGAAGGGTCAGAGAACTCTTTGCTGGTAAACCGCATCAAAGATGGGTCGATGACATAGGAAAATTGGCGGCAAGCAAATTGCGAATTACTAGAGGAAGAAATAATTGGGAAACTCACACGATCTGCTCGAATGCTGCGCAATATTGTACGAGCTCTGAATAAAGCAGATGGGCAAAAAATTAATTACTTAAAAGCACGATTCACTGTGGTCATTGGTGCGGCAAATAAGCAATTTCAAGAAAAAATCTTACCTCACGTCGTGCGGCATAGGCAGTGTTGCTCCTCTATCTAACAGAATTTTGATAATTTCGTAATTGTCTCGGTGTGCGGAAAGAATCAAAGGGGTAATATCCGGAGTAAACGTAGCAGTATCTGGCGGAAGAGCCTCCCAACTCTAAAACAAACCAAAAAATTATCTAATAATATTTTTATTTAATTATACCAATATACAACTAACTCATTATACTCTTTAAACGAAAATAAAGAGCAATCTATAGCTGAATTTATTACGTTACATTGAATGTAGGTGTGCGAAATAACAACTTGACTCCGGTTTCACCTTCAAAGAAAACCCATAAATCCCTGATGCCAGCGAAAATTCTTTGTGCAGACGTCAATCTCTCCCGAGAACTTTGCATATATTTGAATAAATGCAAAAGAAGCGCCCAAGAATTTCCTCAATACAAAACTCGATTTTTGTATAAATTTCCTCGGATTCTTATCAAGCGTCGCATTAAAATAAATTTTCAAATGGAATTCGTTCCGTACCGGATTGTAAATTTTTTGCATTAGCGACACCGACGACGTTTAAATAAATGGATGCATTCAAAGGGACGATAAATTCCGCTATCTGTTCCTGTTTATTCTAAATTTATTAGCCGATTTAATAAATAATCAGTAACGTTAGGTAATATTATCGAATTGGTTACGTAAATATTAAATAAATACTTTGTTACAACACATTTTTTAAGCTTCGTTAGTTATGCAAGTTGTTATTCACAATTATTATTAAATTTGTGCTCCAGGAGGTGAAATATGATATTTTCAAATCTTTTGTAACATGTTCCCTTATTTTTGAATTGCATTCTACATTGTGACTTTCCATCACTTCCCGTCTCGCACAGAGCCCGAAATTCTAAAAGTAAGTGTTCCCGACGCGTGACATAATTTAACTTGCAGGTCGGACTGCATTCAAATTCAAAGTACGCCCTGCTTGAAGCATGAATAATCCCATATTTATTTCGAACAAAATGCATCATTACAACCGCAGAAGGCACATATAATTTACATGTTCTCCGCGATTTAATGACGACGAGTTCTTCTTCAAAATCTCGATATAATAGGATTAACATAGTAAAGAATAGACGTCTTAACGAGCAACATTAAAAATTCGTGTAGCATCGCGAGGATAATTCGTTTTATGGGCAATATAAGCTCGTTTCTCCGCAATGTAGCATTAATTCTTATCTTAAGTAGGTAAGTATTTAACGAGATGTTCTATTAATATCTACTTGTACTACCTATATAGTAGTGTTAATATCTTTAATGTTACTTTTCAAGAATGCTTTTCTGGCGATAAATTATTTTGGAATTCAAACTACAGGTTTATAGTTATAAGTTATAAGTAACTTTCCCGTCAATTGTTGCAGCCACTTCTCCAAATTTAGCAGTTTAAAAGGCTTTCTATCGATATGAAACTTACATGCGGATCCCCTTTGTGGTGTATGGTCTCCTCGTGCTCGAGCAGAACTTCGACGGCCTCCACGAATTCCTCGGAGATGGCGTGCAGCAAAGCGTCTTTCGTTTCTACTCGATGTTCGATCAGCAGCTCGACCATTTCCAAGTTTTCGTTGTCAATTGCCATCAGCAGAGCGCTCCTGCCCAGGGGATCGACGCAGTTTATGTTTATGTAGTTGGTTTCTTCGGCCCTCTGGAGCATTCTGGAAAAACAGAAGCAGAGGTCGTTGGAGCGGAACGGCCGTAAATGTCCTACGATTTAGGTACAGAATTTTCACATGTCTAGCAGCCAGTACGTTGTATTCAATTATATTTGTTGAATATTTAAATGTGGTTTAAAGATGATATTTTGGCTAGTTGGTTTAATTGACGTGTCTAATTGGGTAATAATCGCGATAATCTGTTTTCGAAATATCGATTTATGGAATGCAAACCGCAAATTGCCATGAATATTCAATGTTAACAAAGACCCGAAGCCTTTCGAAATGGTACGGTTTTGTGATTAATTACACATACAAATGTATGTAGATTAGGCATAGGAATTATGTTCAAACAATTCGCTATAATTGACATGTGAAGTAGATATTAAATATAGGTAATTACGCATTTAGAGTATTCTGATTTAACTCTAAGCAGGTAAGAAGGAAGTGAATTAGGGCTCAAAGCTAATTCCATGATGTAAGGTAATTTCGAATCCGAATGCAATTACACCAATAGAGCCACTAATTGCGATAATGTAATCGGAAATTATGTAGGTACCTAATTCAAGAAATTCAGTAACAGCTAATTTAATAAAGTTTATACGTCTTAATTTTGGATTTGTCTTATAATATTGATTTGTCTTATGTGAATATTATAGTTTACCTTCTCGTGGAGGCTACGTCACCTCGTTCTACAGCTAATAGGAATTTCTTTTCGTCTAGAGTAAGTTGAGCGATCTCCTGGTGAGGCCTGATAACATTTTCTTCCTCCATCATTCCATGGATGCTGTGCCTCTGTAAAAATAGAAAAATATCGGGCGTCAAAATTAATTTTCAACAGGCGAAAATTAAATTTCATTATATAATTTCCTGTTAAAAGTGCTCGCAATTTTAAATTTCAATTTCGCCTCTTCGATTTTACGCTTGTTCAAAATTTCCAAAGTATTTATTTTTTTTCACGTTCAAGTTAAAAGTGCTCTTGTCTCGCTGTGAAGGTAAGTATTAATTAAAAACGTGTTTTAGCACCGAGGATCTGACGGACGAGTCATTGAAAATGTTTATTAGTGTGTTTATTTTGAAAAATGATATCATTTGGAAAAAAGCTTTCGCGAACGTAACAAATCATGCAAATTAAATAAACTATTAAGACGTTCCCAATAAACACCGACATAACAGGATTCCCGGCGGGTAAATCTAAATACTATTAAAATGGGATATTTAATAACGGTGAGTAAGTACGAGTATTTTAAAGCAAAGTAATTCATTAAATAATTTCTGTATACCTATGCAATAAAAAAGTATTTATTTTGGACTTTGATTTTGATTTTAATTTGCAATAATTTGTCTATGAAAAAGTGTATAAAAAATGATTGAAGTTTGAACTAATTATAGCTACTCATTTTTCATTTTTTAACAACTTTTGACTTATACTCATACAACTGTAATATCCCGCTGATAATTTCTATTGTTTCGACTTGTACTCACTTCAACTTTAATGATTCAATTATAGCCTTTATAATTGGTTTTTCAATTTTCTCCACCTGAGTTTCAAACGTTCACAATACGAGTATCCAGAAGCAATAACTGTATTCACCCCTTGGTAAATACAATATACAGAAAATATAATGAAACATTTCATTGCTTATACATTTCTCCATTCTCTAAATTTCTTATTAGCACACCAATAATATTGTTCCTCTAGAGACATAAAGAATATATTTTACTGTCAAATTTAATTTCATCTAATATTAATATAACGATGACGTGATGTAGGAAATAAGCATTTTAATATCCTCATGAAGCAACATATTTGTAAACTGGAATAGTATCCACAGTCGAAATATTTCTTTTAATTACGTCCTCATGCAAATTTCACGAAGACCCATTTCCCGTTTCCCGAAGAGTTCTTCAACAACGAGCGTAGCTCGATTATGATTTGCATGACGAAGTCAAGGATTGCCTTCGTTATATTTATTGCCCCAGACAATAATAATTTAACCCCTGAGACGAGACCGGGAATTTTCATATACCTATGAACACATTAATAAAGAGGATGCTTCAAAAGGATTCCTGAATATTATAGAAAATTGATTATTAAGCACACTTGTAATGTTGGATGTATTTTTTTTTGATTTAATGGAAACGTAGGTATAAGCATGGATAAAATTCAATTGTGTTCATTTTCGTGCGGAAAATTAATTTCCCTACGTGAAATGAAGGAGATGATGGAATATTCCATCGCTATTATCCGCTGATTGAGTGGCCAATAGCGATTAGAGAATCGTGGTTAAACGACCATTAGAACAGTGGTACGCAAATAAAAATTGTATAGTCTTATCAAAGTTCAATCTAGCAGCGCAAAATTTACGCTTTAAGCTTACTTACTTTTACTTTGGCATCGACTCGAGGTTTTTCCAGAAGACTTGAGGTGGTATCTATTTTAGGTATATCGATGCACGTTTCAGAGCCCCTTTTTTTGCCAGGAGATCGGCCCTCCTCGCCCGTTTCCTCTTCTTCTTCTTCTTCATTTTCAGCTGCGCTGTCTGCGAATAAAAACGAATTCAATTAAACTTTGCCGAATTAATTGATTTTTTTTTGTCGCTCTAAACTTCGCATTAGCGAACTATCCGATAGAATTGTTTAATTGAAAATTGATGAAAATTTTTCAGTAGGTTCGGTGAATATAATGAAATGTCAAACAGTCTGTTTGCAGCAACAGGAATTTTGCGTCGAGATTACAATACTAGTTAAAAATTTTGTTAGAGTTTTGTTTAGAGAAACGGGAATTCTGTTATTGTTAATAAATTGAGTTATGATGAAATGAAACGTAGTATACACATTGTCGTTAAATCCTCTAGCGATTCAGTTCATTTTTTACCTGATATAATCCTATTAAGAATATTGTTTTCGAGTTATTAATATCGCGTGACGGCCGGAACGGATATTGGCGGACATTTTCAGTGTATCATTTTCAGTATATCGTTTTCATCAACTTTATCATCCTCAAACGTCAACCAAAGCGATTTGCGCAAATAATTGGATTAATATACAGCGTGTCTTCCATTAAATTTGCCTAATATTCCATAATCGATGGGTAATAAAATCCGCGAAGCCTATTAGAATAACGACGTAAGGTAATGCAAGATTGTTCTGTGAAAACTTTTAATTGAAATTAGAAGCGTAGGTGTAAGTGTACATATAACGTAGGAACATGCGGAAGGCGATGATGGGGTGCAATGAAAACAACCACCTACGCACCTACCACTCAATTAATTTCTAAATAAAAGGATGTCGTCGGTATTGATCGATTTGACAAAATTAAAGGAGGATATCAGAGGGAATTTTTTGCGGTGTTTTTCTCTTTATTCTCTGCTTACGTTACCTTGGGAACATCGTAAGATTCGGATTTCAGAGTTTCACACGAGCATTGAAATGTTATCTAACCCATTACCCCACATATATTGCTGGAATAATTTTTATTCCTTTTCCAAATAGAAAATTATGTTTATTTGTAGAAAATTATTCAACATAATGTCGTTACGAAGAAGAAATAAAGTGGGTAGGTGCATAGATGATTAATGCTAAAATTATTTTTCAAAATTTTAAAATCATTTATGTAGCGTAAATCGAGAGTATATCATAACAAATATACAACACTTTCATGTTCTAAAAACATCATTGGTCGGCCATAAAAATTTCGAAAATGCTAAATAAAACTTTTCGTTTGCTTGAATTATTTCAGGTACCTCTAAATCATGTAATATCAAATGCGCTCTTATAAACTTAAATCAAACCAAATAGCACAAAAAAGTCGTCTCTATCTTAATAAAACTTACCAGCAAATTTCTACAAAGTCCTTCAGTTTGATCAAAGATCAAAAATTAATAAGATTATTAAATGTTCGATCGGATACATCACGTACTCATATCATTCCTGTAATGTGTTATGTTTCAAAATAAATGAAACATTTTCGATCATTTCATCTGATGGCAAAGTGCTAGAACGTGATCGTTTCTGCGGATTACCAGACGTTTAAATTGATAATTTAGATATTTATTAAACGGATAATGATTTCCTTTGAACCATCGCAATCTGGTAAATCAAACTATTAATAAAAGTCATTTGCTTTTCATTTGGGAAATTTATGAACTTCAGCCGAAAATTCATACCGATTTTTCCCTCGAAAGACAATTTATGACACATGAGCGTTCCTACTACCATAATTCATTCATGAAATTTGCCGATTCCTTTTGTAACATTGAACATGAATTATTCATACAACTATTTTTAATTCCCGAATCAACGAATGAATAGGAATGAAGTTTGTTTTATTTCGACATCGAAATCGATTTCATTTTGCACGAGTTTATTGGATGTACTAGTTAACTCATTTGCCTAACAAAAACCAATAAAACCAAATATTTTTAAACAACCAAGTAAAAATAACATTATTGAAACGTATTTAAAGTGTAAATTTTATAAAGTTATTAAACTAACAAGAATTAATCGTAAAACAGATCAGTAAGTTAGTACATTCGAATTGTTCTAAGTATGGTATGCTGCGAGTATACAGATAAATCGTTTAAACGCTTCACGTATTCGCCTATTTTCCGCTGATTTTGCTCTAACTCAATTTCCCCGGTATCTATCTAAATTATTGGGTGGAATTCGAATCGGCTTTAAACACACAATCTTGAACAGACGCCAAATGGCAGCTTCGAATCTTCGGAGAATCTTCGGAATGCAAGTACGACACGGAAATCAAGGGATTCACTATCGAAGCTGGTCGAATTAGACAACGTACAGTTTTTTGGGAATCCCATAAATCCTATAATACGATCCGATAAAGACCTTAGCACATTTCGAATGATGGAGAGCACTGTAAATTGGCGTTCTATTAGAGCGGAAAGTTAAAGAACCAAAAGCTTTTTTCATGAATTTGTAATATTTTTACTGGTAATACTTATAATGGTGTTCAGAAAAGTGTTGTATAATACTAATCATAATATGATGCACTCTCATGAGTCTCCCTATACATATTTAAAGTAACAAATTGTATTGATACTATCATTCATTCAAAACTTGTTATAAAACGGGAAATGTTTGGTTAAATTGCATTAAAGATGAATCCAAATGCATTAATTACATTATTCGTATATTTTCTTAAAACGAATGAATGCTTTTTCATGTCATTTATCAAAGAACTTAAAAATACTCAAAGCTACCATAACAACAACAAAATAAAAGTGGATTTTATATCGTTTAATTGTTTCATTACAAGCATTAACGATTCAAAAATAAACATACCGCGGATTTTGAGAATGGTGCAGAATAAATAAAATTTGCATGATATTTTCGTTTCTACCAAAAAATAGTGTTCAACAATCACTAAAATTCTGATGTTGATTTCGTGTGAAAAATTAGTGAATTTCTAAATGGGAATTGTTACAAATTTATTCCTATAAACGAAGTTTATCTTTCAAAAATGATTGTAAAAAATATTGATTTTAATTATTCCATTATTTCCACATTGAGAAACACATTAGTATTGAATGATCGTAGAAAAATTGAATGCAAAGTTTAGGAATATTTGAATTTTCAGTTTTGTTTTCAACAAACAACAATAATTTTATAATAATTAAGGCATTTTGCTTGTTACTTTTGGATGAACCGTTTTAGGTCGCATTTAGCTCGAGTTCGGACCGTGCAATAAATTATAATTAAAACTTTTCCGGACTTTTCCACGGAATAATTTCGGCGGAGATTAGGAAAATTAACAGCTCTTCATTACATCCCCTTTAAGTAGCGGAAAATTTTTCCTTTACGCGAGTTTATATAATTTTTAATAATCATTATTACCTACAGTGGTTTTAAATTCGCCTAAAAAGTTTGTTTCAGTATTTAATAGTCATGGCTAGTATATAGGTATTCCGAATAAGACTGAACTTTGTAAATAATTAGCAAAGTTTGCCGATGCTTATTATGTATTCTGATGGAAATTCGATTTCATGAATATTATTCAGGAAGTTATTTTCTCTAAGGATCTTCCCATGATATATATTTTAAATAACAAACACGCATGTTCTCCCAGGAGTTACTATATAAATTATTTCATTAAAACTTATTACTAGATTTTTGGCATTCTCTATTGAAAATGTAAAATTATTATCTGTTGATTTAATTTACTTGATAATCTTAGATGAAGTGTACTAATCAGCACTTCTATAGATAAATATTGATATTTCGATTATTTCGTTAACTCTTGGTTTATTTTATTTTTCAAAACACCCTATACAATCTTCTGTAGTTGGATACAATCCTCTGGTGTATCGTTGTATTCAGGAAAAAATGGAAAATCGATTTATGGCAAAAAAGGTGGGGTCGCTATTTAGAAATATGTAAAAATAAAAAAATAATTTTTACATTGTTAGATGCCTTTTTCGAGTTTAAAAGATTCAAAAATACATATTTAATGCAAAAGTATGAATTTTGTTTGTATAAGATATAAATTATTCAGCATTCAGTAATTACCAATTTTCATTTAGATCTAAAATTTTGTTTATTTTATAATTCCAGTTTATCCAAAACATATTTTCCATTACGTACTTTCAATATTCAACAACTTTTATACTTTTTATAAATAAAATATGAATTTAGCATCTAAGAAAACTTACGCCTTGTAACAAATCCAAACATTGCTGTTAATTTTAAAATCTACCACTCCACATATCACTATCGCCAATAAATTACCGGGAGCGAAAAGTATTCGCGAGTTTTTCCGACGATTTTCCGTTCCGCGGGTTTCCTCGCGCCAGATTACATTGTGACTGTCTGTGCCGGGGAAAATGTATCGACGAAAAGTTTGTGGATGGCCCTGTTTATATGATGCATGAAGAAAAATAAACACCATACCGTATACTCAAATAATTCGATCTAAATTTATACGGCTTTTCTTCGCATATTTTTAATTGGAAATGAGCAGAACTAAACATGTTGTGCCGAAACTACCGAGAGCTAAATTTAGAATTTAATTTCTAAAACAATGCAAATACATCGTGGTAATGTGCAATGAAAAAGTTCTTAATGCCAATTCGCACGTAAAAATATTTCATTAGTTCTAAACTTTTCATTAAATGCTATTGTGGAAGAATTTGGGAATAAGATGTAAGTTAAAATGGTTTCGAGTGTAAAAAATCGCTTTCGGGAACTTTGCGAATTTGATTTATTTCAAAATCGAAGATGATTTATGTATGCAAATTATTAGGTACATGCCAATAACCGATTTCACAAAAAACTAAATACAGAAGACAAGCAGGGCCTTTAAAAGTGTTGCCGAGGAAAATTAAATAAGCAATTTGCTATTAAATAAATGACTAGATTTAGGGAAGTAATATCTATTTTCACCCACATGAAATAATTTAAAAGTATGATAAAATGGAAAAAATTTAGATCGCGAGTTGCAATTTCGCAATTTATTGTCAATAAAACATCGATAAAGTAGTAATAGCAGCATATTGGGATATATTCGGGTCTATTTATAACCGATTGATTACTTGTGAAGCGTAATTTCAACGTTTTTATATTTTTACTTCAAAACATTAAAGCCAAAATTGCACTTTTTTGATTGAAGTTATGATTTTTGTGTTCGTTTGGGCATCATTTCTTCTTCATTGAAACCAAGTTGTTTAAGTTTAATTTTGATCAACCGGACGTTCTAATCATAATTCAAAATGCTTTAATAATCCTGCATACCTACAACAAATAATCATATTTACAGTATGATTTGAAAGAGTTTTCATGCTAGTAAATAGGTTCTTGCATTTTGGCCATTTTATTAAATATTTAGCCTTTTCGTAATAATTACAAAGTCAAGTGCTGTTTTAAAAGTATGTTGAAACACTTTTCAGTAGACCTAATCACTTTCGAACTTACACAATTCTCCAGTTTCTCATTATCAATGAATTCCTAAGAATATTATTTCCTGTCTCTTATGTCGAAAAAATAAATATTTTAATATTTATTTCTATTTAAATTTTCATAATTAATTATATTAATTCTAATTACACATTTTTTTTATTTTTATTATTGAATTAAAAACTACAAGTACTAAAATTACTAACTTTTGATTACACTTAACATGCTCTTGACCCCATTTGTACAATTTTTTTTAAATACTTGAACCCTACTCTTACCAATTATCAAAATCAAAATAAAATATAAATTCTCAAAATAGATATTTAGCAGATAGTAAGTGGAAAATTTTATAACTAAATTTAATAATCTACCTACCTGTCCATCTAAATACCGTTTTGAAATAATTATGTATAATAATTAGATAAACACGCGTGAATTACGGAACCAAAAGCATGAAAATAATGTAAAATAATCATAATTTACGAATGAAATGAAATTATACTGTTGGGGTTTCATCCATATCTAATTAAAAAGTTTGTTAATGTTGAAATATTAAAGAGCACGCCCTTGCTGAGCAAACTTCGAACCTTACAAAATTAAATTATTAAACTAATTTTGGTTTAATCGCTCCAGAATTGTACGATGAATTTTTACACGCACGCTAAAATATAACATACAATTAAATGGAAAGCTATTAAAAGCCATGTAATGGTTAATAAAAACCTTATAACCCTCTTTACAGAACGCAACCATAAGAAGATAAACATGTTTTAAATTTATGTAACATTTTAATATAATTAAACAAAATAACTTAGATTTATTTTCGATACATGTTATAAGATTAATTAACCATAATACAATTAATCATTCAATTTGACCTTTACCCTGTAATACAGTAGTATGTATATTTAATATTTGTAGATACTTCTTCACATATTAGTGTATATTTTGATTTTGTGCAATAATGTTACTTCGTTGGAGTTTCTTTCTTCTTATATTTGTCTTATTCGACAACAATGAAATAAGAGGCTCAAGAAGTTATAGTAAGTTGATAATATAATATTTAATAATAACTTTAATAATTACTTTCTACTATTATGTATATCCGTAACAACAAACAGATTTAGAATGTAGAGATTCACAGATTTAGTTATAATATTATTTACGTAGTATGTAAGTTTGTTTGATTATTTATAAAAAAGGCGGCACGACCTGGCCCGCGGGTATCGTAGCAGAAAATTAATTACTACTTATATAAAGCACTTTTGAATAAGCACGTACGTTTAATAATTCCCATTTTTTTAGCTCCCAGCCGGGGCAGTTCATCCGGATCCAGGTCAACCGGGTCCCGATCACCGTCATATGGCTCCTCATCTTATCGAACTTCGAGACCAAGCGCAAGTCATGGCTCCTTTGGATGGCACACTACTTCTAGACCCAGATATACTACAAGGTTTGTCTATAGAAGTGTTGATTAGTATAACACAATTTACTTATTCCCAAACCCACTTACCCGTTTACTTTTGGATTTTGCACATCTTAATCTTCCAGGATTTCATATTGAATTCTGTAAAGCATATTCTAATACTGCATTTTTTCAACAGACGAACTCAACATTACCATATAACTACTATGCCTACTCATAGAACTACAAGAAGGTACTATATGACCACGATGCCTACCCACAGAACCACCAAGCACCACTATATGACTACAATGCCTACCCACAGAACCACTAAGCACCACTATATGACTACAATGCCTACTCACAGAACCACGAAGCACCATTACATAACTACAATGCCTACTCAAAGAACCACGAAGCACCCTTACGTAACTACAATGCCTACTCACAAAATTACTAAACAGCCTCCGTACAATCCGTTTTTCTCTTCTACAATTAAACCAAATCACGCTGGTTCGCATTTAACCACAAAGCAACCAGCGTATAATCCGTTCTTCTCAACAACCAAAGTTACCCACAACAATTTGCAACAAGGCAGCTGGAATGGACATAAAAACACGACTCGCCAGCCAGCACACAATCCGTTCTTCAGTACTACTACCAAGCAGCCACCATATAATCCATTCTTCAGCAGTACTACTCACCGGCCATTCGGAAATACGTCGAACAATCATCATCAGACTTCCGGAATCTGGGGTAGCACCAAGACCACTTCTAAACCTTCTCATTATTTTAATCGCACGCAAACTATAAGACCTTTGCAAAATGGAATACACAATGGGGGAAATCAACATGGTAGTGGTCATAATGGAGGAGGAAGTAATGGAAAATGTAAGTTATCTCAAAATTTCACAAAATTATGATATTTTCTATGGCTGTGGCTTACGATAATATGTTTTATAGGGAATAACACAAGGCCCACAGAACCCCATAGGCCTCCAGTGACACAGAAACCTATAGTGACGCATAGACCATGTAAGCATCAGCAGATATTTTTGTTTCTTAAATAAAGTGCATTTAATATAAAGCAATAATGAAATTATGGTCAGCAATATTATGCTGAGCTTTCTTAATACTATGTTTAAATAAAATTTTAAAATTTAAATTTTGAATTTCAGGGGGACCTTCATTTAGTGGTCATAATACAACAAATCACAAGTTCACTAAACCTTCCTGGAATAATTCTCATACTGGTAAGTTCTCTTTCAATACATTTCACTTTTTTATAATAATGTTCTTTCTATAATATGCATATTAAAAATAAAATTATTAATTCCAGGTATATCATCTTCGATCCATAGACCTGTGTACCAACCACCCGGTATGTATTCTAATAATCTAATTATAATCTATTTAGTATCTGTAGAATGATTCTATATTAACGATTCTTTTTTTTTAGGTGCAATTGTTAACCCTCACGTGAATCGTCCAAGTTATATTACTGGTTCTCATCCTAATCCAACGTCCCCCACTCATCACACAACTGTAATTAATAATAACAATTACCACTATCATCCAGGAGCAGGTTATTATCATCCTTCAACGGGATCAGTATCCCACGTAACCGTAATTAACAACAACCATTACGTTCCTAATTATCACCACAGAGTTATAATTCCTTCGCATCATTACTACAGTTATGGACCACCAGCTGTTGGAATTACCATTTTAGACAGTGATTACTACCACTATCATCCCCTTTCGTCTCATTATGTAACTACCTATCATTACACGCCAGTACATACGGGCAGTACAAGCTTAGGATTCTTCTTAGGCTACCAGTTGGGAAGAATTTCCAGGCCGAGTTATTATTACCACAGTACTAGCTATGTTAACAACGAATACGTTCCTAGGTACGATCACTACGACATACACCACTATTACCACAACAGCCAAAGTGTACCTAAGGAGGCTCCGATTCAACCCAACGCTATAGTTGTTTGTGCTGGTGATTCTAGCCAACTTTGTCCCAGTGGCAACATGCCATTGTGTACAAACAACGGAGCAGTAATGTGTGTGGTTAGTGCCCAATCAACAGAACCTTGTGCCGATAACAAAGAGAACAGCTGCGCTAAAGGCACCATCAATTGCCAAGGAAATAATTCACCGGAATGTAAACAACAAAACCAGGCCACGATAAGCATTCCATGCGTTTCCACCGCTAAAATCGCCGCTGGTGTTAACCTTGTCAACAACAGTTTGATAGTAACCGATCCTAACGATTCCAGCACGAAGAACTTCTGTGTTACAATTTTAGCTCTGCCGGCGCAAAGTAAAAACGCTACAGTTTCCGGTAAATTAGCCAAAGCACCGACACCAATAGAATTTAGCTTACCTTTCCGGTACACAACCAACGATACCGGCGTAAGTTTACTGGGCTATTACTTAGGAGAGAAACTTCAAAATTTAATTGAACCCAGTTATTCGTTCCTGAATTACGACGAGAATTACACGTACATAGAGAAGTTTAATCACTACAACGTGTTCCATTATGATCACGACGCTACTGTATTACCAAATATAGTAGATATTAAATCTGACCAAATTATGTCTTGTGCTGGTGACAGTGGAACATTTTGCCCTCAAAACACGACATCAGTTTGTCTATACGACGGAGCAGTTATTTGCGTAACCGAATTAAATTCGACCATTGTGAATAATGAATCGAAAGTAAATTACATTCGTAGCAATATATCTTGTTCCAATTTGAGATCACCAGCTTGTACAATGTCGGCACAAAATAGTACCATTACAATTGACATTCCTTGCATATCTACAGCTCGCTTGTACGCAAAGAGTAGTTACTTGATTAAAACCTACGGTACTGGAGCCAGCAGTATAAATTACAAGACTTTAACACCTGTGCTAAACGGAACTACAGTAGAAGCGTTAGAAAGTCCTCGTGAATTGTGTGTTACAGTTCTGGCATTACCAGGCGAGAGGGCTATAGTAAAATCACCTAAAGTTAGAAAAGTTTCTGGAATTCCCAATGCCCCTCATTCACTCAGACTGCCCCGTTATACTTACACAACTGCAGATGCTAGTAAGGACGCGTATGGTAATGAGTTGATAAAAAGACTGAACAACATTTATTATCCTACTTACTACTGGATAAATGCCTACTTGTATCAAACTAACGGAGAAGTTCAAAAGTATGACCATTACTCTCTTCATTATTACAACCACAGTGACGAGATAATACCTAATGATGTTCAGATTCAAGCTACGGATATCAGCGGATGTAGTGGTGATACAGGTATTTTATGTTCTCAAAAGGGTTCTAGTTCCTTATGTACGACTGATGGTACAGTGTGGTGTGTAACTGACCAGTTACTTACGGATATATGTCCCAAGAGGAATAATTCCGCTTGTGTTAAAACTGCCATTCCTAAAAAGATAGTTCTAGGTTGTATATCCACATTAACAGTAACAGGTGACGTTTTGGCAGTTAACGACACTATTTACACGAAAAAGGTATCAGAGAGCAGATCTTACGTAGATATCCAACCGATGCCTGGCAATTACAACAATACAAGTAAAGCTCAACATTTCTGCGTAACTCTCGTGGGAATTCCTATAGAAAGAAACATCACCACCGGAGAAAAACTTTTTGACAATTCAGATTCGTTGTTCGGCATGATAGCTTCTAAAATTTTCGGTTAAACTCAAAGAAGCCTTTCTTTTAACTACTTATACATATGTTAGTAGAGGTTGTAGTTTCATCACATTTTCATCACATTTTAACTAATACTCAATTAATGAATTACTTGTTGTACCTACATATATTCTATTCATTAAAATGTTTGAGAAGTAGATTTAATTCATGCTTTTAATTATAATTCTTCAAAATTTAGAAATTTTGTAGATATAATATAAATCCATTACGCATTTGTTTACATGCTAGAAATTAAAAAATTCTCAAACGTTGTAAAAGAGGGATAAATATTAAAATGAGAAATGTGTTTACTATACTTATAATTTGTTTATGTATTAAGATACATATTTCGACGAACTATTATTTTCGACACTGACTTCTGTTCGGTTCGAAGAAGTATGCAGATAACATGCTGTTACAACTTTATCAATTTTGTAATAAATGGAATTTAAATATTTTCCAAACATATTTTATTTTTTAACCTGCAGATTTCTCAAAAATTGGCTTGTAAATATAGTAATAGAGATTAAATTAACTGCGCTATTTATATTATTTATTATATTATATTTTATTTATTATTTATAATAATACAATTATTATAAAAAAAATTAATTTAGATAGGAAGTAAAAAAAATCTGGAAAAATCTCTTAGCTTTTGATAGATTTGTAACAACTAACAATAGTTTACAGCCGAATTTACATTTCACGTGTTTTAATTTTTCATGACTCACGTCAAGTCCCCGGAATCAATGAAATTCTCGTTTCACTTGCCTACTCCATAATTAACCGCGCGATGTTGTCGAATCAAATTTCTCAAAACTCTTTAAATACGGGAATACCCATAGTCACGATAATGAAATTACAATAACATAAAACATATCTTTAACAAATTGATTTATAAAAAATTGCTATTTAGGATTTTGAGTACATGTATTATATTCTTGAACGTAGATATTTAATGAAAGAGATATTTTATGAAATTTTTTAAAGGGATGTAGTAAAACCAGCCCTTTAAGGGAAATTGTATCTATTTAAATTCGCAGAAATACTACCTGAATTTTTACAAGTACTGTTATCGATATTGTTACCTACTACTTAAAATATAGGTATTCACAATCTTCTTCGGTCATTTTGTGAAAGTTTAAAATAATTTTAAGTAGGTATTGGAATAAGCTGAAGTTTTCGGAAATTGTGATAATACCGGCAACAATGAAACTACAAGTTTTACAACAAACCAACAACCAACACACCAACAACTTGTTAAGGTTGAGGTGACGAGTTGATCGTTGGTTTATCTAATGTTATTGGTAACCTTTGTGTGTTTTTAGATAGCAATGGATACTGGTCTTGTATCGATATGACATATTTAAGTGCAAATTCAGTCAATATAGCCCATTAGATAATTACTGTGATGATGTCTTATAAGGCTAAATTGTGTATTTTTATTGTGTTCGTGGTAGTTCAAGTATGTTTTGTAAATTGTGGAAGGTACAGTGGAGGTAGAAGCTCTTGTAAGTATTTTTTATTTTACATACCCGAATAAATTTTTAATAATAAAAACGAACATTTCTAAGACTTTACGTTCTCAATAATGGCTTTTAAAGAAATCAAATTAGGTATGTAGGTATCATGAATCCATTTCCTTTCAAATGTAAATTTCAATAACTTATTATGTCTACAGGTATCTAAATTTAGAGCGTAGAATTTATCGATTAAGAGTTATCCAAGTGAAATTGTTTTTTAATGAAGACATTTCCACTTTTTCAATATGTTGCAATTGCATAAGAAATAAATTCAATTAATTACCACTTTCATTTTTCTAAATTTAAAGTAACTTTTCTAAAATAATAGTTAACAAGGTAAGTATTCCATTCGCATTAATTATATGTTGAGGAATCATTTGACTACATTATTTCCATGAAGGTACAACGATTATCGTGGCGCTTTCTATTCTAGTCACGCGATAAAGAGGGACAATTGTAGCTACAGTTTAAAATGATCACTCACAATGAGATAAACATCTCAACATTCTGGCTTTCAGAGTGTCTACTCCACTTCTCAGTAATTACTTCCAGACCTTCGGCATATCATAACATCCCGAAATTGTAACGCAAATTATTTGAAATTATTTTTCGATTAAAAGAGTAGCCATCATAAAATAATTACACATTACTTTTAAACTAATTACCTCAACGATATAAATATTAGTAATCTAGTAATCAGTATTTATAAAATCGCTATTTACTTTTTCAGCAAGAACATATTCGAGACCATCCTACCATCCTTCTCCATCCTACCATCCTTCTCCATCCTACCACCCGTCTCCATCCTACCATCCTTCTCCATCCTACCACCCGTCTCCATCCTACCATCCTTCCCCATCTTACCACCCCTCTCCATCCCACCCTTCTCCATCTTACCACCCTTCTCCATCCCACCCTTCTCCGAGCCGTCCGTCTTCGTCTTCGCATCCTTCTCAAACCCACCCATCTCCATCAAGTCTTTCGTACCCCAGTTACCATCCACTGCCTTCTCCTCCTGTGTATCGCCCACCAGGGTACAACAGCAATTCTGGTAGCCAGCAGAGCAAGCCTATCGGCTGGAATGTCCCCGGCGGTCATCCCTCAGAAGCCATTGGGCCGCCTAAGACCGTTTCTGGAGTAGGAAACGCTGCTTCAGGTCATGGAACTGGTAAGTAAATGACCCCGTTTTCAAAAAAGTAATTTATAAAGAAATGATCTTCGTATTTAATTTAATTATAAAAAATCTAATACCATATTATGGAATTGGGAAAGTGCATAATATGAATTTCAATAAAGCTTCTATCAGAACGTTTCAGCACAACAGAACGCAAATTTATTTTTTTATTTTATGCAATTGAACTCACAAATGCTCTCCTTTTGATGAATTCGGCATTCATTGTTGGAATAATGATTGAAAATTGAATTCTGCAATCGGTGTGCATTGTTGGTGCTTAATGCTTATTTTATTGAATGTGCACGCGAGTACAAGAGGCTCGTGTCCTGGTAATTTTGCATTTTCCTAGAAACCACGTAAATTGTGGTGAATACATAATTTATATAAGGCAGGGAATGTCTGGATCTATGTATAAAATTGCAGAAATTGATATTCATATTTATTAATCGTATATTTTAGAAATTATCGTACCCTGATACTTAATTTTTTTGCAGGTAATACTAATAGTAGGCCAATAGGTTTTGTTCCTCCGGGAAGCCCAGGAAGTCAAGGTTAGTATCACTTTATTATCTCTATTTAACATCTTCAACATGGTATATTTTTAAAGGTTCAAATACACATGGATTGCCTGTAGGACCTCCCAAGACTGCTACTAACGTTGGAAGTGGAACAGGTAATAAGTCACAATTTGTTGTTTATAATCTGAAATTAAAGATCCTACATAGATTTGATTTTTAAATAACGCTGGTATAATCTAGTTCAAATCAATAAAATCCACGAATCTTTCTTTAATAAAATACCCGTTTCAACAATCGTCTGGTTCGGCGAATAACCGATATTGTAAAGATGCACACGCAAGACATAACAATCCAATCCAATTCGTATAATTCATCTAATCAACGGTTCGTCTGCTGATACCATGGAAGCAATTGATAGCTCTAATTGGTTTAATTGGCTCAACAGCAGCAATTGATGTTATTGTAGTAAAAATGTTTCCAACGGAAGTTAAACGAAAAACGACAAATATGATTACAAGACTAACAGAAAATAAAATAAATATTTTCGAAGTCATTCGCTAATTAATAGGAAATACAAAAAAAACTGCTTACAAAAGTTTTCAATTAATCTCAACTCGTTATATTTATTTCCTGTACAACCAATTTTATAAAAATAGAATAGGTACATCATTTTACAATTATTTATCAATCTACATCTGGTGACATCACACGATGATAACCATGGTGTATGATTATAATTTATATTACTCTAAAACATCTGAATAAAGTTTGTTAATATTTATCTACAGCACCTCATTTGGAAAAGCAGCCTGCTTACAACCCACATTATAACCCCGCTGGTTACGGACCCCCGCCTGCCTACAACCCAGCTGGGTACGGTTCACCTCCAGCCTACAGCCCCGCTGGTCATGCCCCAGCTTACAGTCCAAATGGATATGGGCACGCTCCACCAGCATACAGCCCAGCTGGAAGTCACCCTAACGGATACGCCCACCCACCTCCTGGGTATTCTCCTGCAGGACATCCGCCGCCATACAGTCCAGGAGGATACCATCCACCCGGCCATACCACAGTAATTAACAACAACAACTACCATTACGGTGGCGGTTATGGAGGTGGTTATGTACCAACATATGTACCTACTTATCATTACACCTCACACGATACAGGTCAGTAACCAATAACTAATAATAGTTGGTAGGTAATCATTTTGGTTGTATTTTAGGTAGTGGTACGTTAGGGTTCTTCTTGGGATACAGCTTAGCTCGATTGACGACTCCGAGTTTCCATTACCATTCCTACAGTGCCTACGACAGCGCTCCGCGGTACGACCATTACGAAGTTCACCACTACTACCACAACAATAACAACAACGTTCCGAAAGAAGCTGAAATTCAACCGAACGCCGTCGTGACGTGCATAGGGGATACCGGCTCGTTTTGTCCAAACGGTACTACTTCTTTGTGTACCAACAACGGTGTGGTAATGTGCGTGGCCAGTGCAACTACTACGGTACCCTGTACGGACGTTCGCCAGACCAACTGCGTGAAGAGTACGGTTCCTTGTTTGAACAGTACTGCTCCTGAATGCAAAAACGCAGTCAATAACCAGACCACCGTTAGTTTACCTTGCATATCAACTGCTAAAATTTACGCAAACGTCACCTACGTTAACAACACCTTGGTTATTTCTCAGAGTAATAATACCGATGCTGGCAGTAATTCTAACTCTACTGCTTCTACTAGCTTACCAATTACCACAACTGAAAGGCCTAAGGAACCTCAGGCGTTCTGCGTTACTATATTGGCGTTACCGGCTAAAAGAGAGCTGTCTGAAAGTGAAATGTTATTTAACAAAGCCGACAGTTTATTTGGTAATTTCGCTGTTAAGGCTTTGGGAATTGCTTGACATACGTTATATGCTTCAATGATCTACTGGTTACTTAAAAAAATAATATGAAGAAATCTTAATATTTTATTCGTTATACCTTAAAATACCGTAATATCAGAGCCGTTGCAATAATGTGAAAATATCTAAATGGTATTCCAGCTGTTATTTGTTCAATCACAATGCAGTGATTGATTAATTAAGTATTCTCTGGTGTAAATTATTTTGGAATGTACTGATTAACTCGTTTAGAACTTTTGTAGTTATTCACTTATTTGTTTATATGCTTGATTCACGGACTGCACGTTCTTGTATCATCACGTTTATTAAAAATATTATTAACGGTTAACGGGTACCTAATTGTGTCAACAGTTTTTTATAATTATTTCTAGCTTTATTAAAAAGACATAGATTTATGAAGTAGGTACTCTATTTCAATAATGATCTTTAAATTTACAATAGAGCTTTTTTCTTCTGCAATGTAAATATTTTCTTATCTGAATATCTGAATGTTACCTGAAAATTATCTGAATTCAGAAAAATACTCAAGTATAATGTCCTAATTATAAAAAACAAACATTTGATGTTGAACAGTAAAAAATGTTCAGTAGAAAATTATAGCTGTGATAAAATATTAATAATAAAACCATTCAGATTGTGGTGGTTCTGTTGTGATTTGAAATCAAATAGAACTTTATATTGTATTAACTATAATTTTATATCAAATCTATTTAACACCAAAGAATCGGTAAAAAATATATTTGTTTATAATAATTCTTCTGTATACTTGAAGAAAATTTTATATGCTAAGAACATTCATGTAAAATTAAATTTAGGCAATAACATAATCTTATGACAAAAAGACATGTATGTATAATAATTCATCATTTATTAGGAATCTTGCTAAATAAATTATTTACATTTCGAAACTAAACTTATCTCAAATTCGGCTCGTCGCGTTTCAATTATACATGTACAATTTAATTAATTAAATCTGATATATTCTGTTGAATTTAACATCCATATAAACCCAAATATATTAATAATTGTATAAGTACATACGATTTATTTTCCTTGCTCCTATCTTCGTTTTATTAACCTTTGCTATTTTATGAGAGACTGCATTTCGAAATTTCGTTATGCAAATAGTAATTCAGTGTTAAGTTTATATTTAGAGCAATTAACTGATGTTTACAATGTCGGGAAATCTTAAATCGCTATACATATTTCTATCGATTATAATCATCAAAGTTGGAGTGAGTTCTCCGCTGCAAAGAGTCAACAGAATAAGTAAGTCTAGAATTAGAAGTTGCCAGATAAGTAATTAAATTTTGTTAGTACCGCTCGATTAATTAAAAAAAAAACTTTTCATCTTGATTTTATAAGTTGTCGTTTTAAGATTTGAACGTGAAATTGAAGAATAATTCATCGATATTGGATACAGGAAGAGGCAATATCGGTATATTTTTGAGCAAATCCGTGAGAAATTTGCGTCCCCTACGAGAGCATTATTATTGGAAAATACACCATCACTTCCACAACAGAGACGATGCTTTGCAAGATATCAACGTAATGCCCAAAGACATCACGCTTTGCGAGGACGGCGCCGGGGCGTTCTGCCCCAAAGGAAGCGTCGCTTTGTGCACTAAAAACAGCGCCGTAAGGTGTCTAACCAGCTTATGGGAAACGGAAATTTGCGATAACAGTATATATTCCCATTGTGCCAGTATTTATTTACCCTGCAACATGTACATACCGGAATGCCGCGATGAGGGTAAACAATATTTCAAAATCTTGTCGAGTTGCATAGCCGTGGTGAATGTTTATGCGAACTTGAAGCACTTCAATGGGACGATCGCAGCGCGAAATCTAATCAAGGTTTATCCGCCGAACTATTTCTGCGAAATCGTCCTGGCGCTGCCTGCTCAGCTCACCAAAGGTGAAGAACTCTTCGCCAGGATTAACGAAATGTTCGGAAAATTCGCTGTTAGAGCTTTGGATATAAATTAATTTGCACTTACTTGGTAATTAACTTATTTGCACGTCTTTTGTCTATTAAAATTAAGTTGTATAACGCAATTTCCAATTAGTAAACATGTTATATAATTGGAATCCTTTCTGTAATACAAACTTTCCCGTGGTATTTCATCGAACGAAGAAGCAGGATTCGAGTCAATAATACACGAGTGCAAAAAATAATTGATATCCCGCGGTTTTTCGTACATATTTTGTTTATTTATGTAAGGACTTTAACGACCCATCGTTAACCCGCTATTAAAATTACATAAATTATACTTAACATTATTTTTATTTGTACCGCTCTTTAAAAATCAAAAGACCGGGAAACTTTGGTTTGAAACATATGTTGGTCTGCGCCGATACGATTAGTGATATTTTTGTAAATATTTCATTTAGAATGAGGAAATTTTGTGTTATTGGTATTTGATTTTTGGTCCTGGGTTTATTGGATTTCAAGCAAAATAAATGGAAAATAGTGATAGTTACTGATTAAATTAATTACTTACCGATATCAGCAGGTCCATTGTCATGATCCGTCCATTCCGAAAACTGAAAAGAATAATGTAATTAAATTAAGTGCATTCAAAGAGATATTTTATTTTAATATTTACTATTATGTTATTACTCGTTATCTTTTAAAGAATATTATATTAAATTTATGTGCGTTCACTTTAATTTTAATTAATTTATGAATATCAAATTAGCTGTAAAATTTAGGCATAAACAGAATTCATTAGAATTGTAAATCAAGTTGCAAACACCTACGCAATTACACGAGCACCCTGTGTAAAGTTATTAGGCAACATCACAAGAACATAACTCTTTAGATTGCATGATTCCTGCCATTTCGTTGAATGAAAACGAACGGGCACAACAACCCCTCGAAATGCACCTATTTTTAGTTAATATAAACAAATAAGCCGCAATTTTATTGACGGCATGTACGCAGGAAAAATCGTTATTACGTAAAACTAAACCAAAGTAGAATCCTATCGTCACCTGCCGGCCCCCTTAATCGGGGTTAATGATGTCGTACGAAGAATAGTGTGTTTATATTGGGGCAAATCACGCGATTGCCGCCTATTTTTATCGATTATGTATAGGGGGTAAGACGGGCCGTTTATTTTAGTTACCTCTCACGTGTAATATATTATTTCATAGCAAAATTAAATTATTTCCTACATGTTTATCTTTTAAAAATCTGAAGATAATAAATTTTGTAAAAAACAATTTATGGCTAAAGAAACTTGGTATAGTTGTTAGAGCTTTTAAAAGGAGCTCAAGAAAGAGCACCCAATGAATTTTCTATCTAGTAACTCCATTTGTGCGAGCAGAAATACTGGATATTACGCTTCGGAATGGTCATAGAAGTAATAAGTTATTCAGTATGAAAACATAGCAGTCAACGGCCCTACGTCGTTACCGTTCAATTGACGAACCCAGCGAGTTATATATTCGCACAGGGCGCACGCCAACCCAGCCGATGGCCTACATGCGGGAGCGGAACGGCGGCGGCGGCGGCAGCGGCGGTATATCGCCGGCTTGGGCCCATCCATCGACCGATACCATAGGGCATCGGAACTTCGGCTATATGGGTAACCGTGACGGTGCAATAATCAGCGGGTCATGGTGTCAAAGACCCTTTCGGTGCCGGCAGGTAGGTCGTCGACATACTGGCGTGCGCTTTTCGTGGGCGAATCGCACACCGGCGTTGGGCGCTTGATTTACCTAATTTATCTAATATAGCGCAGGGAACTTTGCGCGCTCGGGCCTAATTTGGTGTGGGGAATGCGTATCGGTTGAATTAAATGAATGGTTAAAAGCTAGGAAATTTCGTGTTTATGAGTTATAGAAGGTAGAAAAAAGCATGCTAAATGCTAGCTCAAATGCTTAAATTAATGTAGAGAATAATTTAATAAAAGTGAAATGGGGATGAAAATGTTTTATTACTATTACTCTTATGATACATATCAAAATTTTATTAATATATTATACCTATATGATACTTTTTAAAATCAATCGTCTCTATAATGAGAAACAATGTTCCTTATCCAATACGGAAGGCAGAGGATTCCAGGATCGAATGAAAACACCTACACTAGAACACTCTGAATTAAATTTAATAATGAAAATTTAAAAATATGAATCACATTCAAATTATAAAAATAAATCAAATTTGAAAATGTCTACACAATTTTCTACAATCATCCCCAAGCAATAATGAAATAGGCGTTTATGAAGGCACAAAAAATTCTACAAACAAAATTTCCAATTAAAAAATCGATATTATTTTCATCCTGGATGGAAGCTATACCATTTCAGTTCGATGATGAAAGAATCAATATTCGCACTTAACAAAGCTACTCGAATTTCGTTCCAATCCTTCCTACTCTCATTATGTTTATAAAAGTTTTCGCGTTCGCTGCATCCCTTATCGAGGTATTTGGCGTTTCGATTAGCCTTCTAAAAATTTATGTCTCGGCTCCCACTCATTTGTATTGTTATCGAAGTAAATAAATATACTCTACTTATCTACCTGGTAGAGGTAAAATTCCTGGATATCTACAAAACTTCTTGTAATTTATGTTCAAAGTTGAATTTATGTATCTTATGGATGATGAGATTTTAGGATTCAAAATGCTGCATAAATCATTGAATTTTCTGATATTGAAAAGTTGTCTCATTCCTCTGTTAGGTAATCGAGGAGATCTCATAACTATATATTTTTTGCAAATAAAACCCTCATCAAAAACGAGGATACCTCAACTTTAAGATCCAGCAATCGATCGATAGTCAGCAAAGCTCCGTTGAGTAGCATGTGCCAGATTGTTACGGAAACAACTTCGTTTATGACTCGAAATGAACTTTTAACGTTCAGTAAACCCTTTAAAATCGACCGGATTTTAGTGCCATTTTCGAAAGTATCCTTTGTAAATTGCACGGGGTGCACGAACTTTCGCGACCGTTACAGTTCACCAAAACGGGGCTAGTATTACAACCTTTCACGAAACTAGATCAAAGGAATAAAAGCGATTCAAACGGAAATATTCGACTTATTTCTGAAGGAAAGGACGCGCTTAAAACTCGATTTGTTTGCATAAAATCGGGAAGTTTTCGTTTCGCGGAAATAAGTTAAGTTCTTGTTTATTAAGCGACGCTATAATGCTACTTTGAATTATTTTGTATTATTGAATGAAATTATCAATGCTATAAATTACTCTAAGGACAGAACAACAAATAAAAAAAGGCCTTTATAATGCATCAGTAAAGCAAAGAACAAGTCAAATCTGGAGTCAAAAACATAGAATCGGTCAAATGTATTGTTTCAGATGATTTATAATAGTGCATGACATGAAATATGGCGCCATTTGTCTCTTCGAAACCAGGGTATTAAATTGCCGAGCAGTTTATGTGATTGTTAAATAGGCTTCCAAAAACGATAAATTTGATTTTTTAATGTTTGTGGATTGTTAAAACAATCATTTCAAAAATTTATCATAAAAAGACTACTTAATTATACTCGATTTAACACTCCCATTAAATCAACTTTATTGATATATTTAATTTAAATAAGCAGATCCCTTAAGTTTGTCGTTAGTTCCCTCATTACTTAGAGCCCTTTTTTCGTGTTCTATTTCGGGAATGATAAATGTTATCGGATAAGCGCAAAAGGTTTCAATTTTTGTCTGAGCGTGGCATTTTTCTCGGGATAAAAACTTAATTCGCCCCGGTATAAGGAATGTCTCGGGACTGGCATGTCTCGGATACGGGAAACTCGATTAGAGGGTCGGAATCTGCGGGCAGAGGTTCGCAGGAATCGGGCACATAAGTGAAATCTGCAAAAAAGCGAACGGATCCATCGCTTACGCCGGCTTCCATAATGTCAGAGGGGATATTTTACTCAATGATAGCCGGGCATGAAAACGACTAATGTATTTTATTTCGATTTTCTTTTCTGTGACATTTTTTGATACTTTTATCGCCTTAGTTTTGTTACCACTACGTACACTGTATACCTGGATAATTTACTTTTAATTATAGTGAGTTTTTCTACATTAGATTAATTGAATTAGAGGTTGTTGAAAGTAAGAACAAAATAGGGCATATAGAGGTGCTGCATCCGTTGGTTTCAAAAAACAATTATTTCGTACGAATTTCCACCCCATTCGTGTTATTCTGCGATAATAAGACAACGATGCTATCTAACGTACGATAAGTATTATTGATTAACTTCCCTCGTTTCGGTTCTAGATTTACCGTTAACGAATAGGACACTCGAACGTATAGGATTCGGATTTTATAGAGGAGCTCGTTTGGGGTAGGTATACCTACATCAGATTTCAATTTTCTGGTGAGATTATTTACGAATTCGGGGGTTTCGGATAATCGAATGGTTGGAAAAAAATTGTCGGGTAAAAAATCCGTAATGATTTTTTAACGTAGGAAAAATGAGAAGATATAATCTGTGCCGTTTATCTAATATTCCGATCCTCGAAATAATATTTGACTGACATTTTTTCCACACTTTTGCTTCTCGGAAGCTTAAAAGAAGTACTTTTTGTATGTACAAGTTTCTAGTGATACTTCTGCTTCAGTAAAAATTGCCTATAAACAAAAATTCACCAGGATAAATAGAGCTTGGCTTGGGGCTTGAAAGCTTGGTTGGGCCTGACAGACAATAAGCTTATTTAGAACAAAAAATTGGCTGAAAAATTTAGGCTTGGTGTTTGGGCTTTGTTAAGCTTACTTTAAAAATGTCGAAATTTTCATACAAAAATTTATAATGCGTATCTCGAGACAAGGTTAGCCAAGCTTTTGTAATTTACTTCCTGAAATAGAGGAAGGATTAACTGCTTAACAAAAAAAAAAACAATTTTATTCTGTAAATTTGCTTTTTTATGTACGTTTCTATTTTCTTTTATACGCTCTGTTCTTTCCACGGAGCCAATTTGTAGCTCAGTGATTTCTAGAAAATTAGCTTTATATTACTCCCACTGACTCTAACCGAGAGGTTTGTAATATTTACAAATCCTTTGGAAATAGAAAATTATTTCCTTTTTTTAGAAATTGTTTGTACCAACATGTATTAGAAATATATTTAAACACCTTAATTCAATGAAATTGTTTTTGCATATAAACTTCACATAAAACGCGAAATCACCTCCATAATAATTTTATATCATTCACTTTTACGACCTAAAATAAAAATAGTAACTCCCATAAAAGCAGACTTCATAATTAAGATTATAGGTACCCTTTTAAAGACTCCAGATTCCTGAAATTAATTTATTCCAATCAAGGCGCCTCTTCATCTCTTTACTACGAGGCGCTTGTAGGAGTAGTAAAATCCTTGAGTAATTTCTTCTTCGTCGCTAAAGATGCAAATTTTAAACGCCACTGCCAATTCGACCGTGAACAGATTCTAATGAATTCTTTTGTCAGGTAATTGCAGAAATGTCTAGTTCGATTCGAAATCGAATCGGTATTGAAAACTGTTTATTCGCAGAACGCCAATTATCAACGACAATATTTATTTGCGGAAAAGTCTGGAATGATTTTGATAGCGAAATTGAAGTTCCCAAACAATGGAATATTTCTCGAAATTTGCTTGAAAAGTGATACCTTAGAATTATTAGAACATTTACATATCTTGTTTCTCTACCTCCATCTTGAAGTAGGTAAAAGTAAATCATGTCAAGCTTTTTTTATCGAAACAAGGATGTGGAGTGTTGAGTATTTTAAGAGCACTCTTATTTTGTGCACCGAACTGTGTCATTGTTCTATTAAAACCTGGGGTAAAAAGGCTTTCAGGATAATGCGGGTGAATATATTTTCTTTATTAAGGTAAAGTGTGAGCAAATATGTTTGCGGGGAGAGTTTGTTTAATTTTCTCTATTTATTTAAATAACGTTACAGGTACCTAAATGATTTGTAATTTATTTGTGATCCAAATAAAGATCATAAACATTCATTCACAACATTTTGTTTTGATACTCTCTTTTTCTACTAGATATCTACGTATCCGGTAAATATCCGAAATATTCAATTCGTAGCATCTATAATACAAAGTAATACAAAGGTGTGGAAACAAATGTAGAATCATGTTGTGTTGAATCGAAAATGCCTCGGCTCCGAGAGGATTGAATCCCTATTTTATGCATGCTAAGTCGTTCTACACAGAATGTTGCTCTAAAATTTACACCGGATACTTGTGCGGTAGTTATTTCACGCTAGATCGATCATTCGTTTAACAGGAGATACTGGGAAATTGAGGATCTAAGTGAATGGACTACTAGTAGATATTTTTTATCGAAATTGCATTCCTGTTTTCATATTGCATGGCTCGCTTAAAAAATTCTGCTCTCTACAGAATTTAGTACACGAAGCTCTCGCTAAAACCTCATTTGAAATCACCCTAAAAAATTCAGCGCTCGTCAATAATGACGTCCGTTTGCCAAAGAATCATTCCAGCGTTCCTGAGGAATCGTCTTTTATGCAGCAGCTCTCGATGCACAAAAGGTAGAGTAAACGCCAAGGTATAAACCACGAAATGCACGCGAATTGTTAATTTTATCCCGCAGCTACCTTGCCCGACTCCATGGAGCTGGCCACCGGTCTGGAGAAGCGCGAATTACAAGCCAAATTGGATGGGAATTATAATCCCTTCGATTACGTCGTAATACAACGCGAAAACGGCACGAAAAATTGCCCCATCGAAATTCCATCGGCCTTCGAGTGTCGCCTCGTAGGCTGCATCTGCGAAGACCTATCCACCAGCGTTAATTACATGTGGATATACAAGGGCATACCTAAACGGTGCGAATGCGGTTACTGGTTTAAATTGAAATTCAAATGCGGCATATGATTCCTTCATTCGTTGTTTGTTAAATTCGTTACGTACGGAAAGGAATAATAAAGTAGTTTATGTGAAATTGCTTCTGTTTTGAAACCGTTACAACCAGGTAACTGAACTAAAAAATACACGGGAATAAAAAAGGGTGATGGAGGCTAATGAAATTTAAGTTTGCGAGGCGACCCAGATAGAGTTAAGTGTCCGGATCAATAGGGCCTTTTCCTTTCTGCTTGCTTTCCTTTAAATCCCGGAACGTCGTGATTTGTGGATATTATTCGAGTTTGAGGCGAAGGGGGCTCTTCGAACAAATTGCGTTACGTAAATGTGAATGAAAGGCAAAGAAGAATGAAGTGTGTACAATTCCGTCGAGAATTAACATTATAGGTCAGCGATTGCGTAAGCTGGAACCATAAAGGAAAAGGATATGTGGCGACTAAGGATTGCTTAGGTTAATCATAAATTTACTTGACGGAAGAAAGGATAAGGATGAGGTCAAAGAACGGTTTATTGCTTTGTTTGTTCTTGAAATGATTTTTTGTCCAGATTAGGTTGTATCGAATTTATTAGTATTCTCAACAAATTCCCTAAGCGTGTACCGTTATTATCGCAGAGACAAGGCGACAAATCGGTGTAAGTCGCAGAGCAAACCGAGAGTTATCCTTTATCCGAGCAATTAGCAATGAACACACAGAAAAGCGCCGTCACGGCGGTTTTATTAGCGTCGTCAAGTTTCGAGCAAAATAAATTTTGTAACGCTACATTATAACCTAGTTGAACCGAAATTCCAAAGTTTCCGAGCGCAATAAATGCTTTCGGTAAAATAAACAATAGAACCTGTAAATTAAAATTTGTACTAGCGAGTATGTTTAATAAGAAAACCAACTCCAGAATAAACTGCTCATTAAATTAAGAGCAGGAACTTTCATACATTAGTATGCAACCATTAGACCTACAATTAAAATAATTCCTTTTACAACTTAATTGTAAAATTTAATTGAACTACACAAAAAACAAGTAGAAATTAAACAAACTCATTAATTATTACCCAGTTATTCAATGAGCACACATTAATTATTGGAGTGATAATGGGATTGTGGTTGAGGATTATGCGATTTCTTTTTGGAAAAGTTTGACAAGGCATAAATAAAATCGATATTAATTTCCACGCAAATAAACTGGATAAATGGGGCATTCAACGAACCCTATTGGAAACGTCACGTCAGTTGGTCGATCATCGTCCTACGAAAAATTGGAAAATGGAGAGATAATTTATAGATTTTCCGGATGGATCAACTCGAATGTAAACATGATTTATGTGGCAATTAGGGATTTTCTTTTGTTGTTTAGCTTTAGATATTTTTTTTGTTGAAAAAAAATTAAGTAATTACGCATGCTTAGAATGAATTCAAAATGTTGAGTGAATGAACCAAATTCGAGATCAATCAAACTTTTTTTTCTTTCTGCAATAGAATTCTGCGGGAAATTGTATTCATAAAATTACGCCCACGCTTACCCAATTTGTTATTCATTATTCACTAACAAATTTTCCATTCAACATTAATTATCCACGTATGTTATGATCAAACGCTATATGTGTCGGTGTATCCAGTTGACAATAATTTTCTGCGTTTGACAAGGTTTTGTAACTTAAATGAAACCTTTATCCAGGTATTATGTAAATTAATGCAATTTACTCAATGCATTGAGTAAATTAAATTGCAAATATAAATAGTTTATTATTTAAGGGTTATTAAATTAAATGTTGATTATTTTATTACATAATTTGTAACGATTTTTTGCAATCTACTTAATTAAAGTTTACTGTTGTCTTAATATATTTTAGACCTTAGAAAGTAAGTTGTGAATGAAAGTTATTTATTGAAAATATTATTACCTTTATAACTTGTAATATCTTTAAAAAAACAATTACTTTTCTTTCCCGCCTCAACTTTTTTACTCCGCTAAATAGCTTTTGAAACAGTGGTAAAACAAATAACAGTCTTTTACATTTTATGGCAGAGTTGCTTCGACTTTAACAAGCGTTTTATACCAATACCGAGAATAATGTAATAAGTATTTTGCGACGCGACGCCCCGAAATCTTTATTTCTGAATTTTCTGAATATTCAGCAATTTGAACTTTCAAGGCACCGCCGTGATTTATTTAGAACGCCAGTTTCAGAATCGACCTTGCGAGCTTTTGCCAAAATTATACTCAAATAATGAATATCTTCATCTGGGGTAAAAATTTTTGATTTATTATTAATCGGAAATTTGGAAATAAAATTAGTTTTTTTTTATTTGTTATCAAATTTCTTACTTTCTAAAGTGAATACTCAATAAGTTCTTTTCAAGTCAAAGCCAAACGTTTCTGCAGGCATTATCATTCATTTAAAATTTTACGATTTTGTGGAATAAATTTATAGCTGCGATAAAGTACTAACTTACTTCAGATAAAATACCTACCTCGAAGCTACACTATTTAAAAACGAAAAAAATTGTCTTTATACCATAAAATTGTGCAGTCACGTTGCTTTCCAATCTGTGTTTATGATAGGAAAATAATTGCATGTTATGCTGTATTTTATGGTTATTATTTTAAGGGAGCATAGCCAAATATGTACATATTGCAAAACTTTTTAATAAATTTTGTAGTCGTAGAACAGTGACAGGTTCCATATACGCACACTGTACAAATTTCTTCATCACGCATTATTTGCCATTATGCTTGAAGATTAGAGCCTAATGACCCTTGTACAGTTGTATTTTGAAATAAACTATTTTATCAATTTATTTTTTTTATCAATAAACATTAAATATTAATACACTGTGTCTAAAGTCGAGCGCTACATTTGTCCGCCGATTCATCGCGCCGAAGCCGCGCCTCTCCACAGTTCGACTGATTCTCTCTTTCTACTGTTTGCAGCGCTCGAACATGGACACTCTGTATAATAATTTATTAATTTAAAGTTAATAACAAAGTGATATACAATAGATAATACTAATAACACTCATTTGAAAGCAAAAATACAATTTCTTCACAAATTTATAATAAACCGGTATTTTATTTACAGTTTCGTATATTTTAATTTTGAAATATTAATAAATAGTGACCACATTTATCAGTTTTGTTGAGCAGTAGTGATAAGTTAGTGTAGGCTTGGAGTACACAAATAGTTTAGATTAAATTATAATTTGCATTTGTAACGTAGATACATTGTGGCTTACTTATTCAACTACTATACTCCCAATCAAAAAATAGTTTACAACTCGTAGAAACGAAGGAGTCAAGTCGGACTCAGCAATACAATGAAAATTTTTATTGTTTTGGTGATTTCATCGTGTCTGTTTGTAGTTAATTGTGCATTTGTTGATAAAAACGGTAAGGATTCATTATATCTAAAATGATTTCAATGCAACAGATTGAAACAATAGTGCTGTAAATATTTATGCAGAACGCTACAATTTTCAATTCCACTCCGTGCGCAAGATGCAGTTTGAATATTTAAACAGTTCTTTTATATCGAAATGCAATAGTGTTTTATAAAAATACTTTCAGCAATTTTTATTTCCACTCTCATTTATATTCATTGATTTACTTATCGGAAAGATTTAATTAATTCGTACCTTTACAGATGCTTATCAAAAAATGATTAAGGCCTTAGAAGACTACAAAACGACCGGAAAAAGGCCATCCTACCTCGAAACGGCCGCGAGAAAATTCAATACACCAAACCTTTTGCAAAATCCTTCTCTTGCTTACAAAAACGAATTTTGCACAACTTGCGGTCTGATAGTAGATCTAATGTTTTATCAAAGAAAATATGGCGGCATCAGCGACATCGATTTCACCAAGGAAGTCGAATTTTTTTGCAACCTCTTCAGCGGCAACAACGAGCGGGTTTGCAAAGGATACGCGAGTCTCAATGCGGTGAGCTATCCAAATACTCGTATAGCTACAATTTCATGTCAACTATAATCGTTAATTGTTTCCAGCCGGTATTTATGTACATCATAGATCACAAGCAGAACATAACTGGCGCTGAAGCTTGCGGCATATCCTACCAATATCAAGGATGCGAATTACCAGAAACGTTCGATTGGTCTATAGAAATACCTCCAGGAAACACCGTGCAAAAACCGCAGGTTCGTATCTGTTTCTGTCTATGTTTAATTGAACGTAACGCCTAATTAATTGCTTTATCTTGACGGTAGTCGACAGGTAGGAATTCCTTCAACATTCTACACATTACCGACATTCATTACGATCCGAGATACGCAGAAGGTAAAACTAATAACTGCGGAGAGCCAGTGTGTTGTCAAAACGATCAACCGGATGGAATCACGTCTGAGGATACTTGTGGATATTGGTCAGATTATATAAACGCGGATATACCATGGAGGACTGTCATGGAGGCTTTAGATGAAACGAAAAAACAAGTAAGATGCTATTAATTTTATATCCACATACAGAGTTGCAAATATATAACTCATGGGGTATGTTCTAAATTTCTTCCTTATATTCTAGTAATTGATGTAATTTACTCCACTCCCTTTTTTTCTAAAATTAATCCTTGGAATTAGTAATGAGCACTTAAGACTCCTTTACACTCTTTAAGCCTATATCCTTTTGCCTTTAATCCTCTCACTATGCAGGAACAAAGCCGTTTTTGCAAAATTCACTTAACAACTTCATACATTTGTAATTGCTATTTTCTAGAAACAGCTTAAACCATTACCTACGCAGAGCAGTGAGGAAATTATTCATGATTAACACGACGTCAACAAAGTCGTGGATCTTGGATGTAAACATTTAGATGAAGTTAAATTACTGAAGTTTTCGATTATTTTTCTATCCGCTTTTCTCACCGAATTAATCAATAGTCAATTAATTAATTTATGGATGAAATGTACACATATTAATAGTTTTTGTAATATGAACCCCGTAAATCGAGAGAATGCAATTTTGTTGGAACAAGCATTTACGTCATTACGTAAATATTAAGCCTATCAGTAGAATACATTATTTATCGAACTTTTCTAGTTACACTTGTATTTTTGCAGCAATACGACTACGTATATTTCACTGGCGACATTATAGCGCACAGGACTTGGAACACTAGCGTCTTGGACAACACTCAAATTATTGCTCAAATAATGGATGCGTTAGATCAGACTTACAAAGTACCGGTCTACGTGGCTTTAGGAAATCACGAAGCTCATCCCCCCAATCTGTAAGTCAACATAATTCATGAGATACGTTGTAAAAATATTCGAGCACCTTCTCGATGTTTGTAGTTACTCGGAAATACAGAACGACGATTTATTTTCGACGAAATGGCTGTATAATATTTTATTGCAAAAGCTCTCCAAGTGGATTCCGATTGATGAAGCCAAGGAAACAATTCTCAAAGGCGGCTACTACACGGTATCTCCCAGGAAGGGTTTCAGAATAGTTGTGTTAAATAACAACGTTTGCAATACAGATAATTGGTACGTTAGAAATGTCGTGAAATTGGAATTGCTGTACTTTAAATTTGTTGCTTCAGGTGGTTAGTTTATAATTCTCGAGATCCCTACGATCAACTGAAATGGTTGACAGGAGTACTGTTGAAAGCAGAGCAAAACAACGAAAGAGTGCATCTTCTGCATCACGTTCCATCAGGTCGCAATGAATGCTTCCGAATTTGGTCGCGGGAGTTTAGAAAAATTATAGACCGGTAAGCCTCTTAGGCACTTTTATCCAGTTAAATTTTAATGAATACCCGTTATTTTTAGATTCGCAAATACAATTGCAGCCCAGTTTAACGGCCACACGCATAGAGATGAGTTTTACATTTACTACAATCGCTCGAACCCAGATCAAGCCGTTAATACAGCCTGGAACGGAGCATCAATTGTCACTTATGATAAAGCGAATCCCAGCTACAAACTTTTATCTATCGACGAACAAACATTAGTGAGTAATCTTTAGGTATGCTAAGAAGTGTTGGTTAATTTTAATTATTTTAGGACTTATTGGATTTTGAAGAATGGACATTCAATTTAACGTTAGCAAATTTGAATCGCGATAAAAAACCCCAATGGTACAAACTGTACTCTTTTAAAGACGCTTACGGTGTAAACAGCTTGGATGCCACTGAAATTAGTAAATTAGTTTACAAAATGACCAAAAATCATCAGTTGATAGATCAGTATTATCGGTAAATATCCTACTTTTGGCTGCAATATTGATTTGAAAAGTGTACTAATTGTTTCGTTTTTTTAGGTTTAAATTTAGAAATAGCGATGCAGCTCTCAAAGAAGGTTGTGATGACGATTGTAAAAAAGATTTGCTGTGCACAATGGTAAAAACTGAATTTGCAGACGATGTGGTTTGCGATAAAGTCAAAAAACTGTACGATCAATTCACAAATGTTGAACTAAACTTACTATAGAATGTGACTTAGATGTTTTAAAGCATTAAAAATGTAATTAGTTGCATTGATTAATCCCGACCCACGAGTAAAGTAATCCATATAACATTGTAGGATATTTTCTCTATCAGTTTCCTATCGAACATCAAATTTTCCGACCCTAATTAACAAGCGGCTTTCAGCAAAAACCGAGAACGATAGAAAATCGTGAATAATAGCCGATCACGAAACTTATTAATAATCTTTGACGTCGGTAAACAATCCCATATTTTGAGGATACGGTTACGCTAATGGTCGAGAAAAAAATCAATTTAGTAAATGTATCGTCATTAGCAAATAGGTGCTTCAAGTGTCGGTACGTACACCGTGAATTGATGAAAAAAAACACCAAACTCGCAGTAAAAACAGCCCGTGCATATCGCTCGAGCACTCGCAGGACGAGGTTGAACATGCAAATCCGTGTATGAGCGCTTTTGCCCGCATACCGTCGTAAGAGCATACTTCAAGCTCTTGTTTTAATAGGACGTGCGAACCAAATCTAAGCTCTGTTTTGATTTAATGACTGCAGCTATCCAATAAAGGGAAAGCATAATACCTCGATTATGTTATGTAAATATTTCGGCGCATATTATTTCTCTCGGATGAACGCTCCCATTCAATAACGGAATGAAAAATTATGGAAGCGGGTTTGCTCCTAGAGACTGAAATCGTTTCGACCGTAAAACTTATGGGTTTTGTATAAGAGATTCTCACGAAAATTCCGGCGAGTTTTCCGCTCGGCAGCTCCATTGTCTGTATATTTTCAACAACAGAAAGAAGTAGCTGTTGTTATTTTATTATTTTGTAAAGATTGAGATAGTCTAGAAGATACACCCACAAATTTATTAATTTTTTCGTTAAGAAAATTCAACCAACTTTAAACTAGAATATTTATATATTTAATTTTATTCTTCCGTCTCCTGTGCGTATTAAGTATTTTTAAACTACCACTCAATTCAGGAAAATATCGCAAGATTTATAGCTGTATTTTATTGTCTGTCGTAAATTCGTTCGAGATGGGAAAACAAGATAGGAAAATATACAGGGTGGGCAATGTATAGCAAGTTTTTACTTTCAATTTATAAATGTTACACCTTCTCTATCCACTCGATAGGTACATTTTACTGGTATCAATTAATATAGTAACTCGATAATCGATAGTTTAATATCTCCTCTTTTATCACTATGCTTTTTAGATAAATATACCCACCTTACTTTGTTTAATCTTGTGACGTAGTTCTATTCATCACAACATATACACTTATGTATTAACTTTCGTTTTTATTTATATTTTCGTTTCCAATTTCCATCATTAATCATATTTACCTACTTCCGCGTCATAAATCATATTTCTTCAGGAACAGGGGCAGAAACCAAAAGCGGATTAATAAAACCAATATCTCTATAGTTTTACAGCATGTTCCAGTTCACTTCTAAACACATGTCGAAAGAAAAATAATTGTTTTCGAAGCGCTCTCGAACTCTTCGAGCATTGTGCATTGACAGGCGATTATCCCTCCGAAACGTCATTACATTTGATTTAGGTTACCCCTTATCTTTTATTCGCTGCCATTTGTTTGCGAAATCATTTACTTTCAGGAAGGAAGGTGACCAAACGCTTGTGTTTTCCCGGATGATGCCATAAATTTTCATTCTATACATTCCACACCAATTACGTTCATTACTTGCGTTCTAACTTTATGTTGTGCTAAAGTTGTGACTAAAGAGATATTTAATTCAATTTTAGAATATACAGTAAGCAATTGTTTGACTTTTAAACTTCCTTTAGGGAACATTATTGGATGTAGTCTCTATTACAAAGTGTTTTTAACTAACCCTTTTCCTCAAAGAAATCGGTGTGTGTGTGTTCGAGAGGTAATTGCTCCTAAGAAAAAAGGAAGAAAAAGTTTCCGCAGACTTACTTTGACTTTTTTGCCGCGCTTGGCGGCAATAGCACGTGACTTTCTCCGTATCCGATCCAGAGGTAACAGCTGCCCGAAACTCACGGCTCAAACTATTTGCAGTTTTTCTTAAGCGTCGATGTCCCCTGAAGCGGAGTTAGAGCCTCGTAACCTTAGAAGTTTGCTCTTAGGGCGGAGTTGCGTAGGTACTCGAAGATTCCGGGGAGACTGGGAGCTAAGGGAAAGTTTGGCGTTCCGGGCCTAGAACAAATTACCGAGTGTAATAGAAAGATTTTCTTTTGTTGAAAATGGAATGTTATAGGTAATATTTAGCAATGAAATCGTTTGTTTATTAAATTTAAGTGGGTTATAAACATATTCTGAAAGAGGTGGGTATGTAACTGCCTGTATGGCGATGGAAATTGTGATCAATATGGGAGAAAAAACCTATAATGTCGGATAAATAAAATTCCTAATGGAATAACCGCAATAAAAATTGATCACATAAGCATTATTTATTTGTCCAGCGAGTTCGTAAATTATTATTTTTCTGCAGAATATGTACTGGATATGAAGTTTTTTGACACTTATAATATTATTTTCATATTACAATACTAAATGGTTATATTTTTTATCTGCATTTATAATATTTGTTAATAGATCTAATGTGTAGGTGAAATAAATACTAATTTATTGTAACTATCTGTGTTAGCCTGTAGGTACACGTAACAATTGTTTTTAATATTATTTTATCAATAAATTGGATATGCAAGATAAGATAAAAATTAGCTTTAACAGAACGTATTTACACGACTACTTTTACCAATAAACTCCTACATTTCTAACAAAAGCACTAAATCAATTAATTCTATATAATTTTTATATTTTAATATACTTCACTTCCTACTTGTATTTGTTTCGTCGATTGTTCTTGTCAAATATTAATCTAGTCAAGTTCATCTATGTACTGGAATTTATTATTAAATTGCTATAATTAATGCAAGAATTACACGATTTGCATAACCATGAAATCTATTAGAGCTAGAGCAAATATCAATTTAAATTAGTTTAACAGCTTTCACACACTCTTTTTTTTAATATCCTAAAGTGAAATACGATGTTTAGTTAGTATCTATAGATTTAATTAGGCAATAAAGCTATTATTGTAATTGATTTGTTTCTCATTGTCTATTCTCACAAGGCGAGAAACCTCTCCGGTCATTATCCGTCTTTGCATTCAAATTACTAATTGTTTTATTTATTCTGCATTATTCTTATGATTCAGATATTACTTTTTTTTTCAAAGCTCATATTTCTATAGAAATTTATTGGTGTTACATTCGCTTTGGGAATTAGTTGAAAATGAAAGCATTTCACATAAATTTTATCATCCATAATATCCAATTAGAAGGCATTAATTTAAATTATTACAGCGATAAAATATTTTACATTAATTGCAAAAATGTTTCGTCTCCGATTGGGAATCTTTCAACTTTATTACGAATTCCTTTTGCTCATATTTTGCCTCATTAAAAGGTGGATAATTCTTTTCTCTCCTGATATCACACCGCTAATGAATTTCTCGAGTATTTCTCAAGAATTTCGCTTAAAATGAAATTATCTACTAGAAAGATTAAAAGCTTTATTTTCAGTGAACTTTTAGCTAATTTTTTACCAAAACTAACAACAATTAATTTGAATTTTTAATTACTAAAATTACTAAATAATAAGCTTATGAATCTTATTTTAGGAAAAACATTTAGGTACATAAAGAAATTATTTTATGTAAAAAGAAGCTCCATAATTCAGGCATACAATAAAAAAGATTTCATCCGAAAGCGAATGAACTTTTCTCTTACCTTTTAATCAATTACCCCACGTACAATTTTTAATTAATTTGCAGTATATTAAAAAAAACTTTTAATGTTCCCGCTCACGAAACGTGCACGTGAATTTGAATTTCCGAGCCGCGGATGGCGCGCCGTGTTAACCGGGGAATTCAAAAATTAACATCAAGGGAACGCAACGGTGGAAGGAGCGTCGGTTACTGACGCCTAGCGCCGCTTTTCCACGGCCGACGTCGCTATCCAGCGTAATGTTCTCCAGACGCCGGGCGACGCGCCGTTTGGAACGTGCAACGAAGGGGAGAATGGAACGAGGAAGGCGAAACCAGAACATCGGTATTAGAAAATCGCGATGCTGATGCTTTCGAAAGTACTTCTATTAGTGCAATTGATGTGGTGGTATAATATCCGGAAATGAAACCCGGGCTGTAAAAGATTTCATTTAAGGATTTATCGGGCTATTACGAGTCAAAGGCTGCTTATTGAGTATTTGAGTTTAAAACAACGCTTGACTGTTTCCGATTAGAAATTCCGTTATCCGATGTAGTAGTTGTTGGTGAAATAAAAATCATTTTTAATCGAGTCCTATTACAAAGGAATCTCTTCAGAATAATGATATTTAATTAAATTTGTACATTATATTTTTCACACATTGTTGTTTTGTGAGCAACACTGGTTAGTATTTCACACAGGTATCTGTTTTGGCAACTTTCATCGCACGTGCTTTGTCCAGTTGCGCTGTTTCTGTAGTAAAATCTGAAAAAATTATAAAAATTTTAAATTAAAAAACAACTACAAAATACATAGAAACGATTATCTATAAAAGCTCCAGATTACTCGTCAAGAAATATCTACATTGCTTAGTACAACTTACTTGTGATATTTATCAATTAAAGTAGTATTTTTATTTTCAATATCCGTTATCATGGTCCTCACGAGCTGATCCAACTCGCTAGGTGTCAATTTTGCCACTCCAAATTCTTTTTGAAACGAATACTGTTGCCAGTCGATTTTTTTATTACTATTTGCCTTGTCCAGATCAAAAGTAAACAGCTCAGAGTCCATTATATCCTAAAAATATTTTGATACAAAATGCAAAATTAATAATACATAAATTCAATATATATTTTATTGCTCAGAAAATTATGTATACTTACAAATCCTTTCGAATCGACTGTGTAGATTTTAAAATTTGGATTGGCCCTGTCAGGTGTCAACGAAGCACCGTTAATTACAATATTATTAGACACGTTTTTACTATCGTAGTAAATAGAAAATTGGTCCCTATGTGTATGGCCGTTAAATTGAGCTGCTATCGTATTTGCAAACCTAAATTGTATAAAAATTATTAAGTGTGTTACTTATTCCTTTATTAAGTATCGTTACCTCTCAATAATCCTGTTGTATTCGCGACTCCAAACTTCCAAACAATGTGAGCTTGGTATGTGAGACAAGATGTGTACTACTTCCCGACTATCCTCGGCTAGAGTTAAAACATCCACCAACCATTTTAGTTGTCCATATGGATCGTAATTGTCGTATAAATTCCACCTGAGGGATCAAAATATTTTGATTGTGTTCAATTCAGCTGAGTAAAAAATCATTGTAGAGAATTAAAAAACTCACCAATTGCTAGTTTGACAAACGTTGTTATTCAAAACAATTAATCTGAATCCTTTCTTGGGTGTAACTGTGTAATATCCTCCTTTTTTGATTGTCTTCCTTGCTTCTTCATCGTCTATCCATTTTAAGGATTTCTCGTAAAGGACGTCGAATAACCACTGTTGATTTATGCTAGCATCTGTTATATTTAATGGAGTGTACCTAAAATTATTATAAATGGATTTACTTCCACTGTGCCTTAAACTAAACTTATATTAAGAAAATATATGGGGCATAATAAGGATAATAAATGCCACATCAACGCAAAGGTTTCCTTTTGCCTTCCATCGCGCGAATGTCGTTTATTTCTTTGCCTAAAATTTCCTTGTGTACCCTGACAACCTTTCTAGGGTTACGGTTACCTTGTAGTCTGTCAGCTTAATATGTTTTAATCAAATTCCAAATTTACAATGTGAACTTTCCCTTACATGTTTACTGGATGAGCCTCGTGGTTTCCGAGTATGGGATAAACTTTCTGTTTGAATTTTTCAGCGAACAAATCCAAAACGTAAGAAATTGTTCTTTTGTTAAAATCCTGGCTGGTTTTCCAGACTCGGTGTGCAATCAAATCGCCAGTTAAATATATAAAATCGAAGTCCTTGAACAATAAGATAAAATCACTTTAGCAGTTCCTCGTTGATAATGAATGAATGATTGTATTGATTATGAATTATGTGTAAATACCATTTCCGCCATTTTGTCTAATGATGCAACAAGCAATCTTTCAGGCACGTCAGCGCTTTGCCCGTAGCCCCAGTACCCACAAGCTGCTTCGTTAGGATTTGCTTTGGGTTGTTCCGTTTGGCAGCATAATGGCTCCTTGCAGTCTGCTACCTGTCCTTCCGAATAATCTGGATCGTAGTGGATGTCAGTAATGTGTGCAATTTTAAAGATGTCTTTACCAGTAGACTAAAAACAATTTGTTATAAGGGTTCCTTATTCTATCTACTGGTAAATTTACCTCGACTTTATCAACAGTTTTTCCCTTTGGTACGTCTATTTTCCATTCGAAAACCTCACTACCCAACTTACATCCCAGCAACAAACTGCAAACTTCTGTACTAGTCAAATCAGTTTTCTTCTGATCGATTATGTACAAAATAGGGTCCTAGAATAACAAGTATATTGATAAGTATGCAGAAATTTTTACCATGAGAATACCCACAATGTGTATACTTATAAGTCCTCTGCAAACTTCTTCATCTTCAATATGCAACAGATCTGAACAAAAAAATTCAATTTGGCTTTCGAGTTGGATTTTAGTCATGTCGAAAGACCTTTCGGACAATACAGCCGTTACAACAGCATCACAAAGGAGGCATTTCGCTGCATTATTTCCGTCCGAAATTTCTCGTTCATTGTACGCGATTGGAAGGTATTGCCTTTGTTCTAGAATTTTTTCGAAAACACCGTGCCAAACGGATGGCTCGTATGCAAATGGTAAATTACCTAAAAATTGGAAGTAATGTAGAGGCTGGTAACGGGAGCAAAAACTAAAATAGCTATACAAATTATTTGTTATTTTATACTTTTTTATTTTTTGTATTAATATTAACAAAAGTCTTACCGCTTGATACATTGGTGTAAGTTGAACAGCTAATGCTGTTAAAATAAACTAAAAATAATAAAATATGTATGATTGACTTCATTTTTATACAAATGTTAGATTAGTTATGCTTAGCTTTATTTTTATAAAATTATTGAATCTTCGGTTATTGTATAACCTGCGATAAGATTATTAAGTATTTCTCAGGAAATTGAAAGGTACTTGATATTTAATGTTAAGTTACCCAATACAATAAATTATATAATATAGTCTCTATTTAAAAAATATTATTATTGAATTGAAACAATTGAGATGTTAGAAAATTTTAAATCTTAAGCTGTGTCCACATTATGCCGATCAACAATGTCGACGTAAATAAACCACACCTAATTTTATCAGGAAAAAAATCAAAACGAAAATTTGGCTTCATTTGCACTTTGCACTTTTAAAATATTCAATCTTAGATTAATTCGATAACTTGTCGAGACAGTAAGTATAGCATTTGGTTATAAACAACGTAAAAATAATTGATAAGATTGTTTTACATCTAATCTGTAAAATTCATAATTTATAGGTAATTAACCGTACCTTAGCAGATTTTAATAATTATTATTATTGATATACATCAATATTTTATAAAATATCTAGGTACCTACATAATTAATCTAATGTCCTATTTTATATTTATTTATATTACATAACATACATAAGTAGGAAAACGAAATATATATGTATGGATAACTAAATGTCTATATTTCATTTATGAATACGACTTCTTCATTTGATAAAGAGTTCAGCATTTTACATTAAAAGGTTTGTCTTTTTATCTTATTTTTATTTAAAAAGTTAAATATTTTTCACACATCGTTGTTTGTCGTTCTACAGTGGTCAACATATCGCAAAGATACTTGTTTTGGCACTTCGAATCACAGTTTACATTTTTCCCAATTTTGCTGCCTCGATAATAAAAGCTACGGAATAATAATAATTAAAATTTCACAAAATACACATTTTCAGGTAAATTGCCAAAACACTTACTCGTGGTATTTGTTAATTAATGTATAATTCTTTGATTTAATGTCGCTTATCATCGTCTTTACCAGTCTATCCATTTCAGTGTGCGTCAAATTGGCGACACCAAAATCTTTTTGAAACGAGTATAATTTATACCAATCTATTTTTTTATTGGTATTTGCCTTTTCTAAATCAAAAGTGTAAACTTCGGAATCCAATATATCCTATACAGAACATGTTTTTAGTTATATCACTTTAATAGTCTTTTAGATACTTACAAATCCTTTCGAGTCGACTGTGTATATCTTGAAGTTTGGATAGGCCCCGTCAGTAACCAAGGAGGCGCCATTAATTACGACATTATTCGAAACATTCTTGCTATCATAGTAAATCGAGAAATGATCTCGGTGCGTATGACCGTTGAATTGAGCTGCTATGGTGTTTGCGAATCTAAATAAACCCCATAAAATTATTCAGTAATGTGAGAGTTATTTTGTAATAAATAATGCTACTTACCTTTCAATGATTCTATTGTATTCCCGACCCCAAACTTTTAAACATGCTGAAGTTGGTATATGAGACAAAATATGAACTATTTCCTTGTCTTTTTCGGCCTGCTGTAATACCTTCACCAACCACTGTAGTTGTCCATAAGGATCTTTGTTTTCGTATAAATTCCACCTGAAGGGTAACAAAAATTTTAAAATTTTTACATTATTTCTTTATCTAAGATAACATACCAATTTTCACTTTGGCATACGTTGTTATTCAATACGATTATTCTAAACCCAGTTTTAGGTGAAACGGTATAATAACCACCATTCTTTACAGTTTCTTTTTCGTTATCGGTTAACCAATGCAGCCATTTTTCCGAAATAACATCAAATAACCACTGTTGATTTAAATCGTCCTCTGGTATATTTAACGGAGGATACCTAAAACATATTCATCGTATTTCGAGTAATGGATGTTCATATTGTTCTTACAAGTTCATTGGATGTGCTTCGTGATTTCCAAGTATAGGAAAAACTTTCTTGTTTTTAAATTTTTCGGCAAATACGTCTAAAACGTACGTTATAGTTTTTCTATTGTAATCTTGACTTGTATTCCAAACTCTATGAGAAACCAGGTCGCCAGTAAAATAAACAAACTCGAAGTCCTTAAATGTAACGTAAGTAAAACCATTGAACGATTTAAAGATGAGAGTTATACCATTAATGGTTTTGAGTTCATTTCATCTAAAGTGTTATTGAGTAATTTTGGAGACACGTCTGCGTGGATTTCGGAAGTCCAATACCCACAGACACTCACACTAGTATTTGCAGGATTGTCTTGATCAGGCTGACAACACTGTGGCTTTCCACAATCAGCTGGCTTTCCTTCCGTGTAATCAGGATCGTAATGAATATCAGTAATGTGAGCAATTTTGAATGTTTGTTTACCATCGGACTAGCAACAAATTGTTATTTATTCATAAGTAACTATATGCTTTAGGTAACTGTCTTACCTCGACCTTTTTAACAGTTTCTCCTGCTGGTATGTCTATTTTCCATTCGAAGGCCTCGCTGCCTTGCGTACATCCCAGCAACATGCTGCAAACTTCAGTACTGGTAACAGTTGCTTTCTTATCGAGTATATACAAAATAGGATCCTGCAATATAATGATGAATTTTCGTTGAGTTCAATTTTATTAAAATTTGAGCTGCTGATGTTAGGAAATTAAAATTTCCTTACCATATTTAGGCCTATCACCCCGGCGCACACGTCTTGTTCTTCTATTTTGAGGAAATCTGCACAATAATATTCGACTTGAGCTTCAAGTTGGATTTTAGTCATGTCGAAACTCCTCTCTGTCAGCAATGCCGTAAAGACGGCGTCACAAATCAGACATACTGCATCGCCAATAATGCTTCCTGATACTTCTCGTTCGTTGTAGATGATCGGAAGAAATTCCCGTTTTTCGTTTATTTTTTGGAAAACTCGGTGCCAAACAGACGGTTGGTATGCCGAAGGTATATTATCTAAAATATTAAATCAGTTGCCTAGTAGAGTAGACATAAAAAAAGAATTTATATGATCTTACTGTATGATACATTGGCATAGATTGATCCGCTAATAGAATTTAATAGAATTAAAAGAATTGTATTATGTAAAAGGCACCTCATCTTTGTGGAATAGAAAGTATGTAGGTACTGATTTTTTGGAGTAAATATAACTACTTATTGTTAGGTATGATAAGATTATTTTGAGTGATTGAAAATGTATTATAGGTACTTAAGAACATATTTTTTATTTTATAATCGTTATAAACGTTAAGATCGTGAAACTAAACGAGGTAAATTATTCGGCATATCATTGCTTTAATAGATATATTAATCGATATACTTATTGATATAGATTTTCATTATATTATAAAGGATAATGTTGATCATGTAAAATAATAATACAAATAAGGATACAATTCTGTTTTTTTTTTCGAAGTTATGTGTCATATAAGTACCAACATGTATGAATACTACTTATTTAATTTCTTACAAACACCGGATTTGCTATGAACGGGTCTTTAATTAAAAAAGTACCGAATTGAAATACCGCATTGCCTGCATTGTTTAAGATTAAGATATTTTACATAAAAAGAAGAAATGACAATCTGCCAATATCTGTCAGTTATCCGTCAAATGATGTTAAGGTTATGAATCGAACGTCAGATTTTCTTATTTTTTTTAAAGTCTAAATAAACAATGATTTGTTTAAACAATTTTAATTTATATTGCTTAAAAGATTTAAAATTGAATATGTCTGCTTAGTGTTAAATTTTGGAAATGTATTCAAATGTAAGCGTAAAATATTAGAAATAATGTCGATATATACCAAAAATTTTGGGTTACAAGGTAATATTCACGAAGTTTTCATGAAATAAAAGCAACTTTACTATAATTACTTGGCTCTAAAACTTAGTGCCTAAAATGGATCACTGGGAGAATAGGAAATTTAGGAAATATTTAATATACATAATTATAACATCCTGTATACTTATAACATGGAAAGTTCTCTCTAATGATACTGGTAAGTTCAACAAATTTGTTTCTAAATAGCCTTGTATGAGGATTTAGTAATCATGCTAAAATTGAATTTATGATAGTGTCAGATATTCTATGTGAAGGAACTATTAGCTAATAATACAAAATTAGTAATAAATTTTTAACTAGCCTTATTTGATTTAGTTATTTAATTAAATTAAAAGTCTACAAATACAATATTAACTTCTGGTAACTAAATAGCAAATAATTGAATTTTTTAGTTAATAACGATAAATATCAAGATAAATACTACTATTTAACTCTAACATAATCTTATAATCCCATTTATTTAGTCTACATGTTTTATTTCAACAGGTAGCTTAGACAACCTCTCTTTCAATTTTATAAAAGAACTTTTCTATTACTAAGATGCTGCATGAATTTTCTTCAAAATTTACATACAAAAAATTGTGTGTATTACTTGTAACGTTAATTTCAATTTATCTGCTTATAGGTAAATCTTATACAAGTGAGATAATCGATTGTTCAAGATACCTTCAGGAAAAGCTACACTTAACACCCTTACAAAAAATGTGGCTCACAAAATTAGATGATATACCAATTATTTATGCTATTACACCAACTTATGCTAGGTAAGAATGTGTGTTTAAATTAATTTTCTTCTGTTGATTACAATATTTTTAACAGGCACGTCCAAAAGGCCGAGTTAACTAGAATATCCCAAACGTTGATGTTAGTCCCCAATGTACATTGGATAGTCGTAGAAGATTCCGAAGATAAAACTAGTCTTGTTAGTAATTTAATAGCAGATAGTGGATTGAAAGTCACCCATTTGGTAGCAAAAACTCCTCCATTTGAAAAATTACAAGCTAAAGTAAGTGTATTACAGTACTGTGTAGTAAAGTATTTTTACCAATAATTCACCTTGTGTACTTTTGTAGGATCCTCGATGGAAACGTCACAGAGGAGTTGAACAAAGAAACAAAGCTCTGCTTTGGTTAAGAAGTAATCTTCAACTAAATACAGATAAGGGCTATGTGTATTTCATGGATGATGATAATGTGTACAGTATTAAAGTTTTTTCAGAGGTAAGCAAAATGCACCTTAATGATTGTTTTAAATAAATTTAATATGCTTTTAGATCATGAAAATCAAAAAAGTTGGTGTATGGCCTGTAGGTTTAGTGGGCGGTTTGAATGTAGAGACTCCAATTTTGGACCCCGAAACAGGTAATTTTAATTAGTTTTCAAAAATTGGAAAAACTGCTGGATTTTAAGTAGTTACTACTTTTAAATAAATTTATTTTAGGTAAAGTGAAGGCTTATAAAAGTGGCTGGAAGCCGAATCGGCCTTTTGCTATAGACATGGCCGGTTTCGCCATAAACTTGGATTTAATTCTTGAAAAAACGGACGCAAATTTTTCGTATAAAATGGAAAAAGGTTTTCAAGAAAGTCAGTTTCTAAGTTATTTCACCAAAAAGGAAGATTTGGAGCCCTTGGCTGATAACTGTACCAAAGTGTATGTTTGGCATACCAGAAGTGAAAAACCACTGGTGAATGGAGTAGTTGTAGGCTACGAAGTTTGATACTTTTAATGCATATTGAACAAGAATTGTGTTCAACCACTTTTGAGTTAGTTTATCATCATGAAACATTCTTATTGAAAAAATATGAAAGTTTCATTTTGATGATACTTTAATGTTCAAAACCACAACTTTTTATAAAGCTCAATATTTTCCATTAAGTAAATTTAGTTGAACATCTTTAACAGTTAGACGGTACTTATAAAATATTGCTTATTACTAAGAACAAGAAAGTGACCTGACCGTCTATGTTAAAGTTGCGCTTTAATCGGTAAAGGTACTTGCCCTATTTATTGTATTACGTTGTAAGATACTTGTGTATAAACAACCATTATTATTATAGTTTTTACATATTTTTGTATATAAACAACCATTAGTTTTTGCATATTTTTAAATTTTGTAAGTGACTACATTATTTATAAAGCTATTTGGCAGTCAACTAGAATTATTTATGTAATCTGCTGTTCTGTTATGGATCTACACTAAACAGTTTTAGCAGTGGCTTGATTGCATAAATAATAATAATATAACAAAAATCCAGTTAAAATTTTATACTGTAAGGAAAATTTATATGTGATATTTTTGATACTTGAAACTTTTAAGTTATATTAAGTTTTTCATAAATTGGTTGTAATTTTTAAGGCAAGCTTTAGTTTGTACTATTTTGCTCAAATAACATTCATATTATATTATTAATATAGATCGCTTCTGGTATTATTTTAAATTACTATTTATTATAGCAGACTTTACGCCCCATAAGATTTTTTTATAAACACGGAGCTTTGTATTTTTTGTTACTTCTCTTGAAATCTAATGAATTCTTCTAATGAAATTCAATACAACAAAAACGAACGCAAACATTTAGAAAAGAACCATTTATATTTTTGCAAGTAGTTACAAAACATTAATACTTTAAACTTAACATCTACGCCGAATCCAATAATTTATTAAGTGAAGTAGGTGTCCACAACGAATTGTTTTGAGAGTAAAAAATCACATTTCGGTCAATGTAACACTGCATTCCGTTCGAACCTATCTTGTAAACTTGTTTCGCCTCGTGATACTTATTGGCAATCGGTACAAACAAAATTCCTCGATCCTCGCATTTTTTCATTACGAGATCCTTGAAGCCTTGCGGTATCTTCGAAGCAGATTTCATCGCCTCCGCAATCGTCTAAATTAACAGGACAATTAGAAATATTTCTATCGAATGTTAAAAATAACTTACCTCTACTCTTGGTTTCGCCGTATTCGATGTAACACCATTCTCTTCCATATTTTTCAGGTACGAAATAGACTCTTTAGCTCCCGGTTGCTGGCCAATATTGACAGCTCGGTTCATCATTTCGAGAGCTTTATGAAAATTTTCTATAACAAAACCGTTCAATTAGCAAGTTATAAATATAATGTAGCTGGTATTACCTTTTATAGTCGGTTGGTTCAGAAGTTCATCTGACAACATTCTCTTCCAACCGGAATACCACTCTGTAACTTGAGTATAATTCGGATTGTGGTTTAGCCACAAAGCCAAAGTTTGAAGCCATCGGGGAAAGAAAAATTTGTCCAATATTAGAGTCATGTTGCCCACAGATAGCATATCGCTCCAGTCCATCACCCAATGCCATGGTTCTTGAATAAAAATGAATAATTAATAATTTACATCTAGTACATTCATCAAAGCAATCAGTACAGCTATTGAATTATGACGAAATGTGAACCATAAATCGCTTACCTAAATGTTGCTGATGGGGATTAATAGCCAAATTCTGTATGCACAATTGCAGTTTAGGTACAATATGTTTAAGTAGAAAAGCGACGAATGCGCCTTGAGACAAGGCTCTCTGCCACGGTTGCAATATTAACTTCGCCGATCTGTCCGATGGGCGCCAGTTCGTCAAGGCGTTTCCGAGTTTCTCCAGAATTATAGGATATATGGTCAACTGAAGCTTGTCATCTAAAAACGAGTACATGAATTAGCAACATCGAATCCGATGATGTTCGATCAAATTTTCACATACTTATAATCGGTATCCACGGATGAATCCAAACGTGTATGGGCGTTGTATCGACAAGCGGATTCCATTCGTTTACTTCCTTCATAATTTTTGGCATCAACAACTGATTGATGATATTTTCCACAATCCAAGCGGGCAGAAGAGGCCTCCATACTTCAATGACTGTTATGAGCGGATCACAGTCCCTCGGGTTCCATAAACTGTAAAAGGGAAACAGATTTTAATGTCTACGTGTTCCATGAAAAAGTGAGTAATATAGACACATAAAGTACTTTCGAAAGTTAAACAACAGTAAAATTAAAAATCTGGAATATGTAGCTCGGATATAGTAATAGCAAAAATTCTTTTTCGAAACCATTATGAAATGATTGCTAAACTTCTATTGTAAGAACAAATTAATTTAAATCAAGCACATAGCACTGCTATTCCATTTGGCTTTTCTATTATAAATTAATCCCACACACACATACTTATTTAAATAACTTATCATGCCCTTTTGAAGGCATACAGAATATAACGATATAAAAAAAATCCGTATCTATGTAAAAGCCAAGAATAAGAAAAGTATATAAACAAAAAAAAAACAAAAAGAATCTCCTTGCAGGTTCAAGGAGAGCCGGGCAACAATGTCGGTAACACAAAAAGTAACGTTTATCATCTCCATCCCCCTACACAATAAACTAGAAAGCTTAACTTACCTAATACAAGTTCTCATAACAGGCATCCAAGTATGCCAAATGAGACTATCATATGGCTGAATTCCCATTTTATTACCTTCTAGATTCCCACGTTGTCGAGGCACCGTCAGGATGTCCTGCCATTGCTCAAACACATCGACGTATTGATTTGGATTAACCAAGGGATTCCAATTGGCAAGGGCCGACGTTAAAAGGGGGCCTATCAGGCCCGGAGCTAATTCGCCTAATTCATAATTGATGTATTCTTCATAGTGTTCATCCTATAAAAATTATAATGCATATTATTGTGAATGATGTTAATTTTTATTTCGATAATCTCACCTGTAAAGATTTAAATATTTCCGCAATTTGACCTAGAGAATAAGTTTGCGAGCTATCCATTAATTTTTCAACGGTATTTAAGACGACTTTTAAGTTGTCTATCATTTTATCCTCCTGGTTTAAAGCATCTATCAATGATTTCTCGTCTTGTTCTAAAGCTATTATTTTATCCTCGTTGAACCTGCTGTTTCTATCTATCCTTATGATGTCCTAAAAAATATGTATTGTGTATAATAATCAATGATTTTTGATTAATTTTGAGCTTACCTGTTCGCACATATCGACCAGCAAGTCCAAATTGTGCTGTATTTCAGGTAACGCAAAATTGGAACATTTTTTGTGGACCACATCCTCGAAATGTTCAACTCCTGGTGGTGCTTTCAGCCCGCTCAGAGCATGGTAGCCGCTGAGCACCCTTTGCTGTGGACCAGTCATATCAATCACCTTAACTTTGCTGAGTTCACTAAAAAATAATTTTATATTAATGTTTACGAACGTATGCAAGTAGTTATTTTATAGCTTGTTTTATAAAGCCGATTGGATTTATCGAACAAATCAAATAAGGCAAATTTGGCATTTGCTCGACAATTCTTTTCAGTTTTATGAAACAAGCCACGGTAAGAAAAATCACATTAGTGTTCCCAAATAAAACAATCAACGAATCCGCAAGCGAACCCGTTATAAAATATGATTCCAAATAAACGAACAATTTGCTTTCTTTTAAGACCATTCAGTTTTTACCTTGCAATTCCCAAATTTCTATAAGCTCCTGGACGTTTACCTTTTTCAATAACATCATCAACGCTTCTGTAATAGTATCTGCTCTTTTTCCTCAAGGAGTCTGTTTTCTTCCATTTCGATTCTCCTTTTTGGGTTTCATTCTCACTACCAAATTCAGATTTCACCGGCATTTCCTACAAATCAATTGTTATATATTTGGATAAATATTATCTAATTAATATCACGTAAGCCTACCTTTAACTGTGGTACACTGGCTGCCTTTTCCGGTCCATAAGCACCGATAGCACCTCTTCCTTTCCTTAAATGTGCCTCGACAGGCGCTGCTATACCTTGCAAATCCTTACCTAAGCCTTTACCGGGCTGGAAACCCATTTGAAGCAGTAACTTCGCTCCAATGCCTTTCGTATGCTTCTCCCATTGCCCCATGCCTTTGTTTATGAGAGATGGATTCGTTGAACTTCGTGTTCGAAGGCCTGCGATCTCTGCGTTTATTTCAGTACACGTTGCTTGTATTGGCTTCTTCGAAGCGCCCATACCAAAACCTAGAAAGGTTAATAATGCATTTGAGATGTTAATTTAAGTGTTAAAATCTTTAAATATACCTGCTCTAGCAGGAGCATCGCTCTCCGATTCATCAGAACTATCTCTTTGAAAGGAGTTTCTCGGTTCTTCTTCATCGGATTCCTCCTTTTTTATATCCTGGTTGTTGTTTTCCTTCTTTTTGCCGACTTGGTGCACTCCTCCTGCAACGAATCCTATGGGGGCAGAGTAGTTCTTGGGTTGCCTCTTGGACGCGGTGCTTTTTTCATCTTCGTTATCACTGTCATCTGCCCATATACCTAACACAGAAACTCTAAATATAGCTGAATGTCCACTAAATCTATTACACGAGAATATAAAGAGTTTCTTATTACCGTAAATTTGATGTTGTTTACTGAATTTTTTCCTAGGCCTGTTGGGATTGAACTCATTTTCAAGGTCGTAGTCCGTAATTTCGAAACGTTCCATCTCATCGTCTGACATTTTTGTGTATAAAAACAGCCAGTAATTAATTACTAAAAGTGGTTAATTAGTTTTAAAATGCGTTGTAACTAAACTTTGTCGATTTATAAAAAATAGTATGCGATCAATTATGGCAATTATGACATTGACAAATTAATAATGCAATAATGACAATTGACAATGACAGTTGACTTTTGACTTGACAGTATTGACACTAATGACACTTGTGTGCTTTGCTTTTGCAGATTTGTAGAAGTGTGTTGGTTTAAATTTCATTAATTTTATTAACTAAACTGATAAATATTTCACAAAATCATGGCAGAAGCAATGAAGCAAACCGTCGCGAGAATGTTAAAAGGCATAGAAAGGTATTCACGTTTGTATTTTTTTAACAGCATGAAGTTGTATTTATAGGTTAATAACAGTCTGTTCTTCATGCAGGTATAATCCAGACAATTTGCCCACCTTGCAGCGCTACGTTGAGGTGCAATCCCGAGAAAATTCGTACGACTTAGAGGCCAACTTGGCCGTATTAAAACTTTACCAGTTCAATCCCCTCAGCTTCAATGTTGAAATTACCTGTCAAATATTGCTGAAGGCACTCACGAATCTTCCACACACCGATTTTATATTGTGCAAGTGTCTCCTCAACGATAAACAGGTAAATAATATATAATAAATTTCAAACTGGTATAAAATTAATGTTTTACAAATTACTTGCAGTTGTCACAGGAGCCGATCAATCAAATTGTGTATTTAGCCGATATATTAGAGCAGTGCGACTTTCAGGTGTTCTGGACGAGAATAAGGACTTTACCGGAACTCACCCAATCGATTACGGGTTTCGTGGATTCCATTAGGAAATTTGTTTGCCACGTAGTTGGTATTACTTACCAGACGATCGAGAGGTCTCATTTAGCTCAATTGCTCGGTGATGTCGATGACAGCACTCTGAAACTGTGGGTTAAGAAATACGGTTGGAAAGAAGTCGCTGGAAATTTGATATTTATCGCTAATCAAGATGAAAACATTAAGACGAAAAATATTAACGAGAAGATTGATTTTGAAAATGTAGGAGCTATAATGGCTTCTTGCCGTTAATGGATCAAGTAAATATTTTTTACCCTTTTATTTTTTTTTGTTGACCTACCTTAACGTTTTGTTTCCTGTTCCCGACTTGCTTATTTTTATGTAGGATATGGAAGATGTAATCTTATTTTTTGGGTACATTAACGAGAAAACTAATTGTACAGAGTACTTATTTAGGTTTATTTTTGTTAATTTTCTTGATGGGATCGTAACGTAAAATTCAAGGTCAATCCAGAACGCTCCAGAATCATTTAGAACTGTTTAGAACCATTTAGAACGCTCCAGAATCATATAGAACTGTTCAGAACCATTTAGACTTGTTTTGACGAGTTTGACGAAATCGATAATCTCTATACCATTTCCTTTATTTATCCGAAAATGTTTCCATGCAAGGAAAAGGCGGAGATTATGAGTATGAATCGGAGCAAAACCTTTTCCTCTTACCTTTTACTTCATCAAAGTAAATGCTTCATTTTTATAAATATGGACTATTTTCATGAATATGAAAAGAAGTATGCCTACAAAAATTATGTCAGTACCAAGCACTAATGATAAATGCGTATGAGATAAAATATGAGGTCTAATTGTTATGGTAAAAATGAATGAAATTTTATACTTTCATTGCTTATTTTTTAGTTTTCTATTTTCTTACTACCTATATTTCTCTTGCTCCTTATTTCTATGTACGATATGAAAAAAATTAAGTAACAACATAAATTTAAATATGTTTATTTATGAAACAAATTAAAAAAGAGGTAGGTTTAAACAATGGTTCTCTTTTAAATACATTATTATTATTAGTTTGGATTGGAAATGCGTCCTTTGAATAAGATATTCCGACAGGATTCTTCAGATTTGGCTAGTAAGGTTATGAAAGGATGATCTGCAATAAATTCCTCAGGTTTGCCAAATGGCATCGCACAACGGAAGCCCATCATCATTGCTGGAAAAGTGATAATTTAGTGATAATTAGCTAGGAATAAACTGTAATATTTATTTCGTCATACATATAAGACAATATAATAACAAAGCTTTTTTTGGTTGATGGTCATTCAAAAGGCAAGTAGAGTAACATGAAGAACAATATTGCACATATTCCGTTAGTAAAATAAAATACAAGTCATATTCCGATTTTCTTCGAAAAGGATAATAATGGAAAATATAAACTCAAAATTATTTCAATTATTATCTATTGAATGCTAAATTAAAAGTTTTTTAAAGACTAGACATTTCAGAACACAAACAAAAGCCAGCAAAACATTTTAACACGTTTCTTAAATTTGAATTAAGTTGAAGGTTGAAATATTTTTCCTTTGAACAAAATGCAGTTTCCTTGATTCTCACATGTTGCCTTTAAGACTATAGTAAATGGATGATCTGCCTGGAATATTTCTGGATCTTTCGGAGGTTTGTAGCATTTTTTCTTAATAACCATCTTACCTACAAAATTAATTACTCGTGCAATTTGTATACGAAAAATTAACATCACAAATTTTCAAACAAAACTGTAAAACAAAATTAGTTATTATGGCTTTTGTATATTTGCGAATGAGTAATTATGCATTGTAATGCGTTAAAGTTGTAAGTGATGGGTGAAATAAAATATCAAATAATTTCAATGTCTATTCAAAAAATAAAAGCTGTTAAGTATAATCTATTTTACACTATATTTACAAATATTTGTAATTATACAGAAGGTTCAAACACTCTGCCTTTAAACAAGATAGAGGTTTGGTGGTTTTCATCACATGTCGCCTTTAATATTGCAGTAAATGGATGGTCTGCTTGGAATGTTTGTGGTTCTTTTCGACATTTAATGCACCTTTTCTTAATAGCCATTCCTATAAAATTACACGTATTTCAAATATAAACAATTAGAAAATTTCAAACTCAGATATATTTTTTATATATATAGCTGTGCCAATTTGGTTTTTATAATTTTGGTTAGTACAATTCCTGAATCCTGCTAATTAGTGCTTGTTGTAGCTAATTCTATTTGGTGGTTAATGAATTTTTGAACTTTTATTTTAATGCAGAAGAGGTAGGGTTGATTATACTAAAAATGCTCGTCTAAACGTAGAATCATTTTATGAACATTATACAATCATATACATATGTATAAGCTTTACATTAAAAAATAAAGTTAACAAAGTTATATTCTACACTAAGCAATTAAATACAATAAATACCCGTATGTTTACAATTTATTGTTGAAAAATTCGAAAAAATATGGAAATCAATTATTAGGATTGTGAATGCGTCCTTTAAATAACGTATGTGTTTCAGTAAAGTTCTGCCTTGTAGTAAGTAGAAATATAAAGGGACGATCAGCAATAAAATATATCGGATCAACATTGAACGTCATTGCACAGCAAGCAACCATAATCATCGCTGTAACAAAATATTTTTATTAAAACACAAATTATATTCACATAAATTTTTAATTTGTAGGAAACCAATCAATCAAATGATTAGAGAACCATGCAAAAACCGTTATTTTCATATATTATAAATTAATTCTTTATTTAATAGTAGGCAAATAACCATAACAAACTCTGAGATTGCCTTAAGAAACTATGTTTTTACTATAAGTTTTAATTATTAGGTCAACTGGTTGAAATATTTACCATTATTAAAATCAATTATTAGGATTGTGAATGCGTCCTTTAAACAGGGTATGTGTTTCTGTAAAGTTTTCTCTTTTAGTAAGTAGAATTATAAAGGGATGATCAGCAATAAATTCTATCGGATCAACACTCATCATGGCACAGTAACCAACCATTATCATTGCTGTAACAAAATATTTTTTTATTAAAATAGTCCCATTGTTGATATTATTCAATTAATTTTTAATTTGTAGCGGGAAAGTAATGAATCAACCAAACAATTAGAGAACCAAGCAAAAACTTTTATTTTCACATTTCCTGACACTCCAACAACAAAGAAACTTACATAAACTATAGAATAAAAAATGACGAAATTAACAAAAATATACTACACATAATATTATAGAAATACTTAATGCACTTATTTTTAAAATATAGGTATTAATACAAAAATACTCGTATGTTATTTATAATGGTTAAAAATTAAGTTTTGTATTTAATACTAGCTATATAACCACAAGCTCTAAGATTGCAATTACAAATGCTAATAAAGATATTAAATTTTTACTGTATGCTTTACCAATAATGTAAAATTTACCAATATTAAAATCAATTATTAGGATTCTGAATGCGTCCTTTAAACAGAGTATGTGTTTCTGTAAAGTTTTCTCTTTTAGTAAGTAGCATTATAAAGGGATGATCAGCAATAAATTCTATCGGATCAACTTTCATCATGACTGCACAGCATTTTACCATCAGCACTGCTGTAAAAAATAGTTTTTATTAAAACACTGCCTAATAACATTTTTCAGAATGATTTTTATCAGCAAATCAATAATTGTTAATTGTTGTCAATTGTTGTTATCAATAAGGGAATCAAGTCATTGCTAATATAAATTATTTATTAGAGAACTATACAAAAACTTTTATTTTTAAATATGCTGTACAAACGGTAATATTTTTTTTAATTATACAGGCACAAGTAAAGGATTGTAGACGCGACCTTTAAATAAAATAAATCGTTTTTCATGGAAACGTGCTGCTAATATGACGAAAAAAGGACGATTGGCTTCTAATTCTTCATATTTCCATGATGAATATTTTCGTCGCAAAACTACAACAGTAAAGCAACTTTTAATTGCAAGTCCCGTAAATGAAAAACGTGACAATCGTACCTACCCATTTGTGCGTCTAAATTAATATTTTGTTTAATTTTTTTTTCTTTTTCGATTGAGTATTTAAATAATTAATAAATAGTTTATATATTTGTATAATAGGGCAGGTACTTACACTCTATAATCATGCTAACACAAAACTCACGAATACTAATTTAAAGATTTGAATAGGTTTACAAATTGCAAATTTTACAGCATTCACAAATTAGTTTAAATGGTTACAAAATTATAAAGGGTCAAAAAAAGGGCTGAAACAAGCATTCTTGCAAGTACACCCCGAGTTTTTTATGTATGTTTTAAATACAAATTTAATACCATTTAATTACCTAATTTTTAGGTGTTAAAACGCGACCTTTAAACAATATGCAATTGGAATTCCTGGTTTCATCTTTTTTCGTCAGTAAAATTATAAATGAATGATCAGCAATAAATTCTGTGGGTGGAGTAATATCCAGGCAAAAGCATTCTACCATTATCAATGCTGAAACAAATAAATTTCAGACAGTTTATTATTAGCTAATATATTTTTTCATTTTATTTAATTCTATCTACTAATTCGTGGTTAACCAATATTTATCAAAATAGCGAGTGGATTTTAGAACCAGAAACATTCACAGGTGAGAAATAAACAGAGGGTTGCTACTTTTCATTTTCTACTTTTTACTTTTAAATTCTGAAGTAATGTAATGAATACAGATTTTGTATTTAAGCTATATAAATAGCATTAGCTATTTCGTAGGCCTAAAAACGCGACCTTTAAACAATATATTAGAATTCCTGGTTTCATCTTTTTTCGTCAGTAAAATTATAAATGAATGGTCAGCCATAAATTCTACGGGTGGAGTAGGATTCAACCGAAGACAATTTGCCATTATCATTGCTGAAACAAAACATTTATAATTTTTTAATTCCCGTAGTAATTCGTAGCCAACCAAAATGTTTCAAAAACATTTGGATCTTGGCGCCTACTACTTAACAGCAGAATATTTATTTATTTAGACGAAACTAAGCGAAATAAAGGAAATGATATGCAATTTGTAAAATAAAGGTAATTAAAATTCAAAATTTTATTGAACAACTTTATTGGGACTATAGATACGTCCTTTAAATAACATGTCTCTTAATTCATGCCTATTGCCGTTGTTTAATCGGTTTAGGATAATAATAAATGGATGATCGGCAATAAAATAAGTGTCTGGTTCAATCGAAATCATTAAGCACCTTGTTACTAGAACGGCGCCTAAAAAGAAAACATTGCATTAATAGAAAAATATGTATAATAAAATAATAATATATTACTGTACGCTTACTGTACAAATACACGCTAAACATACTCAAATTACATCGATATGCAATGCAATGTATAGAATAGATGTTATAAATAGTATTCAGTATATCATTGAATATTTAGTAATGTGTGGTACGAGCAAATTAACATTTGCATTAAAATTTGGTTTAATATGCACAAAACTAAAACAAAACGTAGGTGTTCATTATTTTATTAGAACAGTAATATTCTAATTTTCAAATACACATGCACTATGCACAATTACAGTGTACCTTATTATAACTATTACACCAAAGATGCAACGATTCTTCCAATAAAGAAGGTGTTACTAAACTCGCTCTGGAAGGGATTTTCTTTTTCAATAATCATTAAAACAAAGGGATGATCGGCTATAAACTCGTTTGGTTCGTATTCGCATCTAGGCTCGATTTCCATTTCTAAACAAAATTGAAATGAATTGAAAACTCGAAGCACATGAATACATAATTTATAAGTTCTCAAGCAATTTTGGTGACAATAAATATACAGCAAGTGGCTGTTATGCAGACGTGTTAGGATTCGATACTCGTCCCTTAAACATCGTATTTGTGGCATTCGAATGTTTGGAAACCAATAAAACAACGAATACATGTTTTGCCAGGAATTGCACAGCTGGTAGGGGCATGCAACAACCGGGAATCATAATGACTTCTGAAAATAAAAAAAACGCTTGTTGAGAACGCATTTTCCAATGTAATTTCAAAGAGCACTTTATCATAGAATTGAGCAGAAAATATTAAATTTAGAAAATTAAATACGTTGTGTCGTTAACAAGGGCAAGATGTGCACAATTCCGAGGGCTCGTAAATCCTTCCGCCGAACAACACTGAAATTTTCCCATTCGCTCGCTCGCTTTTCACCAACATCGTGATAAACGGATGGTCGGCTTGGAATTCTTCTGGCGGGTTATGTATCATAGCCATTCTCATCATGATCATACCTGAATAAAAATATATAAAAGATTTTTTTATTATCATTCATTGGCATGTCCAATGAAATCTCCAAGCGGAAAGCGCGATCTGAAGGTTACAAAAGTTAGTTCCACTTGTATTCGTGTTAAATTTACTAAACAGTTTGTAACAAAATAAGCTAAATGTATGCGCAGGTATACCCGATAAGGAAGCTGTTATTAAAGTATTTTTTAAACAGTGACTGTGTGCATTGGAATTTATTAAAATTTTACTTTTAATGAAATTTCTTTAGAGCGTTTAAAATATACATGATGCAGATTTTGAACGCTAAATATTTTTAGCACAGTTTATTTTTGTAAATCCGAATAATTTCAACAAACATAAATCAATCATTGATTATAGGATTATATTTCACTGATATTTTTATTATCACAAACGCTTTAATCCAGCGAACGATATTTTTTATATTTACAGAGACATTACAACTCTATTTCGCATTTTGACAACGATTTTTATCACGAAACTAATACAAATAAATCCAACTATCAAAATTTTAATCAATCAACTTCACAATATAAATATTAATTTTTAAGCGGTTGGTTTAAATATCTTTCCAGCGAAAAGGGGGTTTCCGGGACTACCGCATTTTTCTTGTAATAAAATGATAAATGGATGATCTACAACAAAGGATTCTGGCGGAGGAGGCATACAGCACAACATTATTTCCAAACCTAAAAATTTTATAGTCTTTAATACTCTAAAAATAGGTATCTATTTAATTCAGTTCATTTATCGTTATTATTCATGCTGCATTTATTATTTTTAAGCACATATGAGTCTTCCTGTATTTTCATAAGCAAGTGTCTTAAAGTACTCTATTTTCGATATACAGGATATCAGGAAAACGTATCAATTAATTATTTACGATATTACGAACAATAATTTTAATAAAACGTGATTAATACAAAACAATACATAAACACCTAATTAGGTATGTAAATATGCAAAAATCACCGGGTGATTAATACTGGAAATGTTTGCCTTGATTGTTGATTTCCATTCAATTTTAACAAATGTTTCCAGAATTTGTTAATTAACCGTAAATGATTACTCCCAAAAAATTTTTTCACAATCATTTCCAGTCGCCCATGTTATAACGCATAAAATAATCCCATGACTATTAAAAATATATGTTAAAATCAAACAAGTTATAAGTTATAACTCATCGTGAGTTTTAACGAGCTCTGCGAGTCCCGGATGAAAAATTTTTCCTTTAAAAAGAACATTCGAAATCGGTTGGTGTCTGAAAATAAAAATAACGAAAAACGGGCGATCGCATTTAAACTCTTCTATAGGTGAAATGTCCAGTGAACGCTTCATTATCACTTTTAATCCTAAAAGAACAAATCAATTTTAGCTATTGATTAAATTGATAATTATTTATACTTTTTACCAAACATTAGTTACAATTTTTAGATAAGTAGGCAAAGGAATAGAGGTAATTTCATCGTAATGCAAGTATATTAATTTGAATTTATAGTTTAAACTAATTAAGAAAAGAATAGTTACTAAATTAAGAAGAAGTAAATTTATCATGACTCCTTATCATGACAAAAATTAAGCTCTTACCCTACAGAGGTACTTAATTGTTTAATCATTCTCAAGATCTAACGGTTTCTAAATGTTTATTATGAAATATTCGAAGGATTTAAAACGAAATTCTTCAAAATTATTAGATTTTTATTTTTAGGAATTTAACGATTCTGGCAAATCGTGCAAATGTTTATTTTTAATTTCCCAAGAACTGTATTATAAAAATATAAACAATTTTTTATATTCATTTGTATGATAAAAACAAAAAAAAATTTAATGAACTTTTCCATCTCGATTGTTTCAATTTCATCAACCAGAAAACAGTAATGATTGCAATGAATACGATAAGACTCGTATGACTAATAGTAAAATTATTTATTGTTGAAACATTTTATTTCCAAATTATCAACAAAAATTAAATAGATAATTAAATCAACAAAATATAAAGTGATTCTGAATAGGTTTTCCGCTCTACCAATATTTCAATGACAAAAAAATACAATGATATACTTAGTTGTTGATCAAAAAAATTACGTAATTAAATAATTTATAAGGAATAAAATGACAAATAATTATAGCGACAAAACAAAAATAATACATTCAATTATCGAATATCACAACTTACCTTATGAATAGTAAACAATAGACACCAATTTTTTGTATCACTCACATTTTAATTTTCGTTGTAATTTTTAAAAAATATACCTAGGTAATATGTATCATTGTTTTATGACGATGTTTCTGTTTTAACGGTTAGCAACAAATATGTTTTTAATGCAAAATGACAAACATATAGAAACCCCCAGACGTTAGTAAAAGCCAAATTAATAATACAGATGGTAACGAACAATGTAAGAAAATTACTAAAAATCATTTCGAATTTTGAAAATAACATCAATTTATTATAAAAACGAAGTTCATGTTCATTACCACCCGATAAGCTACAAATTAACTCACCAGTAGCTGCAGCTGCTTCAGCGCCCTCTTCGTTAACTTCAATGAAAGCCTTTTGAATGACCTTACTGACTTTCAATTCCTCGGGACTATTTAGCATTCCGGAGAAATCGGCAGAATCGGAGAAAATTTCACCCAAGCCAAGCTAGATAACAAGAAAGATGTAAATATGAATAACCTACGTAAAACAAATTATTCTTACCTCCGTAAGCGGATCGTTTAGTTGAATTGTGGCTTCAATTTTGAACTTAGGCAGCGCTACAATGACTTCAGGTTTGTACATGTCTGCAGTAATGTTACTTAAATCGTAGTTCGCCAATTTGGCCTCTAATTCATCAATACCATTTCGCTTATTAGGCAGTATTACAATCATACTTAAATCCTTATTAGTGTAAGGTAGCTCCAATACTTTAGCGTCGAGACTTTCATCGTTCTTGTAAAAGAATTTCTTCTTAATGTGCATCATACTGACGTCGATGGTATCGTTATCATTGAGGTAGAATTTTTCGGTTTGCGTTTCGCTCGGTTTGAACGGTTCGGCCCATTTTCCTTTGAAGTAGATCGCATTGACCAGCACCAAACGGGTGGTCTTGTCCACATCGTCCGGCTTAATGAGGTCTTGGATTTTGTTATTCGTCTTGTCCTCCACCCAGGTGTTGATGGTCTTCGCAGCGGCTGCGTTCTCTTCGAAGTTGATGCTCTGGACTTCGGAGAAGAAGTTATCGGATACGGTTTTCCTGAAGGCATCCTTCAGAGAGTAGCTTTCTTTTAGGTAGATCTTGTTGGCCATGTGTAGGGTTACGTCTTGCACGGAGTTCAATTTCGTCATGGCGTCTTGGTAGCCTTGGGCTAAGGTGGATATACTGGGCACCTGGAGCGCATCGGTGAAGGCCTTTTGGGTCTTTCCGCCGGAACCTTGCGAAGCCATCGCTAGCACTGCGTGAATACTGATGGGCGAAAAGAAGATGTTCTTTTGCTTTTCTTTGGCCAGAATTTGGTAGAGATTTCTGGTGAATAGGCTGTTGCCTTGGACAACTGCGGTCAATTGCTTATTTTCTTCGGCCATGGTTAATGTTTGGGTAAATAGGGATAGACACAAAATACAAACTGGAACAGAACAAAAATGGTAATTAGAATGATTAAATCAATTGAGGTGTCTAGATAAGTGACATCATTTAATTCAAATAGGCTTAGTAGGCGTAGGTGATATCATCAATTGTTTTATCTTAATTAGCCGTGCATTTCAAATAATAAGATGTAAAAAGTATGTACATAAACTGATACTTTTTTAGTTCATTGTATATTTAGTTTTTTTAGATCATAGTGTAGTGTACTGAATGTTGTAGATATAAATAAATTTTATTTGCCATTTATCACTACAACAAATTTGTTTATGATTGTAACGATAGAGATAACTATTAAAATTAAATACTTTAGCAAAGTAGGTAACTTGAACTCACCAAAGGCACTTGCAAACGACTCCTTAACGCCAGCCAAAAATACCAACTGAATTAAATTCTGTAATTTCAATCGATATGTTCGGCTCCACGAATATTCAACCTTGACCAATCCCATAAAAAACAACAAAGTATATTTTAAGCCGGTTCCCTACTTCTCCTTCGCAGTTCTCGTTATCATCGTTTGTCAAATGATTCTCTTTCGTCGTTTTGAAGTTTCAAGTACGTGTACAAAACAAATGAATAGCGTACAGTGATGCCGGATTGTAAATAATTTCTTATTAGTTCTTATAAGTTCATGTATATGCTGAGGAACTGAATAACATTTTAAAATGTCTTCCCATGTGATGTGAATATCAACCCCCTACCCTTAAAAACCAAAATACCTGTTCCCTCAATCTAATAACTTGTATTAAATTGAATGACATTAATTGAGGTAATAAAAGGAAGAAATAGGGAAAAGTTGATCATACTTCATTACTATTATAAGTGAAGAGTTGATAAAACACCAAGCATAAAATGGAATATTCCACTTTTATTAATGTGCTTCAATTCTTTAACCATTTAGAAATGGGCATTTCTGAGACAAATCCACATTTTTTAAAATGTACAATATTCTTTATTTCAACATTTTTACTAATAATGCTCATTACAGTTCACGCCACATTATATTTATTTCTCATGCCATTTACATATATTACCAATATTATTTATTCACAGTTACCTAATTATCTATTTACTAAGTAATGTGCATTAGTCACAATGTTGTTATTCCTCCCTTATCTTTCCTTTTTAAAGTGGATTCCACTTGAATATGTTGAATAATTCAACCTAATTTTAAACAATAAAATAAAAAACGAGAATAACTAAACGACTGTATATTACTTACCTAGCGTTTTATACATTATTCCTAATGTTATTGTACAAATCTATTTGATTTTACGATATAGATACAAAAAACTCTTACAATTGTAGTACTTGATATTTAAAGCGACTAGAGAGAAATTTGGTCTCCTAGTATTTTGTTCAAATTAAAACAATGGAAGATAACTAACATGAAACAGTAAATTACATTATTCGTTTAACGTGGAGCTAAATGTTATGAATAAATACGAAACGTTCTTTTGGATGATTTATAAAGCTGAATCAAGTATTTATTAGTAGACTGCCGACCAAATATCCTAAAACAAAAATCATTATTCATTAAACTAACCAAATAACCGAATCTAAGAGATTATTACCTTCGTGAGAATCCTCGTCCTCTTCTCCTTCGCTATCGTGACCGACATGACCCTCTCCATGAACATCACCGGGATCGTTAATTTCACCTTCGTTGAGAATGTTCCCGTTTCCACCAAACAGGGACATTTGTTCGTGTTGAGCGTCTACGACGACGCAACACTCACTGGGCTTTTTTCGCTCGAAATTCTTCGAACTGCTAATCGCTTCCTGGTCGGAACCGTAATGCACGCTCGTCACCAACGTGGAAGACTCCACGGAGGCCAAATGGGACGACGACATCTTGTCGATGTGGCCCATCATCGGAAACGTTCCGTTCCTGCTGACCTGCAGCCGCTTCCATTCGTGCTCCGAATTCGGCACGTCCTGCGGATCCGGTTCGCTGCTCGATATGCAATGCACCATCGCCTGAAACGAAAGAATTTGCCGCGTCAATTAACCTGTTCAATCGAGCGCGAACTTCCACTCACCATCGTGCACGATTGGGAATCGTTCCTAAAGCTAAAATCGTTTCTGGATGTGGCGCAAGCCAACGGTATTGGCGACAACCCGTCGTCCGTGTGGGTGGTGGTATCGGCCAGAATCGGGCTCTGCATTTCGGAGGCGATGGGCACTGGGCTTAATGTAGTGGTGTCAGGTGGGCTGGCGGCCGATATGGTCGAGGTCTGGCAAGAAGTGTTCGTTATAACTGACTGAACGTTTTGATTAACTGCCGTTTGAGTTGAAACCGACTGCCTGCAATGACTAGAAGATTTAGGGCTCTCCCTGGATTCCTCCAGATTTTTGTTGGGATAAATTTGATCGGAAGTAATCCCGGCTGGTTTTGAACCGTTAGGTGCGTTTTGATTGTTTTGGAAATTTTGTAAACCTTGGTTAGTGAGCATTGTGGTTTGTTGTTGTACGATAGTGGTGTTTTGTTGGAGAAACGTTGTATTTTGATTCGAAGGTTGATTCGACACTGGGATATTCGATGTTAAAGTACACGGTACAATTAGAGTTTGACCCAATTGACCGTTCATTTGAATGTACTCCTGTTGTGTTGGTTGCATGGAATTATTCGCTCTCATTTGCTGAGGAGGGCTGTTAAAGGTAACTTGTTGGTTGGGGCTGACGCTGGCTACCAGCGGACTTAACTGTCCGCTAAATTGGGAACCGTTCATTATAAACTGCCCTCCGTTAGGCGACAAAAACTGGGCAACCGGGCTGTGTTGCTGTTGAATAATTTTTCCTTGCGTCGTCGGAGCTCTTATGACCATTCCGGACGGCCCGGCAGCAAAAATCGCTTGACTGTTGTTAAACAAGCCGTTATTCTGTACGGGAGTGAGCAAATTCTGACCGTTCACATTCTGAAATTGAAATTGCATTCCCAAATTAGAGGCGTCTTGAAGAATCGTCGCCGTGCCATCCGGATTTACGACCATGCCACCTAAATTCGGTACGATAAACTGATGGATGGCTGGAAAATTTTGCACCACGCCGCTGCTGTTGATCAAATTCACCGGTTGCAATAAATTTATTTGTTGCGCAGACTGCGAATTCGCCAACAACTGTTGATTTCCTATATTCGAGTTGGACATGGCTTGATCGTTCATGATGATCTGCGCCGCGCCGCCCGTTTTATTCGGGACAATCGTGACGGCCTGCATCACAGGCGTGGCCGTGACCGACTGCGGACTCGTCGCCATTTGTATTTGTTGAGGAAAACCTTGCGGTGAAATGACCACGCCGGGGTTCTGCTGATTGGCAAACTGCAGCATACTGGCGACAGTTTGAGAAGACTCCTTCCTCTTCTTGCTCCTTTTCTTGTTGGTATCCGGCGAAAGCAACGATGGGACTCTTCTGTTATCCGAATTTTCAACTTGAATTTGCTGCTGTATGATGTTGCCAGCAACGAATTGCGGTAGTTGTAAGTTTTGTCCAACGGGTACTCCGTCCATTGTCATAGTTACTCCTGGTTGTAAAACAAACTGGCCGGGTACAGCGTTTACTAACACAGTTTGTTGGCCTAACACTGGCTGTCCCACAGCTGTAGGTATTACAGTTCCTACAGACGAAGTAACATTTGTGACCATAGGAGAAACTGTTACTGGTGGCATGCTGTCGTTTTTAACAGCTTTAGGCGACATTTGAATTTCCTCTTGCGAATGGCAAAGCGACTCTCCGGACGTTACTAAAATGTGTTCTTGTGGCAAGTTCTCGTTTTTTACAATCTGAGAGTTCTGTGATGCATTTGAATGCGGTATCTGTATACTGCTGACTATGCTTTGAACCATTTCTAACGGAGATTTCGTGATGTTCGTTGACATTGCTTGTGAATGAACTGTAACGGTATTTTGGCCAGGCGTGATGATGTTCGGGTTAGATACCGACGACGGAGTATTCAAAGAAACCGTTGTTGTATTCGTTCTTCCGGCTAAAACGGACGTGATAGTGTTACTGCCTACGGTTCTGCTGCTTGCCATAGTAGTGACCAAAGTCGAAGCTTGAGAATGATAACAGCAGATGCTCTCGTTAGGTTTTCCGCAAACCGGCTGCCTTATCATACCCATATACTCAGGTACATTAGATTTTACGTAAGTAGTGTAAGATACGCCACTGCTGGTTATAGAACCGTCGACGAGCCTCTGAGGTGGATCGGGAGTCGGCGGATTCGAGGTACTCTCAATAGGCGATATATTGCTAGTACTGACTGTTCCTCCTTGTATCGGTTGCATTTCAGAGGCATTATGGCCGAACTGTTTGTCATAGTTCGTTGAGGAAGTAACAGGATCTTCGACAGGATTCTGAACATTCATCGACACCGGGCTCGGCTTGATTTTAGCTGGATAGTTCATCTGAAAACCGTCACCAACGCAACAATGGCAATGCGCAGAGTACTGATGAGGCTTCGCATGAGTATTATTGTCGTAGCTAGGTTGCGACTGGATTAGGTTATTTTGTAATGTCGTGACTGTAGTGCAAAGATCATTTTGAACGCCGGCCATGTTATTGCGAGATATTTTCAGCATTGGATTTGCAGATTCCATTTGAGATTGGCTTCCAATTAGATTATTCGAAACAGATATTTCATTCGATGGATTGTTTAGAGTAGGATTACTCTGATTGTGCTGTTGTGGATGCTGACACAAAGTGCTAGGACTGCTGCAAGAGTACCCGACACAACCGGTAGCTCCTGAAAATAAGCATACAAAATTAGAAACTAATTATTAAGCACGAACAATATAACATTAAAGTAAGAAATACCAACCAGTTTGCCTGTTAATAGTACTATTTAATAAAGCTGTTTGTTGGGCAAGATATCCGCTGGGATCTTCCATAAACGATGGACTAGAACTTTTAATATTCTGTGAAAAGTTATTCATCATCACTGTCCTATGCTCAGGAGGAATATGCCTTATATCAACGTTAGGACATGAGAAATGATTCGAAGAGCATCCGTCTATTATTCGACAAGGTCTATTTTTCCCAAATTTGCCTATTTTCACTTTCTTCCTCTTTATATCGTCCTGGCACACGTTTAGAGCCGCAGTATGCTGATACAATGGAGGGACTCTTTCGCAAATATTGGCCTGAGGCTGCTGCTCTAAAAGTTTCTGTTCCATAATAGGTTTCGAGTTTTGATTTTGCCAATGTTGCTTTTGATTTTGACCTTGAACGGACGCCTGCACGATTTGGTTTTGTTGATAAATCATTCTGTAAGGTCTAACACCAGGATTTATTTGGTTGTAAGGCCTGATGTGCTTCTGAAGACCGTACATTTGAACCTAAAACGATTAGATACATCAAAAAATTAAATTTGAATGATTTTTTAGATGCAGTGACATTGTTTGTATGCAAAATTTGATTTTACCTGTTGATATTGCGAAGTATTGGCGCAAAATTGTGGCTGCAATGGTTGCATATGGCGTTTCTGTTGATTTCGCTCCATTTGATTATCAACAACTTTGTGTTGATTGGGCGCATTAACTCGAACAATTTGAATGTTCGGCCTGCCAGGACCGGTCGGCTCAGCCGGCTGCCTGCTAATGAATACTTTCTGTTCGTCGGACTGCTCCATTTTGGGCATATGAGCGATCATCCTGGGCCCCTGCGAGTTGGGCATGTGATACAGATTGCCCGGACTCGAACTCGGCACTCCTCGAACTTGTATGATTTGACCGTTCGGGCCGATTATTTGGCGCGGGTGAGAGTTGAATCCACCCGTGCCGTTGTTAATTTGATGCACTGGTTCGTTTTTTAGTACGTCTGGATAGGAAACATCGTTCGAATTGGGCGGCTGGATCATTACAGCTCCATCGCTTAAGATCACTTTATTACCCTGCTGATCCTGATACTTTACTAGCTGCGCTTGGTGTGGATTATTTTCAGCGTCTGGACATACCTGGAAGTTTGATTAAACTTACATAATTTATACATAAACAAAGTGATTTTGGTATTGGGATCGCCAAAAAAAAATTAAAAACAGGAATTGACCTACTAGTTTCACTTTCTTTTAGTTATGAGCTTGCCTGTAGTTTTCTCTAGGAATCTACAATGGAACATCCAGGTGCAGGGATGGGTGGAGCCAGGACGGGACAATGTGTACAAAAAATCCAACGGGATTGGATTGCAAAAGTTTCACGGAATCACGGAACCTATCAGCAGTAACTTCTTGTTTCTAGGCATTTCATTAGGATGGGTTCATTCAGAAATAAGTGTTACTTTCATTATTACGTATACGGCAGGGTATAAAAATTCAAAAATATGTCGGCATAACCAACCTGTGGAGCTGCGATTATTTTATCAGAATTTTGATTAAATGCTATTTTTTCGCGTTGACTCATTATTTGAGGTACTCCTTCGACGTAAGGCAAACCAATTCGTCTCCTTTTCCTTTTCATATTTATATCTGGAATTAATCATATTAAGAATTTGGAATAAACTAAATTGAATTAAAACTAATTACCTCTTTGAAATTTAAATCCTGGATCTGGAGGGGGACAGTGAATAGACATTGGTATTATTTTTCTCTTGTGGTTGCATAATTTTGTCATATTACCAGATTTTGAATCTTGGAGCATGTTATACGGTTTTCCAATGACCTGAAATATCATTAATTTTTATAGTAAACACGCCGTTATTATATAATAATTCATAATAATAGTCTTATGTTTGCTAACATGCTATTATTGTGTAACTAAAACAGTAAGACTTACCTTAGGGTCAAAATTGAAAACCGAATCATGCTTAAAATGACATTCTAAGCCACACTTGCAAGTACCAGCAGAAAGTAGATATTCCTTAACTTGTTCAGAGGATCTTAATGCTGTACAGGTAGGGCTATAAATGAAAAAATCAATAAAAATAAACCTCATTAAATCTTACGAGCTAATGCTTACCTTATGTAAATAATTGAACCATTATTCAGCAGCCTTTTCCATCCGCTTGGAATAGTAATCGTAGGCCTTTGATGCCCGGGAAATGCTTCTATTATCTGAGAATGCTGTTGCGATGGTTGCGGTCCGACTGTTAATACAACATTCGCTGGTTGCATATTAACGTTAGGATCGTACACGACCATTTCAGAAGCTTGATTCGGCAGTACGTGGGCCCCATCTTCCGATGAACTTAGACTACTACAACTGGAATCCGCCGCTTCTAATCGGATATTGTCGTAACAGACACCTTGCAGGGGCACTTCTGCCGTCACGTTTTTCGCATAATCTTGGTCCTCGTACACATCGCAATTGTTGCAGTCACCTCGCGGTCTCAGAGGGTTGCAAACAACAAGAGTATGTTTATCATCCTGCAAGGCTTCGCCGTTATCGCAAGTACCATTGTGAAAGGTTGCATCGTTAACGGTACCATGCGAAAACCCGCTTTGGGGCACAGCGTTCGTATAGAAGTCGCCCTGTTGAATGGCATTAACTTGCTGCTGCTTCAGGGGATAATCAACCAATTTAACACTTGGTTTTTCCCTATAAGGCTTTGCAGGATTAATCAGTGGAGCACCAGGTGCTGAGATGATGTCGTAACCATCGCTTTGTACAATTTGAGAGGTTTCCTGGACATTTTGTCCTAACGAGTAGGCTTGGGCGAAATTATCATCGGAAACGTAAACTATGACATTTTGAATGCCAGAAGCATTTGACAAATCATGTTTTCCTGCCATTGCAACAGCATGCCAAGTGCTCTCTTTTGGAGCTTATTTTCACCTTGCAGCTGACCTGTAATTTATAATAGTCCCTTAATAAACTAATTCTATAATATCGACTTTGCTACTTGTAATAGAATTTATGAATAACTTTAAAAAAAATCACTAAAGGTTAACTATATTAGGTGGAATTGCGCAATAAATTGAACTTGAAACAATTATTGGTAAATAAAAAAGCAACATTTAGTACAACAATCCTTACAAACCTACCGTAAAAAATTATAGAAACAATTATTTAGGTAAATTAAAATATTGCAAACTATTTAGCTTACTAATTGGATAATTGCGAGTAAGATTTTTTTTCTAAAATTAAAGGTATTATTCACTGAATCTTTTTGTTTGTATAAACTGTACACATTTAAGACACTCCCTTTCATTACTTTAATCACAACAAACATCTAATTGGAGAATGCAGAAAATTGTTTTTTGTCGAACAATTGGTTATGAAAATTGAAATCAATATAACGCAAAAGCAAAAAAACTCTCCTTTGCTTCAAAGAAACTGAAATTGACAGATTAGCTTGAACAAGGACCTTTAATAGAGGAACAGAAACAATGTTTAAAACGTAAAATCACAACGGCGAATTACCTGCATGTCGTATAAACATATCCTAGGTACAAATAGTTTCTCCAAATTATCATTACAATCTGCTATATACAGAAAATAATTCATACAAAGTGGATTTGAATCGACGGTAGTGTCAACCTAACACCTGCTGATGTGAAATCGGGCTGTATTGAGTTCGTGTACGCTCCATAATCGCTATCGCTTAGTCCTATGTAAGTGAGAAATCACTTAACCGTGTGATTAACACAATAACAACAAACAATGGTATCTTATAAACAATAACACTAAATAAAACGAAAACAGACACTATAAAATGGAATTTCTTCCCCACTCAAACGTTCACTCGACTCGGAGAAAATGACAACTGACAACTGACTGACACTCTTTTGACAGAGGACAGAGAAATGCGATCACAGAACATGCAATTCGACATCAAATTAGAAGAAAAACAACTTTTATTGGAATTACAGCTACCAAAAATTAGAAAAATAACAATTTTTAACCTGCTGCAAATGTAAATTAGGTCTATTTTCATATTTGATACACGATTATTTTTTTAATTCAAATAATCTACACGTTATTATAACGTTCATAAAAATACGGCGCAATTACTGACCACGTTGCCACATTGTCAAGCTGTTTTTTTAAACCTAAATGTACATTTTTTACCTCGGTAATATGCGTACATTTAATTTTATGGTATATACTCTTGAAATAAGTATAAATATAGTAATAATGTACCAAATAGCTCTACTATAAAATTGGTCATTTCTTAAAATAGCATGAAAACACAGCGTAGCGTGGCGAAGCTATTCTGTACTTTATGTTCTGCGGAATAAAAGAAGAACCATCATAGAACCATAGAACGTAAATATTTATATAATGTCTTTTACTCTTCAGTTATTTAAAGAGTGAAGATGATGGAAGCCAGGGCAACTCCTCCCGTAGAAGACTTTTTTCACATTCAATTGAACAAACCCGTGTGTTTATAGTGATTAAAAAGGATTCGTTCTTGAAGTCTTAAGCGAAGGTCAAATTACAATTTAGTAAACTATTTTTCTCGAATTATCCTCATAGAAAACAAAAAAAAAATTCAAAAAAAATTTTAAAAGAGATCAAAATAGTCTCCTTTTAAGGAAGTTTAAAGAAGCGTTTCAGGAATGATCACAAATTTTTCAAAACTACCTAGAGTAACCAAGAGTAACAAGTAGAAAAATGTTATTTTTTTGTTGAAACTACATGCAATTTTTGCATATTATTTCTGCAATTTTAGAGAAATATTAACAAAGAATAACTTTTAATTTGCACTATTACTATACCGTTGTTGGTGCAAAATATGATTCAAACTAAAATAGATCAATTAGAGTCATTAAAAATATCACGTTTTTCTGTTGTTTAATACTGGAAAAGCCACGCGGATTTCCTGCTGCAGCTTTCTGCTTTCAGTTTAATCAGATTCGTTAATTTAATTAATACTTATTGTTTGCAAGTTGCACAGAATACGCCCGCTTTTAATAACAATATTTATTTTAATCTACATAAACACCTATCAAATCATTTATAGAGTTAAAATGTATTATAGATTCTCAGCTATTTATCAATAATTAAAAGTGATCAATTGTACCGTTAGAAGTAAAGGAGATTTTGATAATTGACCCATCATTAAGCAAAAAAAAAAATATTGGTATTGTATTATTTATAGAACACATGTGGGTATAATTCAATTTATCGAGAATTGGGGAAGTATAGATACCATGTATTTAAACGTAATTATATCTGTCTTCATTATGAAACTGAAAAGATTTTACTGGATATTGTATATGGAATAGGAGGTAAGCAATTGAATTTATCGAGAATTAAGGAAGTATCAGAATTATACGGGATGAGTTTTTTTTGATGATTAGTACAAGGAACTCGGAAACTGTAGGAGAAAAAAAAGTTTAAATTAACAAACATTTGCAGTTTTGTAAGACATGTTCACAACCAGAGTCAGTTTTTCATAATATGGCACCTTTCAAAGAATTTAAATTTACTTGGTTGACGAAATATGTTGGTAGACCGCAAATATTGTGGTAGACCGCATACAAGACCGGCACCGAAAAATCTCCTCTTGTGCTGCATTTCTACATCTACAGTTGAAATTACATTCTTCAAAAAAATCCACACTTAATCATTTACGCCGCTCCGGATTAAATATTACGTTTATATTTCCCGGAGTTTTCGAAATTTCAAATTACTCCCAAGAATTCAATTTAGTAGATACTAAATGCTCCCGTTGGGGAACGGTAAACTTTTTGTAGTCAAATTATAAAGTTAGGCAAAGAGTTGTTGAATGTTGATTTCCTAGAAAGTTTTAAGTAGAAATGAGCTAATAAACTGAGAATAAATCGTTTAAATTTAAATTTACTTAGGTGCGGAATTTACTCTCGCGGTTCGGTAGAGTTAAAAATTTTAAGTTCTTTATTTATGTTACCTCCTATTTAATGTACTTACTACCGCGATTTAGGTATCACATTCAGTTCATCAGGAAAACTAAAATAAAAGATTTTGGATCTCCAAAAATTATGATACAATGTTGGACTTTCGTGTTGGAATGATGGTTAGTATACAGGGTGTAGCAAAAAGGTGACTAATAAATTATAGATATGTATCTACAAATTATTTATACCACTCAAACTCAAACTATAGTTATGAGTGCATTATAAGAGAATTAATCCATAGTTAATTGATGTATTTTAAAGGGTTCATCAGAGATTATGCTCCCTTAAAATGTGACAGATTTTTTTTACCTAATAGATCATTTAAAAAATTGTTAGTTCATTTTATAGGTAATTTTATTTTATAACTTTTTTATTCCTTTTGTTAATTTTTTAAAAATCTTTGTCGTTTTGATGAAAAACGTTAAAAAATAAAGTCATTTAACACTATCAATGTTATACTTAAAATCGTCGATAATTCAAAAGTTGGCTGTGTCAGAGTTCACATGCGGGACACCCTGTATGTATATAAAAAACCGCGAAATGCAAAATAATGAAATCCTTTGTCCTAGCCTCTTTAAGTGGAATGAAACGTTCGGTTAAAATATTTCCGTCATTATTATGGGATACAAAAACCCCGCGTTTCGTAACAGAATTAACTGGCCATTATTTTTTGAACTTTCGCGAGGGCGTTCAGACCGAATAAATCTCCGGCCGTAACTCAACTTGGTAAAAATATAAATATATTTGATTCAATTTTCCCCCTTACGCTTTCATAGCAACAAGCTGAAAGGTAAAGGGAGAATTCGCCCCGAAAACGGCCAACCACATAGCGGGGACAGGCTCATCGGGGCGCATTGAAACGCGCACATCATGAGTGAATCCTAGCGTTACGACGACGTCGAGTGTCAGCGACTTTGGGCCGCCCGAGTCAGTTGACAGCGCGATTTCGAGTCGTTTTCCACGCTTGCCGGTGCTCCAAACATGCGAAAAAATAAATGCACTTTCCGGTAATCACGGTAATGTCACAGAAACAATGTTGAAACTGATATTCATCCTTATAATGTGTGGCGTTACGGTCGATTCGTGCGATAGTTTTTGTGATTGTGAAAAATCGCCGGGACCTTGCGATTTTCCCCTAATATTAGCCAATCTGACCGACAGTTATTCCTGTCCCATTGCCGCGAATCATAGCGAATTAATTAGTGCGATAGGTGTAAATAATGTTGCATTTTTAGATCACGACGCCGTGGAAATTAAAACTGGCGAACTTCCTTTAAACTTTAGTGATTTCGATTTAAATTGGATAAAAAAAGTTAGTTTCAGTGAAAGTAACTTAACAGTTGTGCCAGATTTTCTGGCGGACTTTTCCGGAATAGAGTCTCTGGATTTATCGCGGAATGAAATCGAATTCGTGAACGTGGACCTTTTAGCGACTGTTAATTTAATAGAATTAAATATCAGCTCGAACATTATCTGTACATTAAACGGTAGCGAATTAATCCAATTAAAAAATTTAACCACTCTGGATATATCCCATAATGAACTCAGCGTAATCGACGATCCCTTGCAGTTGCCCGGTCTTCAATATTTAAATTTGAGTAATAACAAGTTGAAAGTTTTGAGCGGAGCTGGATTTAACGACCTGAGGCTCCTGCAGCATCTGGATATATCACGGAACCAGTTGGTTCGAATTGCCTTCGAGTCCATACGACTGCCGAATTTGGCTCGTCTGCTCGTCGCTGGAAATGCACAATTAGGAAAGTCACGCGATGTTTTCGTTTTCGTCGGCACCGGCCGTAAATTGAAAACTTTGGACGCCTCACGGACAGGACTCAAACAGGTGCCCGCTTCCTTGACTCACTCGATCCAATCTCTCAGATTAACCGAAAACTCGATTAAGACGATAAATTGCGGCGACTTGGACGCCTATCCGCTGCTACGTTCACTCGATCTGACGTTCAATGATATTAAGTTCGTCGAGGAGGACTCCTTGGGGCGTTTGGAGTTTTTGTCGTCGCTCTATCTTTCTCGCAACGAGCTCTCCGAAATCCCGAGGAGGCTGCCCGAAAAACTCAAAGTTCTCCATTTAGACATTAACAAAATTAGAACGATAAGAAATAGGGACCTACAGGGATTGACTGTACTCGAAGTGCTTCTGCTGAACGACAATAACCTTACGGTAATAAACGAGGGCGCTTTCAGTGAGTTAATTTCGTTAGTTACGCTGGATTTGTCTAGAAATCCGCTTATTAATCTCCAGCCAGGTATATTCGCCGGGCCGTTATCTCTGGGAATACTTCGTTTGTCTTCAATAGCAATAATTTCAACAAATGAAGACAATCCGTTTCCGCTGTCTGTCCCCGAAAGACTGCTAACGCTTGATTTATCTCGCAGTCCCGGATTAGCTCGACAATTTTTGTCCGATACAGCGACTCTAATGGCCGCTAAGAGATTAGAGGAATTAGATTTGTCAGATGGGAATCTCGAATGTTTAAGGCAAGATTTACAGTTCTTCCTGCCCCAATTAAAAGTGTTCCGTTTTAGCGGCAATAAATTCAACGCGACTCTAATTAGTTCGCTGAAATCCTGGCTATGCGACACGACCCGAATCGACAACACCACGCAGGAATCAATTAAAAAATCGGAATTAACCACCGCAGAGAATATTAACGAGTTCAATGAGGTATATTACGACGGCGACGTGTCGAAATTCTCGCGAGATTCGCCCGGTTTCTACAACAAAAATCCTCTCGTCAGCCGGGAAAGGCATAATGAATTGGTGAGGTCGAGTCTTGACGAGCAAGCGGTCGATAAGCGTGAAGACTCAATAAAGTGGAACGTCTCCAACGGGGAAATATCTATGTACACGAGCGAAAAGAAAAACTACTTTTATCGCAGTTTATTTTTGGTTCTATCGACCGCGCTCATTGTATTCGCCATCAGCTTGCTGTTGATATTAAGACTTGTGAGGAGACACAGACGGGCGTATGTCGATGACATCGAAGCGACGGCTTTGCCAACCATTTCAGACATTTGGTGACATATGGAAAATTCGGACGATGAGAACAATATGCTTTATCATACTTCCGTTACTTAAAATAATGCTTGTGATAAACTTGGATTTCTATTTTGTACGCTGATGTAATTTTTGTACTTAATTCAAATTGTACATTATTGTAGGAAATATAAATATATATGTATGAATTATTTGGCGTCATTAAATTGAGGTTTTTTCTAAGAGTTTTTTAAAAAGGGTCAACACAAATTTGCATTGTAACCTCATGATTTCGAAATTTATTTGATATCAAATACATTACTATGGCAAAAAATAGAAGTGATAATTTATATTTTAATCGAATCCCTGCAGTCATAGTTATAATTCCGTGTTATTACTGCAAATTTGTGATCACCCAATAAATTTCCATACTATTGCACATCAAATAAACATCAACTCTTTGTGCCACCTTTTATATTAAATTTGTACTAATCAAAAATTAACAACATTTCACCTTCTGGGACATCTTCGGACAGCTCGTGAAAACTGAAAACCCCGCATTAAGGATTCCACGTAAAATTGAGTCCAGTTCAGACGTTGAATTTATAGGAAGCATAAAATTTTGTAGCTGCTAGTTTATTTAACGCCGTTGTTGGTGCAGGCGAAAGATTCTTAAATTTTTTATTGTATACATTTAGCTGCGAAACAACGCATTTCAAGTTTATTTTCGAATTACAGTCGACGTGTTTGTTGCATACAGGGAATAAATTTTGTTGACTTTTGGTAACTCATTAATAAGTTGCAGAAGAATGCAAGTTCACTGAAATTTTTATTGGTTTGTGAAGTGGTGTAATAGAGTTAGAAATCTCCGATATTTCAAAAGCGATATTCACTAATAAATCGATGTGAACGAGAGACTTAACCTGGATCGTATGTTGCATTTATGGATAATAAGAAAACTGGAATAATCGATTAAGTAAACTCTCAAACCACTCTCGATGTCATAAAATCTCCCGGCTAGATTTAGCTTTTGTGGATTTTGCTTCTGTCTTTTACGTTTCTTGACAACATAAGTCTTTACAGGTACATTTACAAAGTAAAAGAAGTAGGCATTAGAGTTTTGCAATGAAGATAAATTAGCTCTATAAGATTTACTTTTATAAGAACCATCAGCTTATCAGCGAAATTGTATCATATATTTACGTATAGCAGATAAGGGAAATTCTGCTGTGTATATTGCTTTTCATTGGCTATTATCTTGGATATCTCAGGAATCCTATGTAAACAAAGGGAGGGAAAGTTGTAGAACTAAGTAGGTTATTTCACTTGGAGGCAAATTGGACCAGCGGCAATCCTGGCAGTTGCATTTTAAACGAGGGGATTGTTTGCATTAATTTAAAATAACATTAAAGTAAGCACCTCCGGTTGTTCTAAGGCGATTACACCGTATTTTCTTTTTGATTTACTATTAATTTGTTCTTGCTTAACAAGAAAATTTCTAAATAATAAGTGTGAAAATGTAATTCTTAATTTAAAAGTCCCTAATTTTTAAGAGGATTAATTCTACCTTTTTAATCGTGTTTTGACTACTTACATTTCAAAACATAAATTTATTTCGAGATTATGTAGATTGGTATTTTTTTTCCGGTGTTCAAAAAGAAAACAGGAGAATACTTACGCTTGGAAAATATTTTGAATGCTAGCAGTTTTCCTGCAACAAATTTCGTTTAAAAATCCACATAATATACATCGACTGAATTAATCAATAACCATTATTCGGTATGTAAATAAAAGTCGAAAGCCTAGTTTGCAAATCTAACTCCCGAAACTCCTAAAAATCTCGTCGAAGCAGGGATTAGAGTTTATGCGAGAGTGAAATTTAAGTGCATCACATTCGAATGTCCAATATTCGAATATATAAACGGGAATGCGGGAAATTGAAAATTTCTCATATTCTCAAATCAATTTATGTTAATGCGATTATATATTTCTTTGGCAATGTGATGAACGGAACGTTCTAATGCTAAGAGGAGAGAAATGAGAAAATTCCCGACGTTGCGATCCGCGCTTTTTGCCGGAGAAGAAAGTTAAATAAAATTCATGAATAAATATAAAAAGGGTTTTCAAAGATATTATTATCTCAAAAAATTTGAAAGGAATTGTTTGTGTACTCCCGACGAAATTTACGGGAACTTTTATCAATATTTATATAAGGCGTCGTTTTTCTTCTGACGACGACAAAAAATATACCAAAGGACCTGTTTATTTATTTTATGCAAAATCATATTCTTTTTCGACGCTCGAATTTTTAAGCAAACATTACGTGATATACCTATACATTTACTATATTTCCAATACAAACGATGTTAGAATATCAAATATTGTACTTTTTGCTCTTCAGATATTAATGTCGGTATAGGTAACTTATTCCTGGAAGACGTATCATCTATGTCTATATATTTTTCCTTTAATTTAAAAACTAGGATATTTTGAAAATAAAACAGATTGACAAGACTAAGTACATATTTATATCTAATGCATTTTTATTTAAAATAATGACATCGATTTTTCGTCTATGTGATGAACTTTTATTTTTGTCATTTGGTAAGCAGATACTTTTGTTCTTTCTTTCAGTCTTTCTTTCAGTCTTTATTCCAATCATTTATTATAGAATAACTTTGAAATATAAAGCTTCCTTTTCAAAACTTAGTGACTTCAAAAAATCAATCTTTTCAATATCTTATTTAAAACACGCAACATAACTGGTATGATACTTTATCAATGTAACTAACTTTATTAATTGTTAGTTGATAGTTGAATAGGGAGATTCTGGACATACAAATTCCCCATCTCTTGTATTTTATAAATACATAGTTATAAATAGCTCGCTTATCTGAGCCACCATAAATCCACCCTTACTCTGCAGAGCATGTGGCTACTTTGTCATAATGTCGATTTTTATGAACCATTTCATTAAACTTTAGTATCAATTTCGGAAGAACATACGTATTTATCATATCGATCAGATTAATCCAGCTATTAGGTTACGTTGAGAACTTTGATACACTGAAAGTTAGTTTTATGACGTATCACTATTTAACAGCCCCTATTTTCCAACTTTATGCAACTTCTGGCCATTCAATCTAAATGTTGGTTGTGCATGTGGATTTTGCAGTAGCTTGTGACTTTGATAGTGTAAATATTGCAGTAAAGCAGATATCATGTAGAAATATTCCGAACGAGGCTTTATATATTGATAACAGTTTGCTAGAGAACTCGGTTACGGCTCGTGTCGTAAGTACATCTTGTGAATAATAGCTTAAACTTTTCTTGAATTAACAGTTAAATTTTTTAGCATTGTATAAAGTATTTACACAGATTAAAATTTACTCAGACGATTTTAACAAAACATAATAGGTTGAGTTTCTTTGAGACTTAGTGCCGGTGGAGAGAACATTACTAAAATGCATTCCGTCTTGGTATAAAGTGACGCAATTCATTACGAATCGCTTTAGCGAAAAGCGAGTAAAAAAACCTAAAAAATAGACGGGAGGACTTGAAATATTTTCTAATTACTAAATGATCTTTTAGATGTTTGGCGTAGTGTAAATTTGCACTTGAGTAATTACGTGAATTGAATAGCGGCCGCGGGGTAGAAAACAGAATGTATTTTATTAGCATACAAATGAAAAAGTGCAATGTAGTTTGCATCCCTCGGGACCGAACTGATGTAATACTAATTGGCTTGGTGCGTACAAAAAAAAATCTTGGACAGCTGCGGTGCATGTTTCGCTTTATCTAGCATACGTTAAAATAAAATTTATAAAACCAAAATAGTGGCAAATTTTCTATTCAGAATTCCTGGCATAAATGAGTTTAGCGCGAGACACCCAGTCGGTATAATTAAATACTATAAGCGGGAATATTAAATCGTATGGGGGATTATAAGGGTAAATATGATAAAACGGGTCACAAAGGAAGAGAGAAGTGAATTTGGGCCTTTCACTTTCGGTCCCAAAGTTGTTTAAGATCCGAATTCTAGCATTAAGCAAACATCAAAGTTTTGGCGCAACTAATCCCTCTTTTGATTTTCTATTCGTTTTTGGTCGATCTGAGCCCACGCTTATCTCGGGACACGAGAAGAGCGGAAATCTGACACGTTAATCCGTACTGGTTTATAATGACCAGTTCGGGATTTCATTCCTGATGGCGAATGGTAGAAAATGAAGCTTTTAAGCCCTGTTGTCGGGGTTATCTGAGAGGAATTTCAGTGCACGACACAAGAGGATTAATTGAGGGCCAAAATACGCATTTAGCTGGTCCCTCTGTCGGGGCTTCGCTCTCTCAAAAATCTTCCAGGATTTAATAACGTTGCATTTGTCAAATTGGTTTTGTCAGCTTGCAAACACGAACAGTCTGAATATTTAATTTTATGTAAAAAACCATTTAGGATAAAAGGAACTTCGAGATAATGATGATTGCAGTGACCTAAAAACGTTAGAATGCTAAATTTATTTTGCTGTTAGCATGTTTTTATGACGGGCTCTATTTGTTACTTTCGCCCTTTTTCGAGAAAAAAGGCACTTTTAATTTTATTCCACATAATCTCTTAATTTTTTTTCCATAAAAATTTCTTAAAACTCATTTCCCTTTGTTTGTGGCTTGGCTTCGGTGCTTTGGAGTGTATACTTTGGTAAAAAAATCATTTAACAAAAAAGTTTATGTAGGTAATTAATTTACTTATACCTATACGTAAATTATGTACTTTGTGCTAAATAATTATCTCTCTTGAATGCGTAAATATTTCACGGCTAGATAATTAAGTTTCTAAAATACAATATTGACTCTCTTGAATGCATATCTCACTCTTAGGTTAATTATGTTGCAAAATGTTGCAAAATATCCATTTATATTTTTAATGTGCCATAACTCATTAATATTGCCTTCTCCTACAGTGATAATTAGTATTAGTAATGACATATTACATTAATTAATTACGGCTACTACAGTTAGGGTTCCTTAACTAAAAGATTGATACATAGGATAAGAAATGCACAAAGATTGAATCTATACCCTTAAAGGAAGGGTCCCTAACATCATCAGTCTTGGAAGATCTAAGGGAAGATCTGTATTGAAATGAAGTTAGAGTGGGTAAAAAACGAGCTGAAAAATTGGTTCTAGCAGTTCGCCCATAATAACATATTTTT